CAGGACAGCCTCCAAAACAATATAGAGAAACCCTGTCTCGAAAAACAAAAAATGCTCAGAGATGTAGAGATCATGGCATTTAAAATGTTTTATTTATTTATTTATTTTTGGTTTTTACGAGACAGGGTTTCTCTGTATTGTTTTGGAGGTTGTTGGTCCAGCCTAACCTCGAACTCACAGAGATCCGCCTGCCTCTGCCTCCCGAGTGCTGGGATTAAAAGCATGTGCCACCACCGCCTGGCTTTAAAATGTTTTATTAAAAAGTTTTTTATAATAGAGAAGAGACAGGCCAGCTGCTGGCCCCACCCCATTTCCTCCAAGAAGACTGGTGGGCACTGAAGAAACTCCACTCACAAAAGCGGCAACGCTAGCCACTGACCGATCCTGCCTCAACTGCTACAAAGGATTCTTCAGACCGTGGACAAGAGGACAGTGGAATCGACTTTCTCCAGGTTGCTTGGGCCAATTTCAGGCAAGTCTTTCTAAAGCTCCTAATCCGCAGGTCCCATGCTATCAGCAGAAGACAGGTGTCCTTAGAGCTGCCACCCTCAACCACTGTGGAGGACCTTAGGGTGGCTGTACATGCAGCTAGCTAATAAGTCTCTGTTATTCTTTAATCATTAACTCTGGTAAAGTTTTATCCTTCTCAAGAATTCTGATACTTCTGATGACTGGTAGCTTTGCCAGCTTAGAAGCTCCAACTGACACAAGACAGATTTCAGGAACAGGTATTTTAAGGTTTATCTATGTGAAGATAGGAAAGTGTGAGGTGTATGAAGGTGTAAATATGAAAGTTATGAGAGTCTGAGAAGTAAGGCCTAAGACAGCAATGTAAGGTGTCTGAATTAAAGTTATGAAGGTCTGAGGACAAAAAAGCTTCAGTGATAACAAATACAGTGAGGGGAGACATTCAAAAGAATGAAACATGTTCCAGATTTCTCTTTCTCAATATGCTACTGTTCATAGTCTTAATGTTAATCAATAAAGTTCTGATAAGCTACTAATCCAATCCCGACAGAGTACTAAACAACCTATTATACCACTATACGATAACTGCAAAGTCAAAATTACGGTACTTTTCATTGTCCTAAAGATATCTGTCAGTTTTAAAAATGTTAATGCTTTCAGCCAAAACTCAGATAGGGTACTAAACAACATATTATACCACTATATGATAACTGCAAATCAAGATTAAGGTACTTTTTTTTTTTTTTTTTTTTTGGTTTTTCGAGACAGGGTTTCTCTGTAGCTTTGGAGGCTGTCCTGGAACTCACAGAAATCCGCTTGCCTCTGCCTCCCGAGTGCTGGGATTAAAGGTGTGCGCCACCAACGCCCGGCCAAGATTAAGGTACTTTTTATTATGCTAAAAAATATCTGTCAGTTTTAAAAATGTTAATACTTTCAGTCAAGTCGCTTCTAACATAAATGTGTTGCTAATGTGTCTAATATTTATGTTTTCACAAGCTCAAAGAATTCTTGTAAATTCCAGGTAGCTGAATTAGACCTACCCAAACAGGTTAGATTCATTCCAGATAGTATTCAATCTTTACCTGGTTCTGGGGCTCCCTCCCGTCATCTTGGGACCCCCTGGGGAACCCCTCCCTCATCTTACAATCCTCCCCTCATGTACCAGGACCAAAGAAAAAAAATTTTCCTACATTTAACTTTGTACTCTGCCAACATCTTGCCAGGTCTAAAGAGGCACCAGAGTTCCATACAGCCAGGACTTCAATTTAACAACCAGCTACCCCAGGACGTGGCAGCACCCCAGCTTTCTCGATCCACCAAAGATGGTCAACGCCCCCAAGTCAGCAGGAAGTAGTCTTGAGAACTCCACACCCTTATTCCCTAGCCTGCCACGCCTAATTCAACCACCTTTTTAATAATAAGAGGTGGGCAGGGCAGTGGTGGAGCACACCTTTAATTCCAGCACTTGGGAGGCAGACTCAGGTGGATCTCTGTGAGTTTGAGGTCCCACATAGCATAGGCAACCCTTAAACTCTTGATTCTCTGGCCTCCACCTCATAAGTGTTGAAATTACAGTGTGCCACCACATCTGACATTAGTGTTCTATTCATTTATTTGAGACAATCTATCCTGGAACTCACTGTGTAGCCCAGGCTAGACCTACACCCACAGCAATCTGTTTGCCTCAGTCTCCCAAGTGCTGAGATTACAGGTGTGCACCATCACACTCAGCTTTACAGGTTTATTCTTTTTTTAAGTGATTTATTTATTTTTATGTGCATTGGTGTTTTTTCTATGTGGGTGCCAGATCTCTTGGAACTGGAATTACAAACAGTTGTGAGCTTCCCTGTGGGTGCTGGGAATTGAACTTGGGTCCTCTGGAAGAACAGTCAGTGCTGTTAACTGCTGAGCCATCTCTCCAGCCCCCAGGTTTAGTCTTGTTCTACGGCAAAACAGGACCTCCCTGTAACAAGCAGTGAGACTGGGTGGACCTATGGCTGTTAAGGGCTGAGTTTAATGGTCTAGACTTTCCAGTGACATGCATACATATGGACAATATCTGATTCACTATGTTGTCCCCAGACCTGTCACAGTGCCAGATGCCATCAGAGCTCAGTAAATGACTATTGAATGGACACAATGGCCACCCATAACTCTGAAGGTGATCTCTACCCTTTAGCATACTATGGATAGTGTGTCCTGGCTTGTCTTTGAACAACAAAAAGGTTAACTTAGCTGCTGGCCACATGTGACAGATTTGTTAAGGAGAGCCCTCCTTGCAGAGCAGCGATGCCTTGAAACTGTCATCCAATGAACTCCATGAGCGAGCACTCCAGGTCAGGAAGGCTGCTGATTTGATTTTATCTGTCTTTTAAGATGCATCTTTGATCATGCCCTATTCCAGCTGGACTTCCTTGCCTAGCCTTCCCTTCTCCATTACTAATGGTGCTAGATCAACTTACCTCATTATTCCTTAATTTATTTATGAAAAGGCTGAGGTTAAAGAAAAGAAGCAAACCCCTGGGTCCTTCGGGAACTTTCTGTAAAAGCTTCTCCTTTCCTTTCCCCTCCCTTCAGCCAGATACAATATCTCACCATTGTCCCTGGCAAGCTGGAACAGTTTTTATTTACAAACTTATATAAATAAACCTTGCTCTGGCTGGGTGGAGGCCATCTGTATGGGCTAAGTCTGCACTGTCCATTCCCAATGGATTACTCTATCAACATGAACTCACACACAGCAAGCCCAGCACAGCGTTCCAGGGCAAGCAGACTTGCCATCAAACACTTGAGGGAGAGAAGTAGTTTTAAAATTTAAATTTTACCATTACACAGTAATTTTTGGACAAATCACTTGTGTATAAAATGGAAACACAGAACTATGCAGAGGACCAGTGAGTTAGCTCAGTGGGTAAAAGCATCTCCTGCCATGCCTGAAGATCCAAGTTGATCCCTGGCACCTATACTGTTTTCTGACCTCATGAGCACAAACTCCAGAAACAGGGGGCTGGAAAGATGGCTCAGTGGTTAAGAGCACTGGACATCCTTCCAGTAGGACCCAGGTTCAATTCCCAGGACCCCCATGGCAGCTCAGAACTGTCCGTAACTCCAGTTCCAGGGGACCCGACACCTCATATCAATGCACATAGAATAAATAGTATATAAAAAAGAATACCTCAGCCGGGCGTTGGTGGTGCACGCCTTTAATCCCAGCACTCGGGAGGCAGAGGCAGGTGGATCTCTGTGAGTTTGAGACCCTGGTCTACAAGAGCAAGTTCTAGGATAGCCTCCAAAACAATACAGAGAAACCCTGTCTCAAACACCCCCCCAAAATATACCTCCAGAGACATAACATAATCTAAGTAAAATATATAATTTTCAAAAGATTTAAAGAGACAAACTGAAGCAAGCAAAGTAAGCTTTAAAAAAAAAAAGTCGAAAATGAAAGGTGGGCCAGGAATGGTGATATACTCCAGAGCCAGAATCTGGCTGAGTTCCAGGTCATCTGAAACTACACGGTGAGATACTGTCTCAGAAGAACCCCCCCCCCTCCAACTAAGTAATAACATAACAAGGTGAAGGCTCCCTTTATGTCCTTCATCTCATCCCACTGAGGGGAGGCTAGCACTTTTCCCTCCAGGTTTCTGTTCAACTTCTGGGTCCAAGTTTCAGGAGTCGCTGACTTTACAGGAAACAAGAACCTTCCTTGAGGATTCATTCTTTTATTTACTTTTCCAAGAGTGTGCATTTTGGCCTGGTGTGTGCCAGTGTTTGCCTTGAACACAGGAGACTTGGTTCCACCATCAGCACCTGAAGCAGGACGTTCCTGTCCTTTTATAACCATTCCTCTCTAAACAGCAAGGATGGCATCACTACGACGTGCAGTTCTGTCTGTCTATCCCACAAGCCCGGACACTCTTCCAGCCAGACTGCACGTTCACATTTCAGTGGCTGTAATTCTATTTTACAGAATAGAGGTGCCTTTCTATTACCATTTCTCTTCTAATGAGTGTTAGCATAATTTCCAATGTTCCAATATTACAGCTGCTCTCTCTGGAGTTCCTCAGTCAATCCACTCATTAACTGTGGCTCATCGAGTGCCACCCTATCTCCTGGCAAACAAAGGATCCCTCGAAAATCCTTTTTTAAAAAATATTTAAATCCCCCACCTCCCAAAGACTGAAGATCCGGCTCTCAACAACCCAGGAAGCCGAGGTCACCGGGGCGTCTCCCCAGATGAGAAAAGGGGTCCCAAAGCATCTGCACGCACTTTGCTGGGTGCCAGGTCAAGGTCTTTTGCAGCCCGCACGCTCCGCGCGGAGCGGCGGACCAGGGAGATCCGGCGGGGTGGGGCCGAGCTGCGCGCGACCTTCGGCGCGCTCCAGGAGACCAGGCAGAGCGACCACTCTGGTCACCGCGGTCGCGGGCTCTATGACTCCTCACTGGGGGGCGGAGCGGGGAGGAGTCGGCGGAGAAGGCGGAGACCGCCGGGCACCGTGAGCCTCGGAGCAGACCTCTCGCGGAACTGCGTCCCGAGAATTAGCAAGTCCCGCGCTTGCGCACTGCAGCGGTGGCCTGTGGCGCGGCTGGCGCAAGGCGTTTCGGTGGTGTGAAGGCCAGCGTCGCCTCGAGCCGTCGCAACCATGAGCGGGACCTTAGCGAAGATCGCGGAGATCGAAGCCGAGGTAAAGGGCGCAGTCGGCGCTTCCCTCGCGGGCGAGCATCACTGTCCCGGCGGTGCCGCTGTCCGGACGTACGGTCAACGGCGTCAGGGCCCTGTTCCTGCCCAGCTTCCACCCCGGAGCCACCGACTCCCTTCCGCTCCTCGGTCCAAGCCTCGGCCCCTTACCCTGGCAGCTCCTCCCTGGGCGCCTCCTCTGGGCCTGGGCTCCTCCGCTTCCATTAGCAGGCTCCCTGTTCACCTGCTGGCCCCTCGCGCTCTGCTTCAGCCTCCCACATCCCACACCCGGTACCCGCTCCGGTGCTCAGCGTACATCTCGATATTTCTGATTTGCTTGCTTTTCTCTGGGTCACACCGACTTCTGCTCAGACACCATGGTGTGACCACGTATGTTTTTTTTTTTTTTGTTTTTTGTTTTTTTTTTGGTTTTTCGAGACAGGGTTTCTCTGTGGCTTTGGAGGCTGTCCTGGAACTCGTTCTGTAGACCAGGCTGGCCTCGAACTCACAGAGATCCGCCTGCCTCTGCCTCTCGAGTGCTGGGATTAAAGGCGTGCGCCACCAACGCCCGGCTGTGACCACGTATGTTAAAGTCTTGCCTTCTCGCCACTCTAACCCTGATGATAGCACGTCATTGATTTTTGGCGGTAAAAATTTTTTTTTTGCAAGTAAATTAATTCTACCCGGATAGCGTGTTACCTGTGAAGTTCGGAGCTTTTTAAATGTAGTGAACCTTGTTTTAGACCAGGTCCAGCAGATTTTTTTTTTTTTTTTGGTTTTTTACGAGACAGGGTTTCTCTGTATTATTTTGGAGGCTGTCAGTCTAGCCCAGCCTCGAACTCACAGATAATCCGCCTGCCTCTGCCTCCCGAGTGCTGGGATTAAAGGCGTGCGCCACCACTGCCTGGCTCAGCAGTTGGGTTTTAATTCCACCTGTGGACAGGAATTGCAGTGACCTTTGTTCTGTCACATCGGATCTCATTTCTTTTTCTCTGTAGTGAGAAAAATGAGGTGGATGGTGGGGAGAGTGAATTTAGAGCCCCTTTATTTATTTGTGTGTCAGAGCATAATTTAAGGGACTCATTCTGAACTGTCATATGGGTTCTGGGATTGCATTTAGCTTTTTAGGCATGGCAGTAAGTTCATTGAGTTTTTGAGCTTACTTAGTTGGCTCTGGGGTTTCCCCTCCACTCTTTCTTTTTTTGAGAGACAAGGACTCTCAACATAGCCCTGGATGTCGTGGAACCATATAGACCGGTTGGCCTTGAATTCAAGAGAGATCCAACTTTGCCCCCAGAGTTTTGGGATTAATCAGGCTTGGGTTTGTTTGTTTGTTTTGTTTTGTTTATTAAGGCAGTGCTCAGGAGGCAGAGGTAGAGGCAGGTGAAACTGTGAGTTTGAAGCCAACTTGGTTTACATAGGGAGTTCCAGGACAGTCAGGACTACAAAGAGAGACCCTGTCTCCAAAAAAAAAAAAAAACCCACAAATAAACAAATAGATGAAATGGATATACTGACATTAGTAGGACCTAGAAAAACAAAACATCATGCTCCCAGCTTTTGGGAACCCTCTAGTTGCTTTATGTTGTCTGAAATGCTGCAGGTTTGTGACTGTGATTCTTCCCTTATTAGATGGCCAGGACTCAGAAGAACAAGGCTACAGCACATCACCTTGGGCTGCTTAAGGCTCGACTTGCTAAGCTTCGAAGAGAACTCATCACCCCTAAAGGTGGTGGTGGTGGTGGTCCAGGAGAAGGTTTGTGGTTCTATATAATGTATGTTTGTGTGTGGTTTCTGCTAAACTAATATGGGGAGAGAGAGGGAGGGAGGGAGAGAGAGTTCATATGCCTGTTAATTATTTATTTTTCTTTTGAGGTAATCTCACTGTCTGTCCTGGAACTTACTCTATAGACCAGGCTGGCCTCAAACTCACAGAGATCCAACCACCTGCCTCTGCCTTCCAAGTGCTGGGGTTAAAAATATGCACCACTATGTCTGGCTTCTGTGAATGATTTTTGTTTTTGTCACAGGGTTTTTTGTGTAACAGCCCTGGCCTAGAATTCACAGAAGTCTGCCTTCCTCTGTCTCCCGGGTGCTAGGATTGAAGGCCACCACCATCGCCTGGCTACTTTATTTTTATTTATTTACCTTTTGTTTTTGTTTTTATTGATGTCCTACTGATCCAGGCACTTACTATTTTAGTTAGACTTAACTATTCTTCAAGCTCTGGAGATGTGCCTGTTACCCAGCAATGAGGTTACACGTGTGTGTAGGTGTTGCTAGGCTTCCACGTGGGTGCTGAGAATCCACAATGAGGTCTCATGCTTGTATGACAGGCACACTGATTACTAAATCATACCCTTGACACCATTATTTGTAAACATTTACATTTTATTTTGTGTATGTAGCTAATATTTATAGCAGGCAGTGGTGGTGCATGCCTTTAATCCCAGCACCACATGGCAAAGGCAGGCAGATCTGGTTTTTTGTTGTTGTTGTTTTGTTTTGTTTTTTGGTTTATTTGTTTTTTTTTCTCAGAGACATGGTTTCTCTGTGGCTTTGGAGGCTGTCCTGGAACTAGCTCTTGTAGACCAGGTTGGTCTGGAACTCACAGAGATCCGCCTGCCTCTGCCTCCCGAGTGCTGGGATTAAAGGCTTGCGCCACCACTGCCCAGCTAGCCAGGTCTTTTACCAATGAGCTACCTACCAAGTCCTTTAGCCAGAAATCCTGAATTATATTTATTTTAGTTTAATTTTCTAGTTTCAGACAACTGAATATTATCCAAGTGATTTATGTCTCATGCCAACTAAAATTAGATTTATTGAAATAAGTACACCTATAGCTGGAACCAAGTTGAAATAAGTAAAGAAGCTGATGTAAAGAGACTAGAATATGGCCGGGCGTTGGTGGCACACGCCTTTAATCCCAGCACTCGGGAGGCAGAGGCAGGTGGATCTCTGTGAGTTCCAGGACATCCTCCAAAGCTACAGAGAAACCCTGTCTCGAAAAACCAAAAAAAAAAAAAAAAGAGACTAGAATATGAATGTAGAAATAGTAAATTGAAGCTAAGGAAACTGTAACCAGGACGTGAAGGAATGCTATATATTTTGCATGCTTGCTAGAGAAGAGCCACAAACAGCTCTGAACTTATCTTATTTGCAGCCCTTATTAAATACAACAACAACCAGGGCCTTTAGTGCTTGCTATGCAAGTACAAGGACCTGAGTTGAGATCCCAACGCCAAGTACAAAGCTGTGTGTGGCCACGAGCTTTCATAGTCCCTGTGCCAGAAAGGGAGAGGTAGGAGGGCTCCTGGGGCTTTCTGTTCAACAGCCCAGCTGATATAGTTGATCCAGGAAAACATCTGGTGTCAGCCTCTGGCTTGTACATACATGGGCTCAGGAACACACACACATACGCACGCACATACCCCAAAAAGCTGGTAACACACAGTATTTGAGACCAAAGGCAAGAGGATTGCTTAAGTATATCCTATTTAAAAAAAACCTGATCCCATTATTCCCAGGGATAAGATAAAACCCAAACCAGAGTTAAAAGCCTCAAATGCACACACCCTGAGATTTTGGGGTTTTTGTTTTGTTTGAGACAGGGTTTCTATGTAGACCAGGCTGGCCTTGACCTCTCAGAGTGCTACCTGGCCATGGCTCTGGAGTGCTAGGATTAAAGGTGTGTACTACTCTGCCTGGCTTCCTTTGTTTTGATGTTTTAATTTTTGATTTTTGTTTGTTTCTAGACAGGGTTTCTCTGTGTAGCCTTGCCTGCCCTGGAACTCAATCTGTGTACCATGTTGGCCTGGAACTCACAGGGATCTGCCTGCCTCTGCCTCTCGAGCTTGGGGATTAAAGGCATGCTCTACCAGTGCTCAGATGATATTTTTAATTTCATATTTTAAATTTATGTATATGCTGGGCATGGCAGTGTGTGGCTTTGATCCCAGCACTTGAAAGCAGAGACAGACAGATCTCTGTGAGTTCCAGGACAGCCAAAACTACATAATAAAACCCTGTCTCAAAAAACATTTTTAAAATAAATTTGTGTGTATATGTGATTACTTGTTTGTATGTGCACTGGTACCTTCAGAGGCCTAAGAAGCAATCATATCCCTTGGAACTGCACTTAGAGCTACCTAGTGTGGGTGTTGGGAACCAAGCCTGGGTCCTTTGCAAGAGCAGCAAAGAGCCATCTCTAACCACCTGTGTTAGTTTTGGGGTGGGGGTGCTTTGCCTTCGTGTATGTATCTGTGTACCAGTGTGTGAAGTGCCTCTGGGGGCCAGAAGAGCTTATCAGACCCATTGGATCTTCTGAGACTGGAGGAGGTACAGATCACTGTGAGCTACCTTGTGAGTCCTGGGGATTGAGTCTGGTCCTCTGCTAGAGCGGTAGCACTCCAGTCCCAGCGCATTGTGTTTTGGGGAGAGGACCTTAAATATTCCAAGCTGGCCTCCAAGCTTCTTATGCTCCTGCTTTTTACCTCTCAAGCACTGAGATTACAGGCATATGTCACCATACCTGCGTAACCTTCATTATTTTTGTAATCTTTGGGCCTTAAATATTATACTAAAAACTGTTATAATTTAAGTAATGAAGGATTACATTGTTTTAATTAGGTACTGTGTTAAATTGAATTGTGAGTCTTATGCTTGAGTTCTATTTCAGAAGTAAGCTGCAGAAAGTTAGAGAAACACTAATAAGAACGTGAAAGGAATTAGGTGAGCTGTAATGCGTCCAAGGATAACTCCTGACTTTTTGATGTTTATTGATGTTTTAGGTTTTGATGTGGCTAAGACAGGTGATGCTCGAATTGGGTTTGTGGGTTTCCCGTCTGTGGGGAAGTCAACTCTGCTGAGTAACCTAGCAGGAGTGTACTCTGAAGTGGCAGCTTATGAATTCACTACTTTGACCACCGTGCCTGGTGTTATCAGATACAAAGGAGCCAAGATCCAGGTGAGTAAGATTTGCAGACCAAGAAAGAGATCCATTGTTTTCATTTCAGAAGCACTTTATTAGCAGCCCACAGTATGTCAGGTCTGTTTCTTTCTTTTTTTCCTTTTTTACTTCTTATTTTCTGTGCATTGGTGTTTTGCCTGCATGCATGTCTATGAGAGTTCTAGATAACAGCGAGCTGGGTGCTGAGAACTGAACCTGGGTCCTCTGGGAAAGGAGTCAGTTCTCTTGACTGAACCATCTCTCCAACCCCAAGTCTATTCTTTTATTTGCTAGACCCCTCGTCTCTTAATAGTTTCTACATTAAACAGTTGAACAATAAAGTAACACAATGAAATAGGACTTATGAAAATATGTAAAAAAGAGGGACTACTGTTTTATCTGGTGATGGGGAAAGAACATATGAGATAAGGCTTTGTGTACAAAGTGACGTTTGGAAGTCAGTCTTTTATTTATCTGAGAAGAATTAAAAACAACTGTACTGGTACATCTTATGACTACTTGATATCAGAGCCTTTGTATATGCTAAGGAAGTTGAGCTTTATCTGTATAAGACTTGAACATTTAGGCTATATATTTTACTCTGTAAAGGCACCTGAGTTTCAGTGTATTGATTGATTGATTGATTGATTGATTGATTGATTGGTTTTCAGGACAGGGTTTCTCTGTGTAGCTCTGGCTGCCCTGGAAGTTGCTCTGTAGACCAGGCTGGTCTGGAACTCACAGAGATCCGCCTGCCTCTGCCTCCCAAGTGCTGGGATTAAAGGCATGTGCCACCACCGCCCACCTCTACTTGTTAAATGTATGATAAATGATCATGAGCTTATTTATTTATTATGTATACAGAGTTCTGCCCACATGTATGACTGCAGGCCAGAGCAGGGCACCAGATCTCATTGCAGATGGTTGCTGGGAATTGTTCTTGGGGCCTCAGAGGTCCCACGAACAAGCTGTCTTTCCAGCCCTAACTTGAGGTTTTTAAAGACAAGGTCTCATATAGCCAGACTAGCCTCATATTTAGTTTGTAACTCCTGATCTTTGTGCCTCTACCTCTGATGTGATCATAGACCTGTGCCACTATACCTAGCACTCAGACCTTTTCCATGAAGTATGTAGTGTATCTGTCTGAAGTTTTTGTTTTGTCTTGTTTTTTTTCTGAGACAGTATTTATTTTCTCTGTGTAGCCCTGACTATCTTGGAATACACTCTGTAGACTGGGTGGGTCTTGAACTCAGGAGATCTTCCTGTCTTTGCCTCCCACACACGGGGATTAAAGGCATGTGCCAATACTACATGGGTTTTTTTTTTTGTTTGTTTGTTTTTGGAGGAAGTGGTTGAAGCTAATTTGATGTGGGGTTTTTTTTTTTTATGTTTTTGTGTGCTTGGGAATTAAATTGAGGATTTTGTTCATCCTGAATATCTAGCACTAATTTGAGACTTTGGCTTGTGTGTGTGTGTGTGTGTGTGTGTGTGTGTGTGTGTGAGAGAGAGAGAGAGAGAGAGAGAGAGAGAGAGAGAGAGAGAGAGAGAGAGAGAGAGAGAGAGAGAGAGAGAGAGAGAGAGAGAGAGAGAGAGAGAGAGAGAGAGAGAGAGAGAGAGAGGAGAGAGAGAGGAGAGAGAGAGGAGAGAGAGAGAGAGAGAGAGAGAGAGAGAGACTGCTACTACAATCAATATAGTGACCTTATATAGTCAACCTTTACAGGTTCTGTAATCAAGGATTCAACCATGGATTGAATATGTTTCTGAAAAAAAATTGTGTATGTATTATTTACATAGTATTTACTTTGTTTTTTTTTAAGATTTATTTATTTATTATGTATACAGTGTTCTGTCTGCATGTATCCCTGCATGTTAGAGGAGGGTACCAGATCTCATTACAGATGGTTGTGAGCCACCATGTGGTTGCTGGGAATTGAACTCAGGACCTCTGGAAGAGCAGCCACTGCTCTTAGCCTCTGAGCCATCTCTCCAGCCCCAGTATTTACTTTGTATTAGGTATTAAAAGTAACTTATCAAGAGTTTTTTTATTTCGTTTGTTTTCAAGACAGGGTTTCACTTTAGGCTTGGCTGTCCTGAATCTCACAGAGATCTACCTGCTTCTGCCTCCCAAGTGCTGGAATCCATTAATGAGTAATTGCTAATCATTTTTTTTGTCACACTGATTTCCAAAGCAGCTGTACAAGTTTGCACTGGCACCAGCAGTGGAGGAGTGTCCCCTTTTTCCACATCCTCTCCAGCATAGGCTGTCGTTCTGACACGTGTAAGATGGAATCTCAGAGTTGTTTTGATTAAGAGCAAGTTCTCTTAACCACTGAATGGTTCTTGGTTTGGCCTCTGTGTTGTCACAGTTAAGCGCATCCTCACACTCTTGTCTGCTCTGTCGGTGCCTGCTTTCAGCCGTAGCTGCTGTTCTAACGGTGACATCGGTTCTTCTTCCCACTGCATATGCTAACTAGATTTCTGCACACAAGAGCTGCCCTTCGCACCAGCCTGGTCTACAAAGTGCATAGCCAGGGTGACACACAGGAGAGACTCTAGTTCAATACTTAGAGCTGGTGTTGGTTCAGACTTTTTTTTTTTTTTTTTGGCTTTTTCAGAGACAGGGTTTCTCTGTAGCTCTGGAGCCTGTCCTGGAACTCACGCTGTAGACCAGGCTGGCCTCGAACTCACAGAGATCTGCCTGCCTCTACCTCCTGGGAATAAAGGCATGCGCCACCAGCGCCTGGCTCAGACTTTTTTTTAATCTAAAGGTTTTGTGTTTTTGTAATTTTGTGTGTATGGATGTTTTGTCTGCATGCACATTTGCACATCAGAAGAGAGGACATTGGTTTCCAGGAGACTACAGATATACATTCTTGTGAGCCACCACCATGTGGGTGATGGGAATTGAACTTACATCCTCTAGAACAGTAACTAGTGCTTGTAACTGCTGAGCACCTGGTAATTTAGGCATATTTAAGAATAGTACAATTTGGAAAAATGTTTTCTGATGTAACACAGTGCCGTGTGTACAAGGAGGTATATTTACATTGAAACTCTTCTCAAAGTGCATGTCACTTCTTCCATGAAGGTGGGTCCTAGAGACAAGCTGCCTGTGTTATGGTAAGGGACTAGGGAGGATTTGATGTGGTCTCAGTCATACTGATATCGTAGAGATCATCCGGGCCACCTCTGTCCTACTTGTGGGAGCTTGGTATGGCCGGGCCCTAACAGATGCAGAGGGTCACTTAGGGTATTAGCTACCTCTGTTCTCAGCCTTCTGGGCAGAAAACAGGTTATATATCTTTTCCTTTAAAAAGACAGCCCTCTGTGTTTAATTAACATTCCTGACATTCTGGGTGTGATCTGTGAGTGCAAGGACTTGTGTTCCTAATACAAAGGTTGGATTTGGGTCTCATAAATTTTGGATACTACAGAAATGAAATACTGGTATTTAAAAGCGGATACTAGTTAGTATGATTGATGTGTTCAGATTTATAACTGGTGGTTCCTCATTTTCACTGTTCTTAATCTTACAGCTCCTGGATCTCCCAGGTATTATTGAAGGTGCCAAGGATGGGAAAGGCAGAGGTCGTCAGGTCATTGCAGGTGAGTGAGTGGTCTGGGGCTGCCGTTTGTGGACAACACTGTTCCAGTTGTTCCCTCCCTGTAAGTTCTGGACTTTCAGATATCTGTATTGATTGTTTTTTTCAGTGTGATCTTTGTTCAGTAGAAATCCTTAATTTGATAGGTTATAATTTTCCTTAAAAATAAAATATATATATAGTTTATAAGTAGTTCTTAGCCTACATTGTCTGTATGTGCTCCACATGGTCTGCCTAGTGCCTGGGGAGGCCAGTGAGGTGATTTTATCCCTTTGAACTGGAGTTTATAAGTGCCTGCCACCATGCCTTTTTTTTTTTTTAATTTTGGGTATCAAACTCAGGTCCTGATGTAGACAGTATATACTGAACTATCTCCCCAGTGCTGAAGGTGTTTTATAAATCCTTACCTTTCCTTAGGTTTCGTTGTTAACGTTTATTTTTGTGTGTGCTTTGTGTGATATGTAGCTTATTGACTGTGGAGGTCTGAATAGTCCATTGGATCTCTGGACTGGAATTGTGGATGGTTATGAATGCTAGGAACCAAATCTAGGTCCTTTGCAAGAGCAACATGTGCTTTCAACCATTGAGTCATCTCTCCAGCCCCAGACTTAATATTTTATTTATTTATTTATTGTGTGATCTTCTGCCTGCATGCCAGCAGAGGACATCAGAGCTCATTCAAGGTGGATGTGAGCCACTATGTGGTTGCCGAGAATTGAACTCAGGTCCTTTGAAAGAACAATCAGTGCTCTTAACCGCTGAGCCATCTCTCCAGCCCCAGACTTAATATTTAATATTTATAATGCTTTTGGTTGCTATGACAGAATGAGTCACTGTTTCACAGAATCAGTCCAATATGTCAGGACCTCACAGAACTTATTTCTCAGAAGAGAAATGGAGGGAATTAGAGAGGATAAAGGAGGGGATGATATAAATGACCAGTAAATAATACGAAATATTCAACATTGCTAGTCACTGTCAACACTGAGAGAGATCATTAAATATTCGTTAGTAATACCACTGACTATTGGTAAGGACATGAAGTACTTGGGAGTTTTTACTCACTGTTAATGGGAATATAAGCTTTCATAAATACTTGGACAACTGTTTAACAGTTTCTGATCACTTTTTTGTGATATGCAACAGTTTATCTAGGAAAAATGAAAACACCAACAGAAACACTTGTACATAACTGTGTCCCGTCCCTTATGTGTATCCCTGTCTGTGTTGTCCCCCCCCTCCCATTTCTCTGTGTAACAGCTCTGGTTGTAGTACTCACTTTGTAGACCAGGTCTGCCTTGAACTCACGGAGATCTGCCTGCCTCTGCCTCACAAATACATGACTGTTTACAGCAGATTCACATTATACTTCTAAATAGAAAATAATACTTATGTTCTTCCACAGGTAAATGGCAGGTCATAGTTTAGTTTACTCACTTTTTTTTGGAGACAGGGTTTCTTTGTATGGCTTTGGAGCCTGTCCTGGAACTCACTCTGTAGACCAGGTTGGCCTCGAACTCACAGAGATCCACCTGCCTCTGCCTCCCAAGTGTTGGGATTAAAGGCGTGCGCCACCAACGCCAGACTAGTTTACCCACTTATAAAAGAGACAAGTTACGCCGGGCAGTGGTGGCGCATGCCTTTAATCCCAGCACTCAGGAGGCAGAGGCAGGTGGATTTCTGTGAGTTCGAGACCAGCCTGGACTAACAAGCGAGTTCCAGGACAGCCTCCAAAGCCACAGAGAAACCCTGTCTCGAAAAAACCAAAAAAAAAAAAAAAAAAGAGAGACAAGTTACTGATAACATACACAATGTGGCTGAATATTCAAAAGTGCTAGAATAAAAGATTTGTGCAGAAAAGAATACATTTTTATTTTATTCTATTTAAGTGGAATTTTTAAGAGTAAAACTATCTATGGTGATTAGCAAGAAATAAGAGAAATGGTTCTAAAAATTGGTATAGCTTTTGGAGATGATTTGAGTGTTCTGTATATTTTGATTGACTTTTTTTTTGGGGGTGTGGTTTTTGAGACAGGGTTTCTCTGTATTGCTTTGGAGCCTATAGACTAGGCTGGCCTCGAACTCACAGAGATCCACTTACCTCTGTTTCCTGAGTGCTGGGATTAAAGGAATGGCCACCACCACCCACCTTGATTGACTTATTTTTGACATAGTTGACCTTAATTTGTTTTGGTAGCTGAGGGTGCTCTTATCTTCATGCAGTGATTGCAAGTGTCTGCCACCACACCCATCTTACTGTATCTTGACTAGTGTGGTGGTTATATCAAATCATCTGCAAAACAGCTGTAGTTTATCTTTGTAAATTGTGGTTTGATAAAGCTGATTAAATGTCTGTAAATTGAGGGCTGGAGAGATATTTCAGTGGTTAGCAGCACTGCTGGTCTTTACAGAGGATCCAGGTTTTATTTTCACCCACATGGTAGCTTACAGCTCTCTTGTGTTTCCAGTTTCAGGGGATCTTCTGTGTGGTAGTCAGTTAAATGCTTATACCTATTAAAACCCAAACCAAATACATGACTGTTATCATGTAATACAGAGAATATAATCTGATTTTTGTCTTAGAGTTTGTGTTACTTTAAAGTTTATTATTTTAGAGTTTGTATTTTTTTTTTTTTATTTGGTTTTTCGAGACAGGGTTTCTATGTAGCTTTGGAGGCTGTCCTGGAACTCACTTTGTAGACCAGGCTGGCCTCGAACTCATAGAGATCCACCTGCCTCTGCCTCCCGAGTGCTGGGATTAAAGGCGTGTGCCACCAACGCCTGGCTAGAGTTTATATTTTAAAATGTCTCTAAACTTAGTTTATTGCTCAGTTTATATCTTTAGTTTTGATTTTCTTACTCATGTATAAAAGATGGGCCAGTGTTCTGGGTGATTGTTTGATAACTTTAAGGTATGTACCGCAAATTGATAGCTAGAATAAATCTTTGGTAACCTTAAGTAAGCCTTTTGTGTGTATATAACAAGAAAAAAATCACAATCTAGGGGTTAGACAGAAAACACTGCTGTTTGAGTTTTTGGGTAAGTAAAGGCTATATGCATTCAACTTAAGTATCATCTTTACCCCCAGTGGCCCGAACATGTAATTTGATCTTGATTGTTCTGGATGTCCTAAAACCCTTGGGACATAAGAAGATCATTGAAAATGAGTTGGAAGGCTTTGGGATTCGATTGAACAGCAAACCCCCCAACATTGGCTTTAAGAAGAAAGACAAGGGAGGCATTAATCTCACAGCTACTGTAAGTGGGGAAGATGACATGGGTTGAATATTGACTGAAGGGGTTGGTGTGAAAGTGGATTCAGACGTGCAGAAATTGGTAATTTGGAAATTTTCTGACCCTTTCCTGCTCTCATTGAGATAATTCAGAGACTTTATAATGACTTATAAGAAAGACAAGGTCAGTACAGAAGTCATTCACAGATTGACTTTTTCAACTTTATTTCTCCTTTTTAGGTCTCTACTTAGGGTGGTGCAAGCATTTGGAACAGCATTGCCCTAAAGTAGTTGCCAGGATACTTACTGTGCTTTAATGTATTGAACATGAGTCTGTGAAGAACTAACGAGAGACCAAGTGTTCTTTTTTTTTTTTTTTTTTTTTTTTTGGTTTTTCGAGACAGGGTTTCTCTGCATTGTTTTGGAGGCTGTCCTGGAACTCACTTTGTAGACCAGGCTGGCCTCGAACTCACAGAGATCCGCCTGCCCAAGTGTTCTTTTAAGCTCTGGAAGTAAGGGATGATATAGAGAAAGGCCCAGGGTAGTGAAGAACCTTCATTCTTTGGTAAATGAACAATTATGGAGGAAAATACAGTCTACTAGATTGATAGGAAAAGTAGGGAAGGTGAGGAAGCTATCCCCACCTCCCTAGGCTTGTGCTTCTCAGGTCAGCCTCAAACTTATGATGTAGCTGAGAATAATGTTGAACTTACACTCCTGCTTCTGCCTCCTGAGAGCTGGGGTGACAGATGTTTGCCAATATGCCTTGTTTCTGGGGTTTCTGGAGATTTAATCCAGGGCTTTCCGCATTCTAGGTAAGCTTTCTACCAACTTAACTACAGCCCCAGTCTCTAGGGCTACCTTTCTAATTTCGTTTTCTTCTTATAGGGTTTCTCTGTGTAGTTCTGGCTGTCTATTTTTTTGGGGGGGGGTTTCGAGACATGGTTTCCTGTGGCTGTTCTGGAACTCACTTTTTTAGACCAGCCTCGTCTGGAACTCACAGAGATCCTCCTGCCTCTGCCTCCCGAGTGCTGGGACTAAAGGTGTGAACCACCAACGCCGGGCCTATAAAGTTTTTTTAGTTATATTCTAATGTAAATTAATTACTTTCGTCCAGGGCAGTGTAATAAGTTTAATTTTTTTTTCTTTTTTGAGACAGGGTTTCTGTAGCTTTGGAGCCTGTCTTAGAATTCGCTCTGTAGCCCAGGCTGGCCTGGAAGTTTCTGCCTCCCAAGTGCTGGGATTAAAGACTTGTGCCACCACTGCCTGGCATGAGTTTAAATATTACCTAGAATTTTCAGGTACAGGGCTGAGGATGTAGCTTGATAGAGTGTTTGTCTAGCATGCACAAAACCTGGATTTAATTCATAGTACCGCATTAACATTAGCAGAGTGTGGTGTTGCATGTCTGTGATCCAAGCACTTGGGAGTTACAGTTAGGAGGATAAAGGTCATTCTTGGCTGCTTAGTGACTTTGGAAAAAGAAAAGTACAGAGACGCTGAATATGGTGCCGCATGCAACCAGACAAAGGCAGGTAGATCTCTGCGTTCCCGGCCAGCCAGAGCTACATAGTAAGTCCCTGTTTCCCAAAAAAGAAAAGTACATGGTCCCCCACCCTCCCTGATTGGTCTGTTTTTATTCTGTCCGTTCAGTGCCCTCAGAGTGAATTAGATGCTGAAACAGTGAAGAGCATCCTGGCTGAGTACAAAATTCACAATGCTGATGTGACTCTGCGTAGTGACGCCACAGCTGACGACCTCATTGATGTGGTAGAAGGAAACAGGTATTCATTGTGTCTTGGTGACCGTGTTTGAAGCTTATGAGGGAAGCAAACAGAGGGTTACAGATTTGGGAGATTGGTCCAGCCTGATTGTGGCCGTGCCTTTGCCTGTTGTGGGCCTTGAGCTCTTCACTGGATGTGTGTTCTGGCCTTTATCTCTGACTTCTTCCCTCGCTCTGCAGTTTAGTTACTGATGCTGATATTCCGTTTGAGTTATTTGCTGTGACCTTTGCTGCCTCTTAAGCTCTTCTGTCAAGTGGTAGGTGAAGAGAGGGGCTTGGGCAGTCTGCTCTCTCCAATTATTATTTGAGCAATCATAGGCCGAAGTTAGAGCACCAAGATGTGTCCATTCATCCTAACTGTATATAGCTGAAACCTTGTTCTATGAAACACTGCTACTGTTTGCACTTTAGTAATTTAGACCACTTTGTTGAAGTTATTCCTAACATTTACACAGAATCTTCTTAGTTGTTTATTTATTTGGAGAATTTGAGTTGAACGATTTACAAGTGAAGCAGATAAAGTCTGAGAAGTTACAGCTTGCCTAATTACTAGTAATCTTAACTGTCATATTGATTGGACACTAGGGGTATAACATTGATAAATGTTATACTTAAGGAAAAGTTTAAAGGCACACATCTGTAATCTAAGAGGCAGACAGATATCTGAGTTCAAGGACAGCCAGGACTTAGACAGAGAAACCCTGTCTCAAAAAAAAAGTTTCAGTCTTTAAAAACTATCAGGAGCTTTGGCTATTACTCATGATACAGTTTAGCCTACCATGAACTGGCTGAAAACAAGAAGCATGTTTGAAATTACAGGTATATATGCCAAGCAGGGGTAACACATGCCTTTAGTCCCACCAGAGACAGGCAGATCTCTGAGGTCAAGGCCAGCCTGGTCTACAGAGTGAGTTCCAGGACAGCCAGAATGGTTACAGAGAGAAACCCTGTCAAGAGAGGTAGAGGAATCATGGGCATATCTTCTGGTGGAGGGGTTGAGAGAGTAGCTCACTATTGTATGCTTCCCCTGAGCTTTGGGGGTACCTGCCCCCACCATCCACTGCTAGCACTGCAGGCATGTGCCACTCTGTTTTTTTTTTTGGTTTTTCGAGACAGGGTTTCTTTGTGGCTTTGGAGGCTGTCCTGGAACTCACTCTGTAGACCAGGCTGGCCTCGAACTCACAGAGATCCGCCTGCCTCTGCCTCCCGAGTGCTGGGATTAAAGGCGTGCGCCACCAACGCCCGGCTGCCACTCTGTTTTTGTTTCTTCTTTTCTCCTTTAAAAACAAAGCGAAACGAAAAACCCTTGTGTTCTTAAATTTCCCAGGAACTGTCTGAAAGTAGAACCTGAGTTTTGTTAATTCTCAATCTATAATTCAGTTTTTAGATTTTGGTACTTGCTTAGTTTTCAGTTTTTACTAGTTTTTACTTTATGTGTATGTGACTGCACCTGTATGCAAGTGCCCAAGGAGGCCAGATGCTATAGAAGTCACTGGAGCTATAGGAATTAGTGAGCTATCCAGTGTGGGTTCTGGAAACCAAACTCAGTTCTGTGGGAGAACAAGTGCTCCTGACTGCTGAGATTTCCAGCTCCTTGTGTTTATATTTTTAGAGAACTTAAAAAAAATTAGTGTGTGTATAAGAGAGACAGACTCATGTAATCCTTTTTTTTAATATTTTATTTATTTATTATGTATACAATCTTATGCACACCAGCAGAGGACACCAGATCTCATTCAAGGTGGTTGTGAGCCACCATGTGGTTGCTGGGAATTGAGCTCAGGACCTCTGGAAGAACAGTCAGTGCTTTTAACCTCTGAGCTATCTCTCCAGCCCTGAGACATGTATTCTTGAATGTGTGTTGTCTGCAGTGCACAAGTGGAGGATGAAGGATATTTTGTGGAGTTGGTTCTCTTCTTGTACCTTGAGTTCTAGGATCAGATTGGATCACCAAGCTAATAACTTTTCTTCTCCTTCTGTAGAGTTTATATCCCCTGTATCTATGTATTGAATAAGATTGATCAGATCTCCATTGAGGAATTGGATATTATCTATAAAGTGCCTCACTGCGTACCCATTTCTGCCCATCACCGCTGGAATTTTGATGACCTATTGGAAAAGATCTGGGACTACCTGAAACTAGTTAGAATGTGAGTCTTACTGATATTTGTCTGTTTTAGAGATAGAAGTAAAGTGCTTCCTACTGAGTGCTCTGTTCGCAGATTGGAGACTACCCTGGTCTGATGGCAGAAGCAACAGAGGGTTGGTTTATGTTCAGCACATGACAGTTGTGTCTTTCCTGTGTTCTAGTTACACCAAACCCAAAGGCCAGTTACCAGACTACACCTCTCCGGTGGTACTGCCCTACTCCAGGACCACGGTGGAAGATTTCTGCATGAAGATTCACAAAAACCTTATCAAAGAATTTAAATAGTAAGCATCATGGGCACGTGGTGCTACTGATTTCACGAGTAGCCTCTGCCTCCTGACAACTGGGATTATCGGCATGTGCCAGCATGACTGCCTTTCCTCTTAATGTTTATTTCTAGTGTGTGTGTGTATGCCTTAGTATGTATGTGTGTCATACATATCAGATCACTTGAAATAATATTTGTGAGCCACCATGTGGATGCTGGGAATCAAACTTGGTTTCTCTGCAAGAGTAGCATATGCTTTTAACCACTGAGCCATCTCCCCAGCTCCCTCTCACTGTCTGAAAGTCTTGAGTACCTGATTGGAGCAAGAAGAGTTTCAGAAGCCTCTTGAGCTCAGGAATGTTTGCTAGGGTGTATTTTCCCACTTGCCCTTGCCAATTCACCTTCCTTTTGGCAGGTGTGTGAAATGGCTTAGTGGATAAGAGTGCTTGCATTGTAAATAAGAAGACTTGAGTTCAAATCCCCTACTCTCACATAAAAGCTGTGTATGGCCCTGAATGCCTGTAAGCCCAGCATTATGCGTTAGAGAGAGGGGTTGCTGGAAGCTTCCTTGGTCTTCTAAAGTAGCTGTTAGTGCACTTAACTGCTCAGCTGTGTCTGCCCCAATGGTTTTTTGTTTTTGTTTTTATTTGTTGGTTTTTTGGCTTTTCGAGACAGGGTTTCTCTATGTAACAGCCCTGGCTGTCCTCAAACTCACAGACAGAGATCTGCCTGCCTCTGCCTCCCAGGCAAGTGCTGGGATTAAAGGTGCATGCCACTACTGGTTCAGCCCCCATTTTTCTGCTTTCCTTCAATTGACTATGGAATGAGAGCAATCTCATGATTTCTGAAAGCATTTGTCTTCGTGTGTAACGTTCCAGTGGACACACTGTCCTGAAATTGGCTTTGAGTGTGTGCCCTGATTTGGAAGAGAACTTTGAAATCTGTGTTGTGTCTTTTAAATCTGGTAAGGTAACTGGGGCTGAAGCTGGTTGTTACTGCCACTGACTATCTTTGTTCATTTCTATACAGCGCTTTGGTCTGGGGTCTTTCTGTGAAGCATAATCCTCAGAAAGTGGGTAAAGACCATACACTGGAAGACGAAGACGTCATTCAGATTGTGAAGAAGTGAAACCTTGTTCCCCACCTGCTGACTGGCCACAGCAGTGTTCCTTATGACCAAGTACCCTCCTCAACCCTTCTGTCTTTGGCAGCCATTGGATTGGGATACAGGCATAGATATGGAGACTCCAAACTGTAACATCATTTGTCTTTTTTGTTTTTGAGGTAGTGGCCTATTTATTTCAGACTGGCCTTGACCTCTAGCTGGGAGTGGCCTAGAATCCTCCTTTGTCTGTCAGCCTGCATCTCCCGAGTGCTGGGCTTACCAGTGTGTACTTGCACCTCAGCAGCCTCACCTTTCTTGCCTTGGTGTCTCTTCTCTTGAACTGTGTAAACCCGGATGGGCGCATTGGCTGTGTGTCATTGTCAGATTTGCTGGGGTTAGCTGAATGAGGAAAGGCCTGTCTGCAGGGAGGGAGCTGCAGAGTATGAAATAGATAATGTGACATGTGACATCCTTTGTGATGCAGAGTAATGAAAGGCTCCTTCACCTGCTGCAGCTTGCTTTCTTTTTCTCAGGACATTGGTGAGGGCAAGGATATGATAAAGTTAGCTGCTTATTTCCTCCGGTAGACAAAGCAGACAAAGCAGAGTGGGGTTTGAATTGTAGGGTTTGTCTTAGCTATGAATCTAAAAAAGATTAGTTAGCCTTTGTAAACCTCAACTTCATCATGTACTACAGGGATAATGGCATTAACTGTTAAGGTTGTGATTGCTGGTATTAGGTGTGGGTTTTGGAAGTTGCTTAGCACAGCAGTGATCATATAAATTTACTCAGCCCTTTTTAAAAAAAAAAAAACTGTGTATTTTATCACAGTCTTCATGTCATGGAACCTCTAAGCTAAAACATGCTGAAATCTTTTGACAACCTGTCACCAAGCCTGTAACTTTGGTAAAGGCAGGGAGTACATTAGAAGTGTGGCAGCTCATGCTAGCAGAATACTCATCCCTAGGAGTGAGAGGGACGATCATTGAGACTACGGGAGACAACACTTGGCAGTCTGCTTATCCTGATTATCTGAAGATGGTTTGCAGCCATCACATCATGGCTTAGTGAGAATGTGGGGTCCATTGGTATAGAGAAGTCTAAACCTGCTAACTCACTTTTAATGTGACTGCAGGGATGGTAGAGGCCTTGATAAAAACAAAAGCAAAAGCAGCTTTGTCTCCAGTGGAGATGAGCTAGAGCCTTTAGCAATCTGTGAGGGAAGATGAGGCCTATCCTCAGGCTTGTCCGCTGACCTACAGCTGTCTTTTTCCTTTCCTTTCTTTTTTTTTTTTTTTTTCAATTGGTGTTTTTGAGACAGGGTTTCTCTGTGGCTTTGGAGGCTGTCCTGGAACTCACTCTTGTAGACCAGGCTGGTCTTGAACTCACAGAGATCCACCTGCCTCTGCCTCCGAGTGCTGGGATTAAAGTTGTGTGCCACCACAGCCCGGCTCTTTTTCCTTTCTCTGGTTCAGCACTGCCTCCACATGTAGGTAGCCTCACTTGTCTCAGGCCAGGTGCTTTTCAGACTACAGACTGGTGTCTTCCAACAATACAAGAAGGAATTGGGGTTTAGAGCTGTGGAGTTTCTAGATAGGTTTATTGTGCAGTGAGAGCCTGTTGAGATTTTTGGGACTCTTCAGATCAAGTAAGATTCACTTTGCTTAAGCATTTAGCACTTCAGGATGCTAAAGAGAGGGCAGTCCAAATCTTTTGCAAGGCTATAGTGTTTTTGAAGAGGCCTTGAGTCCATCATTCAGTTCCCCTCCCCCAGTTGCCAGTTCTTCAGTTTACTGACATGCGTAGTCAAGGCTGGTTTGGACTTCTGGAAATGCAGTGTCCACCCCAAGAACAAAACAAACATATCACTACCTGTTCCCTTCTTTGGTACTTAAGACTTGATGGTTCTGAAGAGAAGATACAGTTTGTGTCAGGGTGATGGTTGGGATCTGGGTTAGGTGTTTGCAGGTTCTTGGCCTGTTATCCAAAGAATTGAAATTAAGGCCTTCCAGGGTTTTGCACTACAAGCAAGATAATTTCATTTAGAGCAAAGCAATTATGTAGATTATGGAGGGTTACACTGTCAAAGATTGACAGCAGACTGAGTGGGTGGGAGTACCTAAGGACCCTAGGCTACAGCCTAGGTCTCAAGGTCTTTCAAAAAAGGAGGGGTTGGCTACCAATGAATGGAGTTCGGAGTACTCTCTGTTTTGGGTTTTTTTGTTTGTTTTGAGACAAGATCTCTAGTTCTCGGCTGTCTTGGAACTAGCTTTGTTTAGGCTGGTCTTGAACTCACAGAGATGGTCCTCCTGCTTCTATCTCACAAGTGCTAAATTAAAGGCGAGTGCCACCATACCTGGCTTTGCTGTTTACCATTTTATTTACAGGTTTTTATATTCTTTTCCTGTTGCATGTCACTTCCCACATTATATCTGATTCCAATCCTCTGCATGCCCAATCATGAACAGGCACAAGTTGGTGTAATAGATTTTTCCTGATAGTTAACGTAGAAGACAGTTTGCATTGCTGCATGTGCACCCAGAACTAGTGAGGCCAGCTCAGCCCTTCTGTTTATAAACTTTCTAAATTTGATTGCTAGCTATGGGCAAATCCATATTGTTCAGGTAGCAATATGTATACCCTGATGCAGGCCAGGGTTCCATAGGGTTCTGGGTAGCTAGATGTATTATTTGGAGAGGGATATATGTACATAGAGTATGTGGTACAGAAATTAGGCTGCCAAGAATATTATCACAAGATGTGCATGATCCATACCAAATAGGGTTTCAGGTTAAACTCTCTTAAGCATTACTGCCTCAAGCTGCTAGAGAGGTACATTCTTTTTTATTCTTATTTTTTTGGTTTTGAGACAAGGTCTCAGCCAGTAGTGGCACATACCTTCAGTCCCGGTGCTTGGGAGGCAGAGGCAAGTCTGTGACTTCAAAGCCAACCTGGTCGGGCTACAGAGTAAGTTCAAGGACAGCCAGGGCCACAGAGAAAACCTGTCTCAGGGAACCAAAAAGAGAGAGACAAGGTTTATGTTAACTCTGGCTGGCCTCGAATTTAGAAATATCCTGTTTCTGCCTGCCAAGTGCAGAGATTAGAGGCATTATTTAATCCACCATGCCCAATGAGGTGCACTCTTGCATCCAAAGACCTTTCTCCTGAGGTCTCAGGAAGACTGGTGGTATGAGTTTCTCATGACATGGCTGAACATTTCCCATTTTGTTTTTCCTGGCTTTAGTATAGCTAAGCAGACCCACTGTTGATTCTGAAGTTAGGATGCTAAAGCTCCATTTAAGAGGGAAGTGTTAGCTTAATCATGGAAATGTCATTTTCACAGAAGTAGTATGTATTCATTAGGTGTCTCACCTACTCTGTTCACTACAGCTTGTTGGCTCTTTTGGGCAGCTGGCTGCCCCAAATCAAAAAAAGGTCTGCTAGAGCCTTGAGCTGAGTGTCATCCTGAGAATAATTTATAAGAGTGGCAAGACCTGGCCCCTCTATAATATTCCCACTTCTGATTCCTACTGCCTTTGCAAGGACTTCTTACTCCACAGTTTCTTTTGGGAAACTGTTATTTGCCTCACCTCACTTGCCCTCTCAATGTAGGTTTTTATTTTATAATACGTATATGGGTGTTTTGCCTTTGTATATGTCTCTGCATTCCTCCATTGACAGTTGGGACTGCTTTTTCCAGGTTTCTCTTGTGAAAGCATGGGCCAATCTACGCAGCGTGTTTCATGGGTTGTGAAGTCACTGAGAGTTGAGAGTATTCAATAAATTTGGAAGTACCAGATTGCCCTCATGCTTAACTCACAGCCATGTTTCGTTGAAAAAGCAACCCCTTTCTTGTCGCGAAATACAGAGTAGGTGGTAGGATTATAATTACTGAGAACCAAGACTTGTAAGCCATAGGCTGTATTTACCCCTGCAGTCAAAATCCAACTATGAATGGAGAATGGCATATTTTTATTAGTAGAGTTAAAATGGCATTTATAGACCTCAAAGTCCATAATTATCTAGTGATATTTTTTAAACTTATTTTCAAAGTTTAATCAGGAGAAGCTAACACAGGAGAGGCAAAGGAAAGACAGGTCAAATTGGAATTATGCTGGATTAACAAAGAGAATGTAAATTTTAGAGAAATTGCCATATACTTGATTTTTCCCCAACAAACTTTCATCAGGTCAGTTTCATTTTGAAAAGGGTGCAATATTGATACCCTTCATGTTTAGCCTAGCTTACACTAATGCTGTGGGACTTTACATGTAGGGAAAAGTTGAAATTAAAATGGAAGGGGCTGGAGAGATGGCTCAGAGGTTAAGAGCATTGGCTGCTTTTCCAGAGGTCCTGAGTTCAATTCCCAGCAACCACATGGTGGCTGACAACCATCTGTAATGAGATCTGGTGCTCTCTTCTGGCCTGTGGACATACATGCAGACAGAACACTGTATGTATAATAAATAAATCTTTAAAAAAAAAAGAAGAAATGCAAAAGAGCTGGGCGTTGGTGGCACATGCCTTTAATCCCAGCACTCTGGAGGCAGAGGCAGGTGGAAGGTGCATCTCTGTGAGTTCGAGGCCGGGCTGGACTGACAGCCTCAAACAATACAGAGAGACCCTGTCTCGTAAACACCCCGCCCCCCAAAAAAAAGCAAAAGAGAAATCTGTGTCTTGACCCAGTGTTAGAGACGAGATTCATGGAAGAAATAAGCACAGAACCAGTCACTTTGTTCACACACGTGGCATATGCAACTTTTAATAAACCAAAGAAAAAGTCCCAAATATACAAGTGGAAAAAAATCCAAACAGTTGACACAGGCCTAACTAATAGCTACTTTATGTACAGCTGTAAAGTTCAAAAAAAGCTATCCTATACGTATATACAAAAGTTTATACACAGGTCTGTACACAAGGGTCTATACATTTTATTTCTTCAGAACCCTTTTCTAGAAGACACCAACACTTCATTCACATGTTATAAAAGACAGACTTTGAAGATTGATAATATTGTGTCCCTTGTTTTGGACCGTGTAGGCTCCATTTTGATTGGTTTACAGCCTTCTGTCATAATGTAGTTCAAGGTAGGCAAGTGGGTCCCCTTCACACAGTGTGCTCCAATGTAAAATCCCATAAATAAAGATGGGGAATGAGCCTCATAACTAGGGTGCCACCATAGGTCCAGGTGGGTGAGCCCACCTGCCCTGTTCACTGTCTGTATTCCAGTTCATCTACACTGATGACTTTGGTGGGCATAGAGGGCAGAGGCTGCTGTAGCACATCTGAGCCAAACCATTTAGCAAGGCCCACAGGGGAGCTGCTCCTTTGACTGGTACGATGCTCCAGCTGGGAGTGCATGTGGGGCAGGCCTGACCTGCTGGGCACACTCTGAGGAGTCTGAACATTGATAGGTGCTGCCTGGGAACCCGAGCCTGGAGGATGCAGAACTATGGAGAGAAGAGTGTCACTCAGTACAGCATTCCATCCATAAAAACTTTACACATCTATTAGAGGGGCCCTTGGCTACTCACTCCCAAGACCTGTGGTCGCTATAACATTTTCTGACCGTCTTTGCTGGAATAGTTACTTTCAGGGTGGGGGAGTGTCTACCAAATGATTACTCCAGGACTTCCTAAAGTATAGAATGACTTTACATAGGAAAGCTAACTATAAACACCAAGGCTGACATGACCACATCTCAGGAAAGATTCTCAGCCTTCAAAGGGGTGAAAAAGAAAGCCAGAGCATGCCTGTCTCCCACTGTCCTCGCAGTAATAGCCCCAAAGACTGTGGGTCAGTCCTCTTCACCTGTTTCAATGACAACTGTACTTACAAGGACAAGCTAATGAACAAGAAGTCAGTGACAGCTCACTGCTATGAGAAGTATCTCAGAAATTTAAGGTGTGGTCAGCCTCCCTGACCCATCCCTGAACCTTACCTGAGCGCTGTAGCTGCTGCTGCATCACTGCCAGATGCAGAGGGGTCCCAGGACGAGGGTTTAGGATTGGGTGACTAGCAGCAGAGAAAGGGTACAAAGGTTGTCCCAGGAGTGGGCCAGATATTCCCTGTAGAGGAGCCAAGTCTATCCCAGGAGGAAGCACACCTGGTAAGAAGAAACTTCTGAGAAGTTGTATCCATGTACCTAAAAACCTCATATTTTTACAAATATTGCTAATTTGCAAACTCTGGGTGTGGTGACACACTTTTTTTACACAGGGCATCTCTGCGAAACAGTCCTGGCTATCTTGGAACTCACTCTGTATATCAGGGCAGCCTCAAACTCTAACAGATCTGCCTGCCTCTGGAGTGCTGGGATTAAAGACATGTGCTGCCACCACCCCACCATTTTTTCTTTCTAAAATCTGAAAGACCATTTTACTTTTCAGGACAGGGTTTCTCTATATAGCCTTGGCTGCCCTGAAATTAGTTCGAGATCTGCCGGCTTCTGCCTCCATATATGTGTCAGGACACATTATACTCACAAAAACAATGTAAATGAATGACAAAGCCGGGTCTCCTAATCTTTTAATGGGCTAAAGGGATTGGACCCTTTAGGAACACCTACCTACCATAATGTAACATTTAATTAGTGCCAGCAATATGCAATGTCTACTGACCACCCATACCCACTCAAACTCACCAGCTTGTAGCAAACTTGGAAGATGCTGCGGATGTACTCCTTGGGCTATCAACCTTTGAACTAACCCTGGGTGAAGCTGGTGAGCAGGCCGAACCATAGGAACATGAGGGACCAAGGGAACATGGTGAGTAGGGCGAAGAAAAGGTGTTCCTGGAACTGGGGTTGCTAAGGTGGGTGTTTTTCTCCCAGCTGTTTTAGGTCGATAATCTTGTTCTTTGGTATAACGGTTGTTCTGGGACAGTGAACTGGAGCATGAAGACCGCTGTAATGTTGAAAGTTTAGGATTTGTCGTAGAAGAGTCTTGATCAGTATTGGGTATGGGATTAGATGACAGCAGGGTCTCTGTAAGGATTCAATCATAGAATATTGTGGTATTGACACCATTTCCCAATTTATTTTGCTTCCCAACAGCCCAGCAAATCTTTTTTTAAAAGCTGACAATTCTTATTTTAACGTTCTTAACCAAGTTAGAGGATTTCATGGAATGCCATTTGCTCTCAATGCATGGTTTTTTTTTTTTTTTTTTTTGGTTTTTCGAGACAGGGTTTCTCTGTGGCTTTGGAAGCTGTCCTGGAACTCACTTTGTAGACCAGGCTGGCCTCGAACTCACAGAGATCCGCCTGCCTCTGCCTCCCGAGTGCTGGGATTAAAGGCATGCACCACCAACGCCCGGCCTCAATGCATGTTTTAAGCTTAAGGTTTTTTTTTTTGTTGTTTTTCTTGTTTTTTGTTTTTTTTGTTTTTAAGAGACAGGGTTTCTCTGTATTGTTTTGGAGGCTGTCGGTCCAGCCTGGCCTCGAACTCAGAGATCCGCCTGCCTCCTGAGTGCTGGGATTAAAGGCGTGCGCCACTACCGCCCGGCTTAAGCTTAATTTTTTAATGTATATGGATGGGTGTTCGCCTATACATAGTCTATGCATACATGTCAGTTCAGTGCTCACAGAGACCAGAAGAGGGTGCTGGATATGCAGGGCTAAAGTCACAGATAGTTGTGAGTGGCAATGTGGGTGCTGGGAATTGATCCCAGGTCCTATGAAGAGCAAATCAGTGCTCTGAGCCCTATCTCCAGCCTGTAGATACAAAATTTTAAGGCCTTCTAATTACTTGCTGGAACAATGGGCTTTTTGGTTGGTAGTCCCCCCACCATTTTCCTTTCTTGAGGGGTGTTAGATATGAACCCATGGCTTTGAACATAATAAGCAAGTATTATAACACTGAGCTACATTCCCAGTGCATGAAAGACTTTTGATGCAACACAAAACTCAAAAGACTCATACCGTTTAAAACAAAAATACCAGGCGTAGTCCCTTATATCCCAGGACTTGGGAGTCAGAGTCCAGTAGATCTTTGTGAGTTTAGGACTACACAGTATAAGCCTGTCTCAAAACAAACAAACCAAAAACCCATAAGAAAAGAAAGCCTTCATCTATTCTATATCCTAGACCACAAAAGCAGTCCACTGGATGCTCTTGAAGACCTGGGTTCAATTACAGCACCCAAATGGCTGCTCACAACCACCTGTAACTCCAGGTTCAGAAGTTCTTGTGCCCTCTTGTGTAGGCATACCTCCATGTGCAGACATACCTGCAGGCAATACACATAAAAATCTTAAACAGAACTGAACTGTATTAATATGTCAAATGAATTTGTCATTCAACTTGATAGGCTATTAGGAATACTAAGCTAGAACACATCTGTTGTCCCAGCTGGACAGAATGTCAAGCGAGCAAGTCTGACTGAGAGCTTACTCAACCTGCCTCCCTAACACTGCAGTCATGAATGTCTACGTTCTGACACACACAAGGTGAGCGGTACCTTCGCTGGCCTTCTGAGTATCCTCTTTAGCATCACCAGGAACCACTGTTCCAGGTGCTATTTCCTCCTTGCTTTTCTCTCTGCTTTCATACATTTTCCGGATCACTGAGGTGGGGGTGAAGGAAGGAGAAAGCTGCAGAGAAGAGAGGCAGAATTACCATATTCAAGTGCCTTTTCTCTAATACTAAGCCAGGGCTTTTCTTGGTTTTGGATACTGGGGTTTAAACCTGGGGTCTTGCACATGCTTGGAAGAACTTGACCACTGCGCTATGCAGCACCTGCCCTTGGGCCTGGCTTCATCAGTGAAGCCATTCAACAGAGTGAAGAGTCCCCATTTTGCCTACATGGGCAGAGGCAACTCTAATGTTCTGGTCTAGAGTCACTGAAAGAAAACACAAAGCGACAAATAGTCATTGTCCCAAGACCTTTAGCCTATTCACCTATAAAAATGGGTCTGTCTTGTCTCGTTTATCTAGCCTGGGATGGGGCGGGAAAGCAGGAAGGGCATAGCTGGAAGTGTACCTTGGTAAGTAGAGAAGGATGTTTCAACAACAATCTCAGAACCCATGATATGCCTTGTTCCTAGTAATTTTGTTTTAAAAAAATTGCATACAAGATCTTAAATTCAATTATCTTAAAGATTTCATCACTTAGTAGGACTTACCATTGAGACTCTTTTGTTCCTGTTGTTTCTTTTTTAATACCTTTATTATGCATGTACCCAAAATTTTAAAGGCTGGAGACAAGATATAACTCATGAACAAAACTCCTTCCAGCATTTCTCTAAAGCAAGAGCTTTTGAGGTGTTTAGTGCAGAGACCCATATGGAATCCTCTTGCACAAAATAACTGTTTTTTCCACCCTTGTCTACCCTTTGATCGGCTAATAAAGGTCTGGAGGGGTTTAAAAAAAAAAGCCAGTGGTAAAGCCAGACTAACCACCTCAAATAAAGAAGCCTATAACAGAAGAGAACAATTTGTGAACTTGTCATGTTCATTGGACTCCCTGAGAAGTGACCAGTCACTCCTCTCTCTTATATCCTGCCTCACTTTGTCCTTTTCTGAACATCATCTGTTTCTGGTTTGTTTTTTTAGACAGGGTCTCACTGGGCCCAGGTTGACCTTAAACTCAGAAATCTATTTTCCTCTGCCTCCCAAGTGCTGACATTAGATTATGTCACCAGGCCTGGCTCAGCTATATTTTTAAGCACTGATGTCTTCTGTCCTGGCTCAAGTTGATCCTTTTCTCAATGTACTGAGTTAGGGGAAGACCTAATAAATAAGTAGGTCAGTATTCCTGTGGAAGGCATTTAGAGACACAGGGAACACACTTGTAAAACAGAAGCAGATGCAGAAACCTGAAAGCGTTTCAGTTACTAAAGGCCACTGACCATGCTTGTGATGGAGGCAGCGGGAGCTGGGGAAGAGGAATTTCCTCGGTGCATAGGTGCTGGTGACTTGGATACTCGCTGTTGCCTGTGAACAGATCAATTAACAATGTTAGCTTTAAACTACTTTATGCCAAGTCTAAAGCCATATAATTCAGACCAGTCATGAAACTTAGCACACCGTTCACTTATGCAATTTAATTTCTTAAACATTCAAAATATGAAAAAGTAATGTTAAATTCTGAGGGAAGACTAAAACTCTGTGTGGTAGAAGCAGTCAGTAGCCTGAGGTAAACCAAGATGGAAGAAGCGAACAAGGTATGGTGGGAAAATAAAGTGGAAGGGAAAAAGAACTGGAAACTCCAAAGACCCAGAGGAAGCTACTTATACTTAGTAGGTAACACCAGTAAGGAGCTAAGAAGGAACGAAGGTTCAGGCAGAAGGCACGAGCCTTTAGGCATGCAGGGATATCTAGGCTGACACACAGTTTATTAGTCGTAAGCTACACCAGTGGGGTAGCTAAAGCTGGGAATGTCATCACGCCCTACCACTTCTAACCTACGCCACTGAACAGATATGTCAATGGAAAGAGTTTTTTTTGGAGACAGGGTTTCTCTGTATTGTTTTGGAGGCTGTCGATCCAGCCCAGCCTCGAACTCACAGAGATCCACCTGCCTCTGCCTCCCAAGTGCTGGGATTAAAGGCATGCGCCACCACCGCCCGGCAGAAAGAGTTTTTTTTAAGGTAGGGTCTCTTCTCTCTATATAGCCCTGGCTACTCTGAAATTCACTATGTAGACCAGTCTGGCATTGAATGCAGACATTCTCCTGCTTCTGCTGGCAGACACTATCCCCAGCCATCTGTTTATTCTCCCTTAGCCTGAAGAAAATGGGAAACAGGGTTGACATAGAAGCATGCTGAGAAAAAGTTTATGTGCATTCACTGGACCTATACCTATGGCTAATGGCTGAAACTCTTAATCATAGGCAGTGATGGGATCCTAAATCTGTAAGATTTCCAATCAGTATTCATAAACTATGCTACCCTGAGAAGTCTGAGAACATGGGAAATGTATTATTCTATGTGTACATGGGAAAAGATCCTCAAACCTAGGGGTTTCATACAAATTATCACTTATTCCTTTTTTTGGGGGGGGGAGGTCCTGACAGGATTTTTCTGTGTAGCCCTGGCTGGCCTTGAACTCAGAGATCCACCTACCTCTGCCTCAAGTGCTGGGATTAAAAGGCATTTGTTACCACCACACAGATCCTTTTTATACATAGAGCATCTATGTGTCATTGATAAAGATGTGAACGGTGAACAAAATGCCAAGTCTCAAGGAAATTATACTCTGAAGATGCAGGGCAAAGGCAGGGAAATAGCCAGGCAGTGGTGGCACATGTCTATCACAATCCCAGACACAAGAGGATTGCTGGGAATTTCAGTTCAGTCAAACCTACTGAGTAAGACCATTGCTCCCCTCCCCCCCAAAAAACCCCAAACACTAGCCGGCAGTGGTGGCGCACACCTTTAGTACCACCACTCGAGAGGCAGAGGCAGGTGGATCTCTGTGAGTTTGAGGTCAGTGTAGTCTATAGAGCAAGTTCCAGGTCAGCCAAGGCTAAGCAGAGAAACCCTGTCCCAGAAAAAAAAAAAAAAAAAAAAGCCAAACAACAAAACAAATCAGAAACAAGGGCGAGTGGTATGGGCATGTAATAAGAGTGTTCGTCTAGCATGTCCAAGGCCCTGAGTTCAATCCCTGGCATAGTAAAAATAAAAATAAATTAACTGATAGGAACACTGCAAATTTTAAAAATATATTTACTTGTAAGGTCCAGTTATAAGACTATTATGATGACTTAGCTAACTGAAACTCAAGTCATTTACAAAAAGCATAGGATACAAAAATTAAGGGAGTGATTATTTTTAAAGGTTAGACAATGGCAACTTCAGAAGGGAGAAAGAAGAGTGATAATACTGGCAGAGGGCACATGGCGGGATCCTGTAGACTTCCACTGTAATTCCTCTACTGATAACATCTGCAGCGGGATGGAATTCCCATCTTCTATTGGATCAGCATATGTAACAGTTATATTTATTTATTTATTTATTTTTAACAGTTATATTTATGATGAATCATGATTTACCAATTTCAGACTATTTACAAGTCAGTACCCAAATCTGCATAAGTAGGATTAGTAGTTTACCTGCTTCGTAGTCCGTCTCTGGTTCTATCCACTTGTGGTTTGTTAAAACCAGGCTGATAGAAGGATGCTGCCTGCACAGCAAGGTCATGTGGGAGGGCCAGTCCCTCCAAAGCAGCCTGCTGCAATTCTAGTTGGCTCATCTGCTCAACACAATAGCAGGGGATGATCAGTGAAAGAACAAAGAAGTTCAATTTTTCACAAATGCCTGTCTCATGGCTTAAAAGTGAGCTAAGGAAATGGCTACTACAAATAACTAAGTTATGGTGTCATCCACTGAATGATATTTTTAAAATTTAAATAGTGGGATAAGAAATGGCTCAGAGGTTAAGAGTAGTTATTGCTAATGCAGGTTCAATACCCAGCACCCACATGGCAGTTGACAAACATAACTCCAGTTCCAGGGGACCCGATGACTTCTTGGGCAATGAGCACACACGATGTGGTGCACAAACATAAATGGAAGCAAAACATTCATACACATAACTCTGAAAATATAAAACAGTATTCATCACTCAGCAATTTTCTCCTCTGAATGAGCTTGAACTAATGAATCATTGCAGAATAAACCATGTATATCACTGTTACAATTCAATTCTACCCCACAAGCAACAGCAAGAGTAAAAAGGCAAGGAGGCTGGATCTGACCTGGGCTGTGACAGGGCTCATGGGCTTGCGCACGCCTTGGAATGGATCTCCAAGTAGCTGCTGGGGTCCTGATGGGAAACCTGCCAGGAAAGTTCCAGAATCAATGAGTGTCAAGCATTAGTGCCCAGGAGAGCATAAGCACCCCACCAGCTGCTTTTGGCCTGGTAAGATACTCCCTTTTTCCCTCTCCTCCCACAGTGTGTATGTGGGCCTTAAGCAGTGTTCTTAATGGCCTCAACTGCTAGTGGAACCGTCTTCCCACTAGGCTGTCACCTTTGTTCTTTTTACAGCTGAAAGCTCTCTGGCTAAGAACATTTCTATTCCGCAAACTGGCCATGTTTGACAAGTCAGCTGGCACTCAAGCAGAGTCCAGAGTTTCCACACAACTTAATATGACTGTGGACAAACATTAAGGTATCTGATTGGCAGACGGAGCCAGCAGCCTCCAATGGTTCGATGGCGAAAACACCAAGACAGCTTTCTGGAAGTGTTTCTTCCAGGCGCATTCAGGATTTCACAGCTCATTGTTTACCAATTTCAGTGCTTGCCAGAAAGTCATTACTCTGTGACTGGCTTCCCCAGTCACTATGTAGTCCAGGCTGGTCTTAAAACTCGAGATCTTCCTGCCTTATCATCCCAAGTGCTGAGATTAAAGGAATGTATATTACTTCCTGGCTTTCCTCAAGTTCTATATTAAGGATAGACCTAAGAATCCAAATTAACTTTTCAGCTGAATTCTCTAAAGAAGAAAACAAAGAGCTATAAAAGAAGCTTACTATGAACATATTGACTTAAAAGGGTAGCTAGAGAGGGTTGGAGAGATGGCTCAGATTAAGAGCATTGGCCACTCTTCCAGAAGAGCTGGGTTCAATCCCAGCAACCACACAGCAACTCACAACTGTCTGTAACTCCAGTTCTAGGGGTCAACACCCTCACACAGACTTACATGCAAGCAAAATACCAACGCACACAAAAATAATTTAAAAAGGGGACTGGATAATAAACTATCGTCCACCTTGACAGCACACTCCATAAAGCAGTATGACTTATTTACATACTTCCTTTATAATTCTTTAAGCATACCTTTGAAAGAAAGACTGCCAAGAATTGGAACAGGTCTAACCTACTTGAACAAAAGGGGGGTGACAGAAATGCTTAAGAGCAGTTACTGAGGTGGGAACCTAAGTCAATGGTGGAGTGGTTAACTGGTAAGTAGGCATGAGCCTCTAGGTTGAATTCCCAGTACTGCTGTAGTACTAGTTACCAATTGGTGATGGTATCCTTGGATGAAGGTAGTCTGCTGAGGCTGCTCGAGTTTGAAACACCTGTGACATAGGAGGAGAGGGTGCTCTTTGGCTCAATAAAGATGCAGTAGGTTCCAAGCTCCCCATAAGGCCACTGAGAAGATTGGAAGAAGCAGGTCTCTGAACCGGTTGACCCAGAAGTTCCTAGAGGCAGAAATCCAGATCCCTGTGAACATCTGACAATGGTTACTCTGAGGAATCACTTTAAGACTGTAACATACCTGTAGGATGTTTTTAGGGACGGGCTGGCCTGGAATCTCAGCTGGGGTCAACAAGTGATTTTCAAGATTTCGCTAAAAAAGAAAAAAAGGGAGAAAACTGGTATTAGCTTGAACACGATTTATATTGGGGAACCACAAAAATGTAAGTAGGCAACATACTACATGGCTTAGTATATTTGTAGTAGAGTCTGCAATTCCATGTAATACAGTTTGGGGATGAGTTTCATTAGACGGACAACAGCAGGTGAATGAAGACACTGACTTTAACAGTAGACCAGGACCTCATATATAAACTAAGCAACATGGATATATTCTAAATTTGTATAAATATTGATCTACCCACTTTATATCATCAGTCATGTTAGCAGAGGTCTGAGGCTCATTACCTCACCTTAGCTGAAACTAGATACATCTAAGAATACTGAAACTTCAATACAAACCAAGTGCACTCACAACTCAAGAGTCAATATTGTACAATAAAATCAAAGGTTGAGACATGAAATACTGAGTTCCCTTCTTTTTCTTTCAAGACAGAGTGTTTATATAGCCCAGGCTGGTCTCAAACCTGCCACTGTCCCCCTGCTTCTGCCTCCCAACTGCTTCCAGCTGCTTTGCCTCCAGGTCTTTGGAGACTATGATTTGAGAGTTGATTTACACCCACAGCCCTTGGTTTTATAATGAGCCAGGTCTTGCCAGCATAAACCTACTAGGTAGCTCAGGTGGCCTTCAATTTATAATTCCTCTGCCTTAATCCCCCAGATACTAGGATGTGTGCCATGGGTAGAAATGCACAGGTGTTCCTCATTTTATTGTGTTCATACCTACTGTGTGGGGAAAACTCTGAGGCAGTGTATAGGATCATTCCCCTTTGAGTTGTTTGTTATAGCCTGAAATGTCCTTCAGTCAAGAGGAAAGGCACCTCTATTTGACCTTAACTGTTGGTCAGGTAAGAAAAGCTAAACTCATTCCCTTCACTGTGCATAAAAACAATCAGGGCTGGAGAGACAGATCAGCAGGAAAATCAGCTGTTGCATGACAATCTGAACACAATTCCATGACTCACAGTGTGCAAAGAAAACTGACTCCCCCAGGTTGTTCTCTAACCTCCACAGATGCTGGCACAAACATGCCAACAAAAACACATACAGGAACGCAAAATATTTTTTAAATGCATTTGTGGGGGGGTGGGGGTTCTTTTGAGACAGGGTTTCACTGTATAGTCCTGGCTGTTATGGCACTCGCTCTGCAGACCAGGTTGGCTTTGATCTTTGAGATTCACCTGCATCTGCCTCCTGAGTGCTGGGATTAAAGGCCGTGGCACCACCGGCACCACCACCGCAATAGGCAAAAAGGGTTGAGAAGAGGGGCAAAATGTTTCCCCATCACTTTTTATTGCCAAGGAACAGTGTAACATGAAGACCATGGCTGAAACTAACTCTCTAAATACTGTTATGATATAAATCAATACAAGTTACAAACCTGTATAAGGGGCTGGAGAGATGGCTCTGCCATTAAAGGTAGGCTGACAACAAAAATAAATCTGCATAAACTAGCTTTATGCCTACTAATTAAAAAAACACCGGCAATTTTTTACTATGAGCAAATTAACATGGCTTAACTATCTTCAAACACATCTTTGATATGTTTTTAAGAAAGGAGATAGGAAGATAAGGTCTTTCTAGACCCAGGCTACTCTTGGGATTGCCCCACTGCACTCATCACCATGCTCTCTGTGTCTCTCTCCTCCCTCCCTCTCTGTTTTTTTGAGACAAGGCTTCTCTGTGTAGTCCTAGTTGTCCTGAAACTCACTCTGTAGACCAGGCTGGCCTTGAACTCATAGACATTCGCCTACCTCTGCCTCCCCAGTGCTGGGACTAAAGGCGTGTGCCACCACGGCCCAGTATCATTTTTGCTATTTCAATAAATAAATAAATAAAACAGAATTACCTGTTTAATCAAGAAAACACAAGATTCAAGTTGTGAGAGTGACTATAAAGTGTGAAAATAAAGATTTTACTATAGGAGCCTGGAGAGGTGGCTCAGTGGTTAAGCACATTGGCTGTTCTTCTAGAGGATCTAGAGGATCTGTATTCAGTTCCTAGAACCCACATGGTGATTCACAATCATCTGAAACTCCAGTTCCAGGAAGCGGCTGCCAACCTCTTGTGACCTCTGTGCACCAGGCACGCAAGTAGTACACAGACAAACATACAAGCAAAATGCTCATATACAAAAAGTTAAATAAATCTTTAAAAATTTTACTATAAATCTTGTATTATTGGCCAGTGGTGGCTCATGTCTTTAATCCTAACACTTGGGAGATAGACAGGTAGATCTCAGTTCAAAGGCAGCCTGGTCTATAAACCAAGTTCCAGGATTACCAGCGCTATATAGACAAACCCTGTCTCAAAAATCAGAATGAAACAACAAAAAAATATATTAGTAGCCCAATAACCACAAAACTTCTTGTCAAGCACTCCTGAAAGTAGCATTATTAATAATATATATTAATATATATATTAATTTACTTTTGAGACAGTGTCATCACTGTGTAGCTGAGGCTGGCTTGCTCACCAGTGTTTTCCAGACTGGGTCTCAGGTGGCCCTGGCTGCTTCTGAGCTCCTGACCCTCTCAGATGTGAGGATTACAGGTCTGCTTCACAATGTTCAGTTCAGCTTGAGGCATAAGTTTCTATTTTGCAATGGTGACCCTACATACTAGGTATGTGTTTCTCCCACTAGGCGTATATCCACAATGTAATTATTTTTCTTTTATAGGGAAGGACTTCATAAAGTTATGCAGGAAATTTCTTTAGATTGACTTATTCAATCATTATATTGTCTCAGACATATACATTATCCACAGATGATTTTTTCTACTAACAAATATCATATCCAAACATGGAACAAACACCAAAGACCAAACAACTTCTAAAATTTCCAACCTACTCAGAACACCTTCATAAACCCATTTATTACCGCAGTGTGGGCTGATACAGAGACAGGGAAAGCAGAGGGTGGGTGAAGTTGTGCTGAATACTTACACTGACTTTGGGCTGAGCAGGCAAGGTCCCACTTGCCTTCATGGTGCTCACTAGTTTGTTGAATGCAGTCATATCTCCATCTTTTTTGAGGTGTCGATCGCTATGTACAGCACTCAGGGTTTCCTCTAAATGTTCTGCCATGAAGGGAGTTGAATTCTTCATTTGCTGGTCCACCTTCAAGCCCTTGAGCCCTGCTTCTACCTCTTCCACTGAAAGTACAACCCCTGAATGTGCTGGGAAGTTGAGAAAGTTCTGGTTACACCAAGCAAAGGGGTATTTGTTAGGAATTCTCATTGGCTGTCATGATAATTATTTCATTACTGAAGTGAGGCTGTAAAAAGGCTGACACTGAAAACAGACAAACTGAACACTTAAAATCAGTTTCTTAGTAGGAATAAGACTAATTACGTGCATGGCTGGGCAAGGTGGTGCACACCTATGATCCCACCACTCAGGAGGCAGAGGTAGACAGATCTAAGTGAGTTTGAGGCCAGCTGTACATAGTGAGTTCCATGATAGCAAGGACTACAGAGACCCCATTTCAAAAAATAAAGGGAGGGGGTTGCACACCTAGAGAAATGGCTCAGTGGTTAAGAGCACATTTGTGCTTACAGGACTGGAGTTCGATTCCCAGCATCCACACCAAGTAGCTCACAAATGAACTGCCCAGAATTCCAGTTTTAGAGAACCTGTATTTCTCTCACTGTCTTTGGCACATACCAGACACACATTCACATAAATAATTTTTTGTAAAGGAAGAAATAGAATGAGCTACACCAAAAATACTTAGATACTAGAAACTGGAAGAGCAAAACTGTGGGGTATGAGTTTTCAGAACTTGGTAAGATCCTTACATGGTGAGTTCCAAGAAAGCCAGAACTACACAGAGAGAGTCTCAAAAAACAAAATGAAACAAATGAACAAAACAAAACCCCAAAAGACTTGACAAGATTCTGTGAGTTTGGCAGAAAGATATACCTTATAATAAATCTTCCCAGACTTTGCTACCAGAGACAAGAACCCAGACAGCTCAATGGCAACAAGACTGCACTGTGGTCTCATAAGCGATGCTAAGGACTTGCTGCCTATGTGAGGACATGGTAAATATAGGCACAGTTGTAAGGAACAGGCGAGTTATGCCTGGGAGGACAGAAACAGTCTGGGCTGTTACAACTGCAGGTCAGGGGTAGTGCACACCTTTAATATCAGTACTCTGGAGACAGAGGCTGGAGGTTCTCTGTGAATTATAGGCCAACCTGGCCTACATACCAAGTTCTAGGCCAGCCAGGGCATAAAAGATACATGGCTGTGTAGCAACATGCCTGGGTCTTTTTGAGACGCGCTAACCAAATCCCACCATGTATCTGACTTGATGAGTGGCAGTACATCTGAACCATTCCTCAAGAACCTGTGGACTTTAAATAGCTAAACCACACACACTTACAGCTCTCCTTAAGTTTTTCTTTATTTGCAGAAAGGCTAGAAAGAAGAGGTTTTAAATCCACTTTGGCTTTCTGTAGCATTTCTAAAATATCCACTTTATTTTCAGCATGGTCTTCCGATGGTATAGGAGCAAAATAATTCCCCGAGTTCTGTCCAGGAGAGAGGACGGCTTGTTCGAGACCTGATTTTGTAAATAAACATATCTACAGTTGGTCCTAATGAACACAGACACTTCCTTTCAACAGCATAAAAGGAACAAAAACTGAAGGCTTTTCAGAATCCAAAACCCCTTTAGCCCGAGTAAACCACTGACTAATGAAAAGAAAATGAACCATGGCAGGGGAGGCTCAATTCACATGCAAGGCTAAAATGTGACACTATTGTACCTGCAAGTCTCTCAAGTTCTTCATGTGGTGTAGAACCAAGGCTACTGGATCTGCTTCCTGACCGGCTTGGGTTAGAAAACCACCTACTAAATCGGCTGGCAGAGACTGACCCTTCTCCCAAAACATCTTCTATCATCTGACAAGAGAGACAAAGGGGTTAAGGTGACAGTCTCCAAGTGAAAAGGACTCTGAAACTTCCTTTGACACTGCTGACCCAAAAGCACTTTCAGAACTTAGGAGTTGAGCCTTTTTTCCCCCTTTGTGATCTTTCCTGAGTAACTCAAATTTGGGCATAAAAAAGCACAGACCTCAGCCAGGAAGTGGTGGTGCACGCCTTTAAATACCCTTTAATCCCAGCACTCAGGAGGCAGAGGCAGGCAGATCTCTGTTGAGTTTGAGACCAGCCTGGTCTACAGAGGTTCTAGGACAGGCTGCAAAGGTACGGAGAAACCATGTATGGAAAAGGCCCCCCCCAAAAAAGCATAGACCTACTAAGCATATATAGCAAAGCCTCTATGTTACTTAAAAGTATTTCAGTTCTCTACCATTTGACCCTTTAGAAAAGCACAATATAGAAATGCAGAACTACAAAATGATCATTATAGCAAGGCGGTGCACACTTAATTCCAGCACTCACACAGAGGCAGGCAGGCAGGACTGTTACAAAAACAAAACAAAACAAAAAAGTGAAACTTTATGATGTGGGAGGTCAATGCAATAAGGAATATAATATATTTATTTACATACAAGCTGAGAGGACGGAAAGCATGTCAGGCTTCCAGAGAAGACAGAGAGAGAATACTGTTTCTTTCCTTAAATAGGCCACCTGTCTAATCTTCACATCTCCGCCCCTTTTGGGCAGATAGCTTTGTGGGGCTCACCCCCACAACTTTAGGGCCAATGAATGGCTCAGTAGGTAGCATCTACTGTGGTACAAACCTGATGACCTGAGCCCACATGAAGTAGAAGAACTCAACAAAGATGACCTCTGACTTCCTCATATGCACTGAAGCACATGTGTGCACTCACCTGTACTAAAAACATTTTAAAGGTAGAATTCTTTTTTTTTTTTAAAGATTTATTTATTTATCACATATACAGTGTTCTGCCTACATGCCAGAAGAGGGCACCCGATTGAATTGTAAATGGTTGTGAGCCACCATGTGGTTTCTGGGAATTGAACTCAGGACCCCTGGAAGAGCAGTCAGTGCTCTTTACCTCTGAGCCATCTCTCCAGCCCTAAAGGTAGAATTCTTAATCTATTAAAAAGTTTTAGTTTACAAATAAATGATGGCTTAACTTTTCAATGTAACATACTCTTACTAAACAGGAAGAGTCAAGACACAAATGAAGGACAAAATATACAGTCATTTTTCTAATGAAATTAAAGTATGAAGAAAATTTTTTTCTTTTTGTTTTTTCAAAACAGGGCTTCTCTGTGTAGCCCTGGCTGTCCTGAACTCACTCTGTAGACAAGGCTGGACTAGAAATCAGAGCTCCACCTGCCTCTGCTTCCCTAATGCTAGAATTAAAGGTTTTGCCACCATCACCCAGTGAGAAAGTAATTTCTAAGATTTGCTCAGTTAACAACTGTTTTTTTTTTGTTTGTTTTTTTTGTGAGACAGGGTTTTGCACGTCTATCTATCGCTGTCTTGGAACCCGCTCTGTAAACCAGGCTGTCCTCAAACTCACAAAGATATGCCTGCCTCTGCTTCTTAAGTGCTGGGATTAAAGATGTGCACCACCACTGCCTGGCTTTTTAAAAAATTTTTATTATTTAATACATTTATGGATGTTTTGCCTGTATGTCTTTGCACCATATATGTGCACTGATATCAGAGGCCAGGAGTGCATCAGATATCCTGGAACTGGAGTTATGACTCAGTTGTGGCTGCATGTGAACCCTGGCAATCAAACCCAGGTCCTCTACAAGAGTAGACAGTGCTCTTGACCACTGAGTCATCTCTCCAGCCCCCAACTTTGTCTACTGTAAAAATTTATATTCAAGAGCAGAAACAAAGTTACTCTTAGACACATTTATGGAAATACTCATCTCAAAAACCAAGGTGCTTGCATCCAAAGGGAACCCTAAAAGTTTGGTCATTTTTAACAGATGATGAAGCAAGGACTCTGACAGCAGAGCCTCATCCTGCACAGGAAATGGACTCAGCTGATTTCTGAAGCAGAACATCCTTTGCTGTGTCCTTAACTATCAGCTGGTGAAGGAGCTGGGAGCTGGGATATTTCAGTTGTCCTTAGCAGAGGTTGATGTTTTAAAATATATTTAAATATATATATGTATATATATATACACACACATATATATATTCAAAATATACATATGGTAAGTTTGTGCCTTTAATCTTGGCACTTGTGAAGCAAATGTATATAAATCTCTCAGTTCCAGGTCAGGTAAGGCTACACAGTGAGACCCTGTCTCAAAACAAAAGATATCTCTCCATGGAAAAAATGAGAGAAAACACTAGATCAAATCTAACCATAATTAGCTGTTACATTCTTTTTTTTTTTTTTTTGGTTTTTCGAGACAGGGTTTCTCTGTGGCTTTGGAGGCTGTCCTGGAACTAGCTCTTGTAGACCAGGCTGGCCTCGAACTCACAGAGATCCGCCTGCCTCTGCCTCCCGAGTGCTGGGATTAAAGGCGTGCGCCACCAACGCCCGGTAGCTGTTACATTCTTATGTATTCTTTTTTAACTAAGAAAAAAAAAGTTGAAGCAGGTTTTACTATGCAATCAGGCTGGCCTTAAAATGACTATGTAGCTCCAGCTAACCTCAGACTCAAACTCCTCTTGTCTCAGTATCCCAAGTGCTAAGATTACAAGTGTGTACCCAGATTCCTTTAATTTTGCATGAGTGTGTGGTATGTATATACGGATGCTCCTGTGTGTAGGTGCACATGTGTTTCAGTGCATATGCACATATGCAAGTAGAGATCTGAGGTTGATATCTGGCATCTTCCTTAGTTACACTCTATAACTTGAGCCAGGGTCTGTCACCTGAACTCATAACTCACAATCACAGCTACTTCTGTTAGCCTACTTGCTCCAACAATCCTGTTTCTACTTCCTGATTACAAGAGGGCCATCACATTGCCCTAACATTTACTTGGATTCTAGAAATCTACATTTCATTCAGTCCTCACACTTGTACAGCAAGGGTTTTATCCACCAAGCCATTTATATTTGCAAATGTGCTGTTATACTCACCGAAGCCAAGCATGGCACCTTGTCAAGGTTAAAGAACTCATTAAAGTCAAATTCTCCTGGGGACTGCTCAGGGAGTACAACATCCCTTGGGACTTCCTGATCAGCAGAGGGTTCCTGGGCCAGGATAACTTCCACCTCATCCTCCTCGGCCACACCTCCATTACATTCCACTATGCCTGAAAATAAAACCAGGACAGAAACCATCTGCTGAAGTACACACTCCAGTCTCATTCTGTGCCTTTAGCTATCAATACACACACAGAAGAACCACACATGACTGTCAACAGACTTCTTGTGCTGGTACTACACTTCCTATAATAAAGCATTTAGTATCACTTCTCAGGGAACTAGAAGAGAAAAGTCATTGCTAAGTACCCAGAACATTAACAGAGTAGGAAAAGGACTGTGGCCTCAGTCCTAAATATGTCATTTCCTATAGTATAGCATGATTTCTTTAAAAATCAATCAACTAATTAATTGTGTTTGTGTGTGTGTGCTAGTATATGGCACATGTGTGCAGGCATCTTGGAAGGCCAGAAGAGTGCATTGGATCCTCATAAAGAGTTACACATATAAGTTTTTGAACAGCTTTATGCAGTGGATACAAGGGAATGAATTTAGGCTTCTGAAGCCAAATTAATTGTCTATAAAAGGCTGGCTATAGCCCACAACCAATGTAAAGCTTGACTGTCATACCTTCCCAGAAGCCTACCCTGTCTTTAAAAAAAGATTTTAAAAAGTACATTGATCTACCCATTACACATTAATTGCTACCCTTCATATAATTTTGGTTATACAGCAATTCTCTAGTGAGACAGATCTCTACAGACAGATAACCTAGTCTAATCAGCTCCATTTTATTTTACAAGGTTAAGTATATCTGTAATGTCCACTTCTTTTAGGATAGGAAGACAGGCTAAGCAAAATACCAGTTGCTAACATTTTAATTTTATACAAAGTATGTGCTAAACAGAAAAAAACAAAACAAAGCCCACTTATTTGCAAGGGCGTAAAACACCCCCCTACACACCCAAACAAACATGGTTTGGAGAGATGGCTCAGTGGCTAAGCGTACACACTGCTCACCCAGAGCAGATTCAAGCACCCATTTGTATCAGGCATCATAACTGCCTGTCAATATGGAACTTCTGGCCTGCAGGGGTACCAGCATATAAGTATACACACATATACAGATAAAAGAAAAAAGCTGAAAAACCCTAACCAAACACAAGCAGGCATGTGTGAACTTTGGGTTCAATTCCCCTACTTTGCATAAAACTAAGCCTGGTAGCACATGCTTACAATCCCAGAACTCAGGTAATGGAGGAAGGAAAACCAGGAGATCAAAGTCATCCTTGACTACATATCAAAGGACTAGTGATATATCTCAGTAGATTATTTGCGTTACAAGTTCAAAGACCTGGATGTGGTGGCTCATACCAGTAGGACTTGAAGGAGGCAGAGGCAGGAGGATCAAGAGTTTGAGGCCAACCTGGGCTACACAAGTTCAAGGACCTATGTTCAATCTCTGGTATAACATTAACACAAACACAAATATGATCCCATCATCAGCTACATATTGGGTTTGGTGGCCATCTAAACACACCCCCACACCCACAGAGAGAGAGAGAGACAGAGAGAGAGAGAGACAGACAGACAGACAGACAGACTGACTGACTGTTGGATTTGGTGACAGCCCAGGCTGCATGAGACCCTGCCCCAAAATAAAACACTATAGGATTCGAGGCCAGCCTGGTCTACAGAGGGAGTTCCAGGACAGCCTCCAAAACAATACAGAGAAACCCTGTCTCGGGGGGGGGGGAACACTACAGGAATGGTTGAAATTTAGAGGTCTTCTCAGCCACAGAAAACGATATTTTTTCTTTCTTTCTTTTGGATTTTTGAGATAGGACTTTTCAGTATAACCCTGGCTACCCTGAAACTTGCTCTGTTGATCAGGATGGCTTCAAACTCACAGAGATCCACTTGCCTCTGCCTCCTTAGTGCTGGGATTAAATAAAGGCGTGTGCTGTCATTAACAGACAAAACATTATTTTCTTACAGAAGCTTGATCTCTACCATCAGTTAAAACACCTCACTGTCTGATACTGCTTTATTCCGGTGGAGAGTGGTATAAAGGTGTATCTCAAAGGCAATTAAACAGAATCTTTAGGCTATCTATAAATTCCGTGCATAAAAGGAATATATGCCCACAAAAAGAAAATGCCCACCACATTTAAAGTGTATATAAACAAAAACAAAAAAAAGGAAGAAAAGAACTGTGATGTCTCTTTTATTCTCACTTTTAAATATATTTCATTAGTTTATTTCCATTTGACTTCTTTGAAAGTTAGCACTAATTATCCTTAAGAGCTTTTCCCTGTTTCCCAATATATACTTTGAAAGAATAAGAATTTATGAAATAAGTGCCCAGTAGTGTCTGAGTTCTTATGAATACATTTCATACTCATGATAAAGGTATTCCTTAAAGATTTGACAGATGGCTCTGAGGTTAGGAGCACTGGCTTTCTTCCAGAGGTCCTGAGTTCAATTCCCAGCAACAACATAGTGACTCACAACCATCTGTAATGAGATCTGGTGCCCTCTTCTGGCCTTCAGAGTTACATGTGGGCAGAACACTGTGTCCATAATAAATAAATCTTTAAAAAAAAAAAAGCTTTCGCGGCCAAATGCTAAGGTAGCACGCGTGAGGCCTGTCTGTAGCAGCCAACATGTACTACATCGGCTCTTACTTGCTTGCCGCCCTGGGGGTCAACTCCTCTCTTAGCACCAAAGACATTAAGAAGATACTAGATAGTCTGGGCATTGAAGCGGATGATGACCGGGTCAACAAGGTCATCAGTGATGTGAATGGAAAAAACACTGAGGATGTCATTGCCCAGGATGTTGGCAAACTTGCTAGAGTGCCTACTGGTGTGGCTGTAGCTGTTTCTGTGGCCCCTGGCTCTGCAGTTCTGCTCCCGCTGCAGCAGAGAAGAAGGAAGAGTCCGAAGAGTCAGATGATGACATGGGATTTGGCTTGTTTGATTAAATTCCTGCTCCCCTGCAAATAAAGCCTTTTTATGTATCTTGAAAAAAAATAAAAATAAAAATAAAAAGATTTGGCAGGCTTCGTCTTTTACCAGAAGACCCTGTTTCAAAAATAAAATGAAACTGGAACACTAAAAACTTGCTATTTACTAACTGGAACCCATTGCTAAATGTGCAATTAAAGCAGTAATCATCACACACTATTTTAAAACAAGTTCAAAGTTCCTACTCACCTTCCTTCACAGAGGCAGTCCGTCGCCTTGCTCTTTTTCTCCCTTTGTGATCTTCCTCTAGTATCTTATCATCAAAGCCAGTCAATTCAATGGTTTCAGACTGACTTGTGGGTCCAGCTGAAAACCATTCTGGTTCTTCCTCAGTGTACGAATCATTTCTTCTACGCTCACCAAAGACACGTTTACTATCCCCAAACTCCCTCTGAAAAAGTACAAAACCAAGACTGAAAAACTGTAAAATGCTAGAGGAAGCAATGTATTCACTCTTAAAGAATTCATGCTTAGAAATGAAATGCAGATGCTGTGGTATGAGAATGAACTGTATCACCACTCTTACACTGCCCACTGAGTTCTCCTTATCTAGCAGAAGAGTGAGCTGTGAGCCCAGCTTCTGTAAGTATCTGGCTGGGCTAGGATGATGCAACTCAGAACTAGGGTACTTGCCAACAAGTGTGTGGCCCTGGGTTTGATTCTGTACCATCATGAAACAAGAGTAATGTAGTATGAAGGAGGTAAACATCAAATTTCCAAGCACTTGAGAACCAAAGGGACCAGAGGACAAACCCTGAAACGCTTGTCCTTGTAGTCCCTCTCTCTGTCTCGGTCTCTCAAGTCTCGCAGGTCCTTATCGCTGAGACGGTGATCCCGTGCAGAGATTATCCTCCCACTGCCAATCCGTCGTCCTCCAAGCAGGCGAAGTCCATCAGTGTCTTTCTCCAGAGGACTTCCAGAGCGGCGGGAGCTGACAGCAGCTGTCACATGGCAGCCACCTCCAAAGCTTCGTCTCTGTGGGCTGAGAACAACATCTAAGTCATCTTCTTTCACACGCTCTCGTGGATCTGAAAAGATGCCAGAAAGAGAAAGGTAAACAAACCAACATCTCCAGAAACTGTGTCCATGGCTGGCAGGCCAAAAAAGTATCAGAAAACTGGCTCATCAACAGATTCAGGATAACAGTGTACATTAACTGGTTTAAACTTGTCTTTCAGGGCTGAAATCAGGTGGCAGGAAGGGCCTGTTGAACCATCTCACAGGCCCATTATTATTTTCTTTTACAGTAAGCTTCTGAACATTTTTATATATTAAGTCCTTTTGTCTCTTCAGAAAAATAAATGTATTTCATAATAAATGACTTTCTATGATAAATCTACCTTTATTATCACTAAGATTATTTTTTCTTTTCTTTGCTTTTTTTTTTTTTTGGTTTTTCAAGATAGGGTTTCTCCATGGCTTTGGAGGCTGTCCTAGAACTCAATTGGTAGACCAAGCTCGTCTCCAACTCAGAGATCCACCTGCCTCTGCCTCTCAAGCGCTGGGATTAAAGGCATGTGCCACCAATGCCAGGCTATCACTAAGATTTTCGTGCATAAAATTCTTAGCTAATCTTTTGCCCATTAAAAAAATGACACGTCGCCTGGCGTTGGTGGCGCACACCTTTAATCCCAGCACTCGGGAGGCAGAGGCAGGCGGATCTCTGTGAGTTCGAGGCCAGCCTGGTCTACAGAGTGAGTTCCAGGACAGCCTCCAAAGCCACAGAGAAACCTTGTCTCGAAAAAACCAAAAAAAAAAAAAAAAAGACACGTCAGTATTTGGAAAAAATAAAATAAATTGCTTAAAAATCAATAAACAGCTAGGTGATGATGGCAGATGAATACCAGTACTCAGGAGAGAGAGGCAGACAGATCTCTGTGAGTTTATTAAGGCCTGTTTAGTCTACAGAGCGAGTTCCAGGACAGCTAAGGCTACAGAGAAACTTGTTTTGAAACAAACAACAAAACACCCAAACACTTTATAGTCAATTTGTATGCCTGTAATCCCAGCCCTTGGGATGCTGAAGCAGAAGGATTACTATGAGTTCAAACCCAGCCTGAGTTAGAGTAAGACCCTGTTTCAAAACAGGTAACTTTAAATTGGTTTCATATTCAGCATTTGATTTGAATTCATCTCGATGTGAAACCTAAACTGTAAGAGAACATCTTTGCTGCTGGTTAGGCAAAGTGTTTTTTGAGGCACAACAACAAATGTCATCCATTAAGACAGTCTGTTAAGCAAGATTTGCTCCAAGTTTAAAACTGTTCTTGGAGGCTAGAGGGATGGCTCAGCAGCTAAGAACACACTGTCTGCTCTATCAGAGGACCTGGGTTCAATTCCAAGCACCCACATGACAGCTCACAGCTATCTGTAACTCCAGTTCCAGGACTTCTGACACCCTCACATGGACACACATGCACATAAAATAAAAATAAATTTTAAAAAACCTGTTCTTTGAAGTCACTGTTTAGATATCCAAAACTGGAAGAAAGCATTAAAGCACATTTCAAAGACCTGAATCCACAGCACATAAAAACTCATTAATAAATAAAAAACATCCAACTTAAAAATGCACCAATGGAGCCGGGCATTGGTGGCGCACGCCTTTAATCCCAGCACTCCAGAGGCAGAGGCAGGTGGATCTCTGTGAGTTCGAGGCCAGCCTGGTCCACAGAACGAGTTCCAGGACAGCCTCCAAAACGATACAGAGAAACCCTGTCTCGAAAAACAAACAAACAAAAAATGCACCAATGGACTGAAAAGGCTAGTTAAGGCTGCTCTCCAGAGGTCCTTAGTTCAATTCCCAGCACTTTCATAGCAACTCATAACCATCTACATAGCAACCACCTACAACGTAGTCCATGGGACCTGAAATGTGCTCCTCTGGTATGCAGATAAATATACAGAAAAAAAACCACATACGAGCCAGGTGGTGGCGGTGCACACCTTTAATCCCAGCACTCAGGAGGTAGAGGCAGGCAGATCTCTGTGAGTTCGAGGCCGGGCTGGACCAACAGCCTCCAAAACAATACAGAGAAACCCTGTCTCGTAACAAAAACAAAATCACATACGTAAAATCCTTAAATCGATCTTAAAAATAATGGGTCAGTGAGCTTGGCATACTGTATAATGCTGGCAGTTGTAGCCTAAGGCAGGGACTGCTGAGTTTGACTGATGTCAGTCTGGGCTACACAGTGAGGTCCTGTCTCAAACACAAAACCAATAAAAGAGGATAGATGCCTGAACACACAATGCAGCAAAGATATGTAGACAGTAGATGAGCACACTGTGTTCATTAATCACCAGGGAATACAAATGAAATGGAACAGCACTGTGTACCAGTAGATGGCTACAATTAAAAAGGCTATCCAGCCCAAGTGCTGCCAAGATGTGGAGCAATAAGAACCTGAAAACACTGCCAACAGGAATATAAATGTCTAACCACTTGGGAAAAAAGGAGTCTGAAGAGGGCTAGGAGATGTGTCAGTGATTAGGAGCACTTGTTATTCATGAAAAGAAAGGATCTGGGGTCAATTCCTAGCACCCACATACTAGCTCACAACAATCCAGCTCGTTATTTCTGACTTCTTTTGACCTGCTATGTCTCCCTGGTGGTGGCAGTGCTCACCTTTAATCCCAGCACTCAGGAGGCAGAGATAGGCAGACCTCAATGAGTTCGAGGCCAGCCTGGTCTACAAAGTCAGTTCCAGCACAGCCAGTACTGATACACAGAGAAATCCTGTCTCAAAAAAATGAAACAAATTCCTATGTCCACACTTATACAGAAATGATCATAGCAGCTATGGTTAGAAACAACTCAAATAATTATTAACAGATAAATATGTAAAATGACAAATTCATATAATTAAGTACTAAATGCTAAAGGCAATAAAAACAAATGTACTATACATTCAACAACATGGATAAACTCAGGTATAGTTCATGAGAGGAATAACTCAAGATTGAGTCCAGCCTGGACTACAGAGTAACCTTATTTACAGAAAGAAGCTTCACAAAGCTAGTCACAATTTTAGGAGTATAAACATGCCTAGTGTCAGAAGGGTAGTTCATTTCTTGGGGGAAATGAGAAAGAGGTAAAAAAGGAGACACTAGAGAACTTATAAAAGTGACAAGGAGGCGTATTACTGATTATTATTGTGGTAATGGTTTCATACAGATATACATATCAAAATGTCAAAGGTATATTGTGTGTAAGGGTACATATGTAAATTCTATTTCAATAAAGGTAAGAAAAACATGTCACAAACAGAAAAATTAGAAACTGAAGTTAAGTCCAAGTAAGAAAATCCTATCTTAAGCCTTTATTTTTAACCAGAACAGCTTTCCATCTTATTTTAATTAATTTTCAGACAGTGTCTCACTATGTTGAAGTCACAAAGATCTTCCTGAATCTACCTCTTAAGTACTGGGATTAAAGGTATGAATCACATCCAGGCATGGTGGTGCAAGCCTTTAATCCCAGAATTTGGGGAAACAGATGCAGGAAGATCTTTTTGAGTTCGAGGCCAGCCTGGTCTACAGAGCAAGTTCTAGGACAGCCAAGGTTACAGATAACCCTGTCTCAAAAAGCTAAAAAAAGAAAAAAAAAGAAAAAAAAAAGACACGAACCACCAGGCCTCAACAGCCAGCTGTTTAGAGGCTTGTACTACCACGACCAATTTACTCACGACCAGGAATTAAACCTAGGGCTTCATGTACAAAAAGGCAGGCAAGCACTCTACCATCTAAGCTATATCTCTAGCTGTCTTAAGTGTCCTTTCCTGGTGCTGTGCTAAAAGGTACTGAAAAACTTCAGGAAGAAAGAGTTGATTTTGGTTCATAGGTCAAGGATACAGCTGTCTATAATGGCAAGGAAGTCAAGGCAGCAATGTCTTCAAACATCTGGTCACATTTAATACACAATCAGGAAGTAACATTAATGAATACATGCTAAACTCTGCTCACTTTCTCCATTTTATATAGTCTAGGATCCCCACAGAGAATGGCCACACCCACAGTTAAGATGGTTTTCCCATGGAAGTGTCCTGGGTGAGTTCATAAGTACTTGTCATAAGTAGTTGTCAACACTATCACACCATCAAAGACAATGGTACTTCATAATTCAAAAGCCTTTAGCCTAACTTGCCAATGTTTTTTGTTTGTTTGTTTTTTTGAGGCAGGGTTTCTCTGTGTAGCTTTGGAGCCTGTCCTGGACCTAGGTCTTGTAGATCAGGCTGGTATTGAACTCACAGAGATCCGCCTGCCTCTGCCTCCCTAGTGCTGGGATTAAAGGCATGCGCCACCACTGCCTGGTTTCTAACTCGCTACTGTTACAGGAAGACTATTACTATGATTTTACTCTGCTCATTATAAAAAATAATACAACTGGTAAGTCAATTTTCTAATGACATTTCAAAATGTGAAATTCTGGGGGGCTAACAATGAAACCAGCAGGAGGTGGTGACACAGGCCTTTGATCCCAGCACTCAAGAGGCAGAGGCAAGTAGAACTCTGAGTTTGAGGCTAGCCTGGTCTACAGTGAGTTCCAGAACAGCCAGAGCTGTAACACAGAGAACTCCAAAAAGAGAAAAAGAAAGAAAAAAAAAAAGAATGAAACCAGCAGCCAGGAGCATGTTCCCCAATCACACTACCATTTAAAAATGTCTGCGCACTTACCTGCTATTCTGCGTACCAGGGAAGGTCGGTCTGATTCTGGCTCTTTCTTAAGACTTTCCACTGGTGAGCTCCGCCCTGATGCAGGGTAGAGAGAGGCATGCCACTTCTCAGGGTCCCATACACCATCACTACAGGTTAAAGGATAGCATCAGTGTTTGTGGGTTAATTCTAATAGGTTCTAATTTCTAAACTTCAGGTTACATTCCTTCAGAATGGTTGCCCTATTCAAGATGAAAACAGGAACAGTAGTAACAGCATGTTGCTGGTTGTGTAACACCAACAGGTACTTGAAAAACAGCACACAAATGAAACTTTAGTCTATAACCCTGGGCTGTAACTGAACTACAGTTAACTATTCCACACAAACATCTTCTCAATACTGCAGAGACAGCTCTAACTCATTATCAGAAGTACCTCCTAGAAAATATTCTAGAATTTTTTAGTTTGTTTGGGTTTGTTGTTATTTTGAGACAAAGTCTTACTATATAGCAGCACTGGTGGGATTGGAACTTGCTATGTAAACCAGGCTGGCTTCATATTTATAGATTCACCTGCCCTGGACCCTGAGCTAGAATCTCTATGTGTAGTCTCGGGTTTTAAACAAATAGGACAGCTCTTAACTTTCTTCGTCTTCTTTTTTTAAGTAGCCCCACTGCTTTACACCCTTAGCCATAAACACTGCTTGAAAAAGTGAGTCAACATTTCTCCACCCCTCACAACAGTAAGAGAGGTAAGAGAAGAAGCTCTTTGCCCCTCTGATCTTTAGGATTAGGCACAATACCTAATTTAGCATGAAAGCTAATATATTTTCTCAGGATACAAACAAAGAAGCTCTAATAATAAAATTTGAAATATACAAAGATTTTACAATTTTAGGGGCTGGAGAGATGGCTCAGTGAGTAAGAACACTGAGGTCCTGAGTTCAGTTCCTAGCCACCACATGGTGGCTAACAACCATCTATAATATAATAGATGCCATCTTCTGGCATGCAGGTATACATGTAGAATACTCATACATAAAATATAAACAAATAAATTTTAAAATATAATGAAAACAAAGACTTTACAATTTTAATGAGAAGAAACAGGTTCATGAAAAATCCTAGCCAATCAAAATAGCCACTATTCTGGTATCATTACTATCAGGAAAATATGGTGACACATCTAGACTCATCTAGATTCAATAGGCCTTTTCAATAGTCCATATAATAGGTTTTAAAAGTCTGTCTACACTGAATATTAGTCTAATGCTAACATGGGTAAGGCCTTGGTTGCAAATCTAGCACTAGGGGTGACAGTATGTGGCACACTGAACCAAGAAAATTAAACATGACACTTTGTAAGTAAAAACACAGGCCCCGGGAGGCAGAGGTAGGTGGGTCTCTGTGAGTTCGAGGCCAGCCTGGTCTGCAGAGCAAGTTCCAAGACAGCCTCCAAAACAATACAGAGAAACCCTATCTCGAAAAACCAAAAAAAAAAAAAAAAAAAAAAAACACACACAAAAAAAACACAGGCCCTTGATGACTGCAGACTCAACAGTTGAGAAAGAGGAGCATACACTCCTTCTCTCCCCCAAAAGTAACAGCCTAGACAGAAAGACATAGAAGGTTTTCTTAAAAATTGTGATAAACACCAGGCAGTGGTGGCACATGTCTTTAATCCCAGCACTTGGGAAGCAAAAGCAGGTGGATTTCAGTGAGTCCCAGGACAGCCAAGGTAGTTACACAGAGAAATCCTATCTCAGGAAAGTGAATAAATAAATAAACTAATTTAATTAAATAAAAAACTGTGATAAGCAAGCAAGCTGAAGTGTAGCTCTCCACAACTGATAGCTTCTGACTGAGGTGCAGGTGGAATAGGACTCAATTTTATTTTATTTTTTCCTGAGACAGGGTTTTTCTGTATAGCTGTGGAGCCTTTCCTGGAATTCATTCTGTAGACCAGGCTGGTCTCAAACTCAGAGATCCACCTACCTCTGCTTCCTGAGTGCTGGGATTAAAGGCGTGCATCATCACCACCCAGTCATATACATATACATACATATATAAATATATATAATACAGGGTTACTGTACATTTTCAGGCCATTTTTATCTAGCTTTTTCAAACTAAAGCCCTTTACCTTTTCTTTTCTTTTTTTTTTTTTTTTTTTGTTTTTACGAGACAGGGTTTCTCTGTACTGTTTTGGAGGCTATCGGTCCAGCCCGGCCTCGAACTCACAGAGATCCGCCTGCCTCTGCCTCCCGAGTGCTGGGATTAAAGGCCTCTTTACCTTTTCTTAAGGACACAACAGACTAATATGAATGGCTCTTTGAAAAAAGATCTCAGGGCTCTCCCTTCAGCATCTCCAAAGAAGTGCCCTGAAATTAAAGCATAAACCACAGGATCTGGAGAAAAGACCCTAGCACTAAGACTCCTAGGTTTAAATCTGCCCTGTGACTATAACCAAGTCATTCTGTAGCTTAGTTTTAGTATGGGTTAGTTGATGGCATACTAACTCTTGAAATATTTCGCTTATTCATAACCCTACCAAAACAACAACTTACCAACCATGTAATTCTTTTCATTTAAATAAATTTTTATTTACTGGTTTTTAAATTTTATTATTTTAATTTTATGTATGTGCACATGAGTGTAAGTGTCCACATCAGCCAGGGGTGTCAGATGCCCCTAGAGCTGGAGTTTACAGGTGGTTAGGATCCTGATGTGGGTCCTAAGAATTCAACTAGGTCCACTGAAAGAGCAGTACAGATGCTAATTATTAAGCCATCACTCTAGCTCCAACAATGCAATTCTTAACAGTAACAGTCATACCTGTCATATTTTTCAGAGAGGCATGATGGCCTCCGTTTGGAGTAGGGACGTTCTTTTATATCCAAGAGCTCCTCCTAAAAAAGAGAAATCACATGAGAACTTTGAATCACAGGCAACACGCTTCCAATTTATTTCCCTTCTGTGTGTCTACTCTAACAATTTCACATCATTTTCTTTTGAGGGGGGAGGGGGCTTTGAGACAAGCTCATGACTACTTGGAACTGATTCTCCTGTTACGGAATTTCTGTCACAGGTCTGGTAGCCAATAGAGAGGAGGGTTTTTTAAATTTTTTTCTTTTGGTCCAAGTAGCAATTTTCAGGACAGCAGTGGCTACAGAGAAACACTGTCTCGAACAAAAACAAAAAAACTGGTTTGGCCAGCCTGGTCTACAAAGCCAGTTCCCATGAGAGCCATCACTGCTACACAGAGAAACCCTGTCTGGGAGTAGGGGTCTGGGTACCTGGGCAGTGGGTGCCTTCTGTACTCCATAACAACAGCTTTAAGAATCTAGATCCCAGCTGGGCAGTGGTCGTGCCCCCCTTTAATCCTAGCACTTGGAAGTCAGAGGCAAGTGGATCCATGTAAGGCCAGTCTGGTCTACTAAGCCAGTTCTAGGACAGCCAGAACTACATGGAGAAATACAGTCTCAAAAAAACAAAACAACAACAACAAAAAAATTGGGTTGTTTATGTGTGTAGAGTGTGTTTGTGCCAAGGCTGGAGATATGGCTCAGTGGATAAGAGCACTGGCTGTTCTTCCAAAGGACCCAGGTTCAATTCCAGGCACCCACATAGCAGCTCACAACTGTCTATAACTCCAAGATCTGACACTCTCACACAGACATACCAATGTACATAAAGCAAAAATAAATTGAAAAAAAAAAAAAAGATTATGTTTGTGCCCCGGCAGTGGTGGCGCATGCCTTTGATCCCAGCACTCAGAAGGCAGAGACAGACAGACCTCTGTGAGTTCAAGGCAAGTTCCAGGATCCAGGACAGTCTCCAATGAAAAACCAAAAACAAAACAACAACAACAACAAAAAAATCAGAATGTGGAAACAGGTCTTGAGGTCAGAGATCAATGTCGAGGAATTAGTTTTCTCCTACCTTTACTGTGGATTTCTGGGATTGAATTCAGGTGATTTTATCCCCTGCCCAGCTTTTGATGCGAGGGCTAGGGATCTGAATTCTTGTCCTCACAATTCCATGGCAAATGCTTTGTCTATATACTATCTTTAACACTTACACACCTTTACTTGGATTGCCTGTGGTCAGTAATTTGCTTCATTATTGTACTGTCTACCATCCATTAAGCCATCCTAAAATGGTGTTCCCAGAAAGGGTTTCTCTGTGTAGCCTTGGCTGTCCTGGACTCACTCTGTAGACCAGGCTGGCCTTGATCTGTCTCCCAAGTGCTGGAATTACAGGTGTGTACCACCACTGTCTGGCTGGCTGTTTTCACTTTTAAAAGATTTATTTATTATGTATGCAGTGTTCTATCTACATGTATGCTGACATACCACATGAGGGCAACAGAACTCATTACAGATAGTTGTGAGGCACCATGTTGTTGCTGAGAATTGAACTCAAACTGTGGAAGAGCAGCCAGTGTTCTTAACGTCTGAGCCACCTCACCAGCCTGTTTTTCGAGGCAGGATTTCTCTGTGTAGGTTTGACTGTCCTGGAACTTGTTCAGTAGATCAGGCTGGCCTCAAACTCAGAGACCCACCTGCATTTGCCTCCCTAGAGCTGGAGAAAAAAGCATGCATCAAAATGCCTGTCCTTACTTGCCCTTTTTAGATACACTTTTTTTTGTAACCACTCAAGAATGTCACTTAAATTATGTATTTGAGTGTTCATTTCTAAAGAATGAAGATATTCTCAAGACTTATTTTACTTTTATTTAAATGTAAATGTGTGTGTGTGGGTGCCTGAAGAGACTAGAAGAGGCACCAGATCTCTTGGAGCAGGAGTTATATGTGGTTGTCAGTTGTCTGAAGTGGATGCCGAGAACTGAACTCTTCTGTAAAACCAACATATGCTCTTAGTTCCTGAACCCCCTTTCCAGCACTAAAAATGAGCATTTTTTAAAAAACAACTTTTACCTAATTTCCTAATTTAATCTCACAGAAAATATTTTTTTCTCTTTTTTCACCCCCCAGACAGGATTTCTGTGTAGCCCTGCCTTTCTTATAATTCATCCTGTAGACCAGGCTCTACCTCCTGAGAGATGGGTTAAAGACATGCACCTTCACTGCCTTTATCTGAATTTTTAAGTATTCTTTATCTAATATTTCCTCATAACCAAAGGTAAGCATAAGAAATACATCCTTAGCCAGGCAGTAGTGGCACCGCCCTTTAATCCTGGTACTCAGGAGGCAGAGGCAGGTGAATCTCTGAGTTTGAGGCCAGCCTGATCTAGAGAGTGAGTTCCAGAAAAGCTAGGGCTAGGGCTATACAAAGAAATCCTGTTAAAAACAAACAAGAGATACATCCTTCTCAGAAAGTCACCACTGGGTGCAGTTATGTCCAGCTGCCCTTAATTAGTGATGTGACTTCTGATCACAAGGTCCAAGTGTTCTTTAGTTACTATTTTCCCAGTTTCAATTAAGCCTGTGATCTGTGGGAGACAACATAAGATCATCTGGGTTTCATTTCATAGTTCCCCCTCAACTTCCATCTCTGGTGATTCTTGCTATCCATTTCCCAGTTATAACCACTTATCTTTATGCCAGCAATTGGCATTACATTATTGTCCATGTTCCTCTTCTCTCATTAATTCTATATACTGATATAGACTCTCAGATTCCTAGTTTTCTCACTATCCTGCCCCTCCCCCCCTTTGAGACAGTCTCTGTAGTCCTGACTGTCCTGGAACTCACTATGTAGACCAAGCTGGCCTCAAACTCAGAGATTCACCTGCTCTAGCCGGTCAAAGCTGATAGTGGTGCACACTGTTAGTCCCAGCACTTGTAAGGCCAAGGCAGGCGGGCAGGCAGATGGATCTCTGTGAGTTTGAGTCCAGCCTAATCTACGCAGTTAGTTACAGGACAGTCAGAGCTGTTACACACACACAAAAAAAAACGAGCATGGCAGTGGTGGCCCATGCCTTTAATTCCAGCATTTGGGAGGCAGAGGCAGGCAGATCTCTGTGAGTTCAAGACAGCCTGGTCTACAAAAGCTAGTTCCAGGACAGCCTCCAAAGCCACAGAGAAACCCTGTCTCAAAAAAAAAAAAAAAAAAACCAAAAAACCAAACCCCCCAAAAAGGAGAAAAGAGCAACCAAATGACAACAAGTGACCCATGACATCACATACCTATATCATACAGGCATTTGACTACATTTAGTATTTACTTATAAATTGTTTTGTTTTGGGATTTTGAAACAGGGTCCCACTACGTAGCTCTGATTGTCCTGAAACTTACTATGTAGACCAGGTTGGGCTCCAATTCAGTTTCAGCTGCCTCTGCCACCTGAGTCCTGGGATTAAAGGCGTGAACCACCACAACTGGTGAATTATTGGCTTTATAACTAAAAACTGACTATCTGGAGTCTGTTCAAATTTGTGAAAGCCTCAAAGCACTGACAAACATGCTACCTCAAGTCACTTATGAAGACTGAGTCCAGGGAAACAGGCAGGTGAGTAACCTGGCCAACAGCAGACATTATATAGCACAAAAACTTTTTTATTCTTCCAAGTCAGGGTATCTCTGTTTTGGAACTCACTTTGTATACCAGGCTGGCCTGAAACTTAGAGATCTATCTCTGCCTCCTGAAAAATGCCCCCACCTCCAACAATAAAACTTAAAATATGTAACAAACAGTTTTACAAAAAGCAAAATGAAGAGCTGTTGAGATGGTTCATTGGATAAAGGCTAATTTCAATTCCAGGCGCATACATGAGAAAAGGAAAGAGAACTGACTCCCATATATTGCTCTTTGGCTTCCATGTGTATGCAAGCATGTACAATCAAATCTTTTTTTTTTTTTAAGATAGAAACAAGGAGCCAAAGAACCAAGTACCAGAGAAACCCTGTCTCAAAAAACCAAAAAAAAAAAAAAAAATCCTTGGAAAGTCCTCCCAAGTATTTCATCAAAATGTGAGCACTCTTTCAAAGATTTTACAGACTGTGGGCCTAACCTCTGAAATCATCCATGGACACTAAAGGGTTTAATACTTGGCTTTTTACTTTTTGCACAGGTTACTAAAACTTGACCAAACAGAAAAAAACTACTAATTGCCCAAGAACCCCACACCCAAGGAAATTGTGTCAGTCTAGTGTTGGCGGTATACTCTTTCATTCCCAATTCCCAGCACTGGGAGGCTGAAGCATAGACAGGTGGATCTCAGAGTTGAAGGCCAGCCAGGGCTACACACAGAAGAACCCTGACCTGAAAATACCAAACACCAGCCCCCCCAAAAAAAGAGAAAACAGAAAACTCCCCCAAAATAATAGGAAGTGAGGAGATGGATTGATAGGAGTACTTGCTCTACAAAACCAAAAGCCTGAGTTTGAATCTCTAGCACCCATCTAAAAAGCAGAGTATATGGATACACCCCAGTATGGAGGATGGAGAAAGGTGAACCCCACAAGTTTGCTGGCCAGTCAGGCTTGCCAAAAAGTGAGCTTCTGATTCAGTGAGGGACTGTGTCTCAGGACAATAAAGCAGATAGCAATATCCTGATCTGACCTCTGCATATGCATGCACAGGTGTCACTACCTACATACTCAAACTTGTGCAACACACACACACACACACACACACACACAGGGCGCAATGAGCTAAAAGCACCTGTAACCTGTAGCTGGCTATCAAGCCAATATCATTCATGAAGGGAGCTACTAAAGGGAACACCAAGAATAGGTCTTACAGACAGTTAGGTTAACACCATACTGAGCCAAATCTACTCTAACCTAACAGTGGCTGAAGAATGCATGGAACTATGAAACGCTACTAAAAAAAAATGACAAAACCTGGTTTTCTCTCATTCAAAATTTCCCCCTGTGCACCTGGCCAATGCAATAAAAGCACTGCCTTTTAAATAGTCGATATAACTGATAAAAACAATGTAAAACTGCCAAACAGTAAATAGGCTGATAAATACTAGAGGGAAACCTAAAACATTAAAGTCATTTTTAGGGCTATCTGCTTCAGTGTTAGAATGGAGATGAAGGTGGGCAGTAGTTTAGGGAAAGAGGGTATTCCTAGTAGGCATTTGGTTGAGCAGGCTCCACACACAGCCAAAATAACAGCAAAAGAAGGTGGTTACTCTCTGTCATGTACAAAGCCATTGCCTTGATTGTAAAGCTGGCATTAAAAGGACCTTATGCCGGGTGCTGGTAGCACATGCCTTTAATCGCTTTCATCGGGAGGCAGAGGCAGGCGGAACTCTGAGTTTGAGCGAGTGCCAAGATAGGCTCCAAAGCTATACAGAGAAACCTTGTCTCGAGGAAAAAAAAAAAACAAAAAAAGGATGCTCGCCGGGCGGTGGGGGTGCACGCCTTTAATCCCAGCACTCAGGAGGCAGAGGCAGGCAGATCTCTGTGAGTTCGAGGCCAGGCTGGACCGACAGCCTCAAAACAATACAGAGAAACCCTGTCTCGTAAAACCAAAAAAAAAAAAAAAAAAAAAAAAAAGGATGCTCATCATTGGATAGGCCTATTTAATACATTATCCAGTTTTTAGCACCTGCTGTGTATCGGCACTGGATTTGAACTTTCCCAATCATAAAAGCTTCTACAAGATCAGGTGTAGTCTATCTTTACAGGAAAGAAAGATTAAGAGAAGCTAAGTGGTCAGGTGTGGTAGTGCATGCCTTTAGTCCCAGCAGGGTAGGTAGATCTCTGCAGGTGGACAGGTAGATCTCTTCATTTGAGGCCAGCCCTGGTCTATGGAGGGAGTTCTAGGACAGTCAGAGCAAGGGTTATACAGAGAAAACCTGTCTCAAAAAAAAAAAAGAAAGAAAGAGATAAGCTAAGGATAAGACTGAAGGCCACACAGGTTCAAGGTAAAGTAGTAATCCAGTCCATGAGTGGTGCTTAACAATCCTTAGTCTCTTTTCTTCCCCAAAGCTTGCACTGACAAGAAGAAGGTGCATCACCCCTTTCTGAAGCTGTGCCACTAATTACCAGATTTGCTCCTGTCAGGTTGGACTACTAGGAACTCTCAACTAAACTCTCACCTTCTTGGGCAGGTTGCCCTTAAGCCCAGCATCCTACTATAGCACCCTTTCTTGAATTAAAGGTTCCTTCTACAAATTTTTTTTCTTCTTGTTGTTTGGTTGGTTTCTGTTTTTTGAGACAGGTTTCTCTGTGTAGCCCTGGCTGTCCTGGAACTCACTCTGTAGACCAGGCTGGTCTCGAACTCAGAGATCCTCCTGTCTCTGCCTCCCAAGTGCTTGGACTCAAGGCGTGCACCACCACTGCTCAGCCCATCTACAAATGTCTATGGGCAACAACTGGCTTCTTCTGTAGCTAAAGTTCCTATCATGCGGGGCAAGTAGGAAAACACTCAGAGTCAAAGAACCTGAGTCCCAACTTTTCAAGATGAGCTAAAATGGAAAAGGAAGAAAATGACAGTCAGAACTCAGTATTTATGATCTTACCAACCAGCTAAGAACTTCCAGTTAGCTATGTATTCTGGACAGCTGACATATTAAGATCAGATAATGATTTTTCAGACCCCAACTCTGCCTTCCTCAAAATAGGCACCCTTATTTTTATGCTAGCTTAAATACATCACTGAAATGCCACCTGTTAGAGAGTACTACTCAACTCAGTTTATGGAAGACATATATAAAATTAGCAAAGATTACTTTTATATAGGAAATGGATCATTCCTGACTTCTGAAATTTACATCTGAACCCTTCTCTGGCTTACTTTCCTTCTTTTCTTTTTCTTTTTTTTCCCCAAGACAGGGTCTCACTATGTAGCTCTGACTGTCTTGTAACTCACTATCAAGATCAGGCTGACCTCGAACTCACAGACAACCACCTGCCTCTGCAAGCTGTAGCTTTTGTTCTTGGGAACACAGCTTAACAAAACAATCAGAAACTATGAATATTAATAATATTAAGACTCTAAGGATAACAGGAGCACATGATCAACCCATTTGTAATATCCTGGTTAACTGTCACAGAGGCTTAAATGTTGGTGTAAAGACACCATGTGACTTTAACTTGGATTCCTATACTTGGAAGCATAGCAGAGGCCAATCTAAACCTCAAGGAGAACCTGGGTATCTCAGTTACCTGATAAATGCCATTTGTCAGTCTTCCACAGAAAAGACTACTTCAAAAAAGCCAAGAACTAGGAAATTTGGAATCACGTAAGATTGTAAGTAGTTGAGCCAGGCGTTGGTGGCCTTTAATCCTAGCACTTGGGAGGCTGAGGCGGTGGATCTCTGTGAGTTCGAGGCCAGCCTGGTCTACAGATCAAGTTCCAGGACAGCCTCCAAAACGATATAGAACCCCTGTCTTGAAAAAACAAAAACAAAAAACAAAACAACAACAACAAAAGGACTGTAAGTAGTTTAAAGCCACTTTCCTTTATTTGATATTCAGAATTCACCTGTCAACGTTTTAGGCAATGAGTTTAAGTTGTGGAGTACTTCTCAATCTGAATCCACAGTTCAAAGGCTTTCTGACAAATGTTAATCCCAGCACTAGGGAGGCAGAGGTCCCTGGTATACAACTGACTAATAGGAAGGCACTCAATTAAGAACTCACATTACACTTCAAAATTCCCTCCCAGGCATACTCAATCATTCATTTATTATTCCATTCATTCTCTCTTCCTTTAATTCTGACACTTTACCAATTAGGGAAGAGTAAGGCAGTACACAAATAAGGCCCAGCTTTACTGAGTATCCTAGGAGGCCAGGGACAATAAGCCATGCTGGGGTTCACGATGGTGTTCATAGTAAGGAAATACGGACATGGGCTCAACTAGAGCATAAATCCCTATCACTAGCCATTTCAAGACTTTCCGCTTTAGGAACATTTTATTTACTCTAGCCCAGAGTATGTCAGAAAGTCAGAAATAAACTTATAGTTCACTGAAACTTATTAATCTGTTTAGAAACACTCAGCGGTCAATATGACACAGATGCAATATCTCTACTAAGTACAAAACTTTGATGTACTTCCTAAGCTAGGGATGACAGCAAGATGACCAGTTTAAAGCCGCCCGTAGTAGTGCACGCCTCTCACTTCACACTCCAGAGGCTGAACTGAGAGAGTACTATAGGTAAACTATGTCTCCAAAAACGAAAAAAAGGAAGCTTAAAATCACTGTATTCTTAAGCAATGACGTAGTTGTGAGTTCATATCCCATTTGCAACAACAACAAAAGCAACGGATTTAAAAGATCCACAATTAGCCGGGCGTTGGTGGAGCACATCTTTAATCCCAGCACTCAGGAGGCAGAGGCAGGCGGATCTCTGTGAGTTAAGGCCACCCTGGTCTCTAGAGCTAGTTCCAGGACAACCTCCAAAACAATATAGAGAAAGCCTGTCTCGGAAAAAAAAAATCCACAATTACTCCTGACCACTGACCAGGTCACTCCTACAGGGATTGGACTTTCAAGGAAACACTGACTCTGTAAAGCGTTCAACAGCTGGAATACTCACCCGACCCATTCTACCCAATTATACAACTGTTACAGAACATCTAGGTGCAAATGTATACCGATCTACAAATGTCATACAGCCTTTCACCTAAAGGCTACAATTGAAACCCAGTAGTCATACTTCCAGAAAAATGACCAAACTGATGCTTACTAAATTTAGTCTCGAGTGAATCAGAGCAAGACTGCCACTTTAAATAACTCCAACGAAATAGCTACACATTACTACTTCATTAATAACAGAATTTACAAGCCAGGCGTTGATGGCGCAAGCCTTTAATCCCAGCACTCTGGAGGCAGAGGCAGGAGGATCTCTGTGAGTTCGAGGCCAACCTAGTCCACAGAACGAGTTCCAGGACAGCCTCCAAAACAATACAGAGAAACCCTGTCTCGAAAAGCAAACAAACAAAAAAACCAACAACAACAACAAATAACGAAACTTACTTTTGTGTAGCGATGGGCGTTCTTGGAGGTGGGCAGTTTCTTTAGCTCAAGGAAAGCATCTCCATTTTCTATTTCATCCACACCTCTCTTCTCCATGGCTTCTTGGTGTACAATTTTTTTGTACCTGGGAGATAAATTTCAGCACAAAACTGTCAAAGGAAACAATAAATGTTCAGAAGCCTTAGCTGCTTATGAACCTGAAACTTTGAGGGGGAAAAGTCTAAATAGTTGTGTAAAGAAATCCACCCAAAAATTACGGTAGGAACCAGAACTAAATTGGAAAGAGAACCACCTTAAGTATTGAATAGCCACAGCGTAAGGAAAGCAGAAGTGTAAGAGGCCCAACTCAGGATACAACCTTTAATTATCTTTAATACAAAGAGAAACCAAAATAGTCGCTGCCACCCACGAGAACAGACCAGGCGGTGCTGGTGAAGTTTCCCGGTGTAGAGTAAGAGCAGGACTGGTTGGGCTGCCGATCCGGGAAGTCAGGCTGCTGGAAGTGCCTGTCACTTGTCAATGGATGGCACCAGCTGCCCCTTATTACCCCAGGGTAAGGGGCTGGGGAACCGGCCAGAGCGCACCTCTCTCAGCCGGCCACACCTGTGGCCATGTGAGGGGCGTCCGCGGCGAAGGAAGGGCCGGTGCGGGCCTCCTCTGGGAAACTCCGTTCCTTAATAAACCAACCCTGGCCCCTCACGCAGGTCCCGGGCCAGAGGCCTCCTCGGAAAGAAGGGCGGGGACGATACTTACGGAGGGAAGCGGGCCGGAGGGAGCAGGGACCAAGTCCACGGGCCGGCCACCTACAGCCGGCGCAGGCCCGCCTGCTGGCCCGCCGGCCGCCCGCGCGCCTCGCGCCTCTGCCGCCCCCTGCGCGCGCCCTGCCGCCCGCGCTCCCGGGGCAGCGCGCCGTCCTCGCCCGCAGGACGGGGCCCCGCTCTTGCCGTACCCTTGTTGGGAGCGCCCGCAGCCGGGCGGCCCCGCGCTTTGGCCGCCGCGTCCCACCGCGCCCGCTGCAGGCCCAGCGCCACTGCCCTCGGCCTGTGCTTGCGCCCCCCCACACCCGCTCGGGCTGGCTCTCCTCAGCCGCCGTAACCGCGGCCCGGCCCTCCGGCGCTGCTCTCCGCCCCCTCCCCCTAATAACCCCCGTCGCGCACCGCGGACCCAGGCGCCGCCCTCTCAGCGCGCAGGACCTGGGGTGTCCGCGGCGGTGCCTGTCGGAAAAGCCACACTGGGCGGCGAACTCCGCCACGCCACGCTGAGCTCTGCATGGGCACAATAGGCAGACAGGCACGGTGGCTGCGGGGAAGTAGTCGCGACGGGAGCTGCGGGAGCCGGTGCCCGAATGCTCAGGCGGCCGCTGTGGGCAACTCAAGGAAGGGCGTCGCGTTCCCACGCGTCGGGAAGGGAGGAGCCAGAAGCGCGCTGTCCCGGACCCCGCGCCACGCCGGCGTGAGCTTGGTGGCCTGGGTGTTGGTCTTCGTCGTCTGGTTGCTGGTGGTCACCGGGCTGGGCCACACCTGGGGCTTGGACAGCAGGAGCCAGATTAGAAGAGCATAGCAGTGTTCTGTTTGTGTTTACTATTGCAGTGCTCAAGGGTGCCCTGATTTTTCGCTCCCCCCCTCTTAAAAAAAAAAACTGTCCCTAAAGTTACTAGGCACAGGATTAGCCATAAAGGCTGGTATGTTAATAAGCAAGTTTGTCACAATCACATTTGATTCTACGTAAAGGAAATTGACGAGTTAATTGGCGTATCTTCCAGTGAATAATCGGAAACTTGACTTAACCCTTCACGGACAGGGAAGAGTTAAGTACCTGGGGGAAATTTAGATAGCCGGCCTCGCACTCTTAGCCTTTAACCGAGTGCTGAAACTCAAATTGACAGAGGATACAGACATGCATATAAGTAAATAATCCAAGAACTGCTGCTCTGGGCAGGTCAATTGTGAGCCTAGTATGCAGGAGAATGCCAAAATTATTTCTGCAAGGTGGGACTGCCTACAGTTGAGATTTCTTTAGCGCGGCGGGAGACTTAGTTTTGTTTTTTGTTTTTGTTCTTTTTCCTCTAAAGAACAGCGAGGCTGAGTTTTGCAGAGTTTGGGACCGGGAGAGTTCAAAGCCAACGTGGGCAACATGATATTTGGACATAATTTATTTTTCCCCCTACCCGTTCCGAACATAATTTATTTAACTTGAGAAACTACTTTGCTTTCTTTCTGTGAGTCATGGCAACAAAAGTAATTTTTCCCCTTTGTAATACTTAATAAAATTTTTTCTCCCAAAGTATCTTTTGGGGCAGGGTTTCTCTATGTAATCCTGGCTGGCCTCCCAAGGGATGGGATTACAGGTGTGTGCCTCCAGAACTGCTTTAGTGGTTGGTAGCACACGCATTTAATCCCAGCACTGGGGAGGCAGAGGCAGGCAGATCTCTGTGAGTTCAAGGCCAGCCTGGTCTACAGAGCGAGTTCCAGGACAGCCTCCAAAACAATACAGAGAAACCCTATCTTTGAAAAAAAAAATTTTCTAAATAGGGTTTCTCTTTGTAACAGCCCTGACTGCCCTGTAACTCTAAACCATGCTGGCCTCAAATTTAACAAAGATCTGCCTGCCTCCTCAAAGTGCTGACATTAAAGGTGCCACCATTCTGGGCTGGGGGAAAATTTTTTAATAAAGCTTATACAAAGACTCATTATAGGGAGTCAACAGAGGTTGCATTTCCTTTCTTTCTTTTTTTCCCTTTGAGACAGAGTTTCTCTGTGTAGCCCTGGCGGTCCTGGAGCTTGCTCTGTAGACCAGGCTGGCCTTGAACTCACAGAGATTCCCCCTGTCTCTGCCTTCCCTGTGCTGGGGTTAAAGGGGAGCACCACCACTGCTCAACTGGAATCTAGATTCTTAAAGCTGAGAGAAATAGGAGTAATCCTCTTGTTATGGAGTACAGAAGGCACATACTCCCAGGTGTTGACTTAGAGACCCTGAGCTCAGGCATGCCTGGTACCAAGACTACCTGTGTTATTAAGTTTTTGGAATCCTAATCTATGCTAGGAAAGTACTCTTAAACACTTAGCAACATTCTTAGCCCAATAAATTATTTTCTCAAAGTTACCAAATGTCAGTGAAATCTGAGTATACTTCACCACCCTAAACATCAATCTCACCTGCTAGAAAGGAATTAAAATTCCTACTTCTCTGTCTTGTAGAAGTAATTAGACATAACATTAAAATGAGCTGGGACTAGGGCTGTATGTGGTGGCACAAGCCTATAATTGCAACATTCAGTAGACATACATCTGTGAGCTCCAGGGTAGTATGGTCTACATAGTGAGATCTAGGGTAGCCAGGGCTACATAGTGAAACTGTCTCAAAAAATAAAAGGCGGGGCCTGGAGAAATGGTCCAGCATTCAAGAGCACAACATGCTGAGGATCCAGAGTTGATTCCTAGCATGTACATGTGTCACTCTATTTGTAACTCCAATTCCAGGACAGACACCTTCTGGCCTCTGAAGACACTAGGCATACATATAGTGTACTACATACATACAGTTACACCACTAACACACATAAAATAAATTTTAATGTGTATAAAAATAAGCAATAAGAAAAATAGGGCCGGGTGTTGGTGGCACACATCTTTAATCCCAGCATTCGGGAGGCAGAGAGGCAGAGAGGCAGGCGGATCTTTGTGAGTTCGAGGCCAGCCTGGTCTACAGAGTGAGTTCCAGGACAGCCTCCAAAACAATACAGAGAAACCCTGTCTCGGAAAAGAAAAAAAGGGACTGAGGATAGCTCAGCTGTAGGAATACAAACTTAATATGTGCAAGGTCCTCAGTTTGATCCCTAGCAATCACAAAAAAACAAAAACAAAAAAGCCCTATCTAAAACCAAAGGATTAAGCCAGTATTTGGCTCCCAACTTTAGAAATTGGGTGGGTACCAACAGCTGTTCTGATTCATTCAGCATCACCTGATGGTGGCCTAAAGGCCAGGAACTAAGCCCCCTTAAAAGATCCTTTATTCACTATTCACGTGCTTGGGAATCTAAGGTGCTGTCAGCTGTGGCTACTGGAGCTTTGAAACACACATCTCCTTTTTATTTTAATTATTCTTTTTTTTTCTGAGACAGGGTTTCTCTGTGACTTTGGAGGCTGTCCTGGAACTAGCTCTTGTAGATCAGGCTGGTCTCGAACTCACAGAGATCCTCCTGCCTCTGCCTCCCAAGTCCTAGGACTAAAGGTGTGTGCCACCATCACCCGGCTAATTATCCTTTTCAAAAATATTTTCATTTTATGTGTATGTTTGTGTTTCGTAATGTATATACATATCCAGAACCCTCAAAGGTTAGAAGGTGACTCATCTGGAACTGGAGTTACAGATGGAGTCAACATGTGGGTGTTAGGAGCTGCACCCTGGTCCTCTGCAAGAACTGCTGAGTAATCTTTTCCACCCCGACATGGCCTTTTTATTATGTATGTGCACCACATGTACGAGTGTGCCCTCAGAGGCCAGAGCAGGGTATCAGATCCCCTGGAACTGGGGTTACAAGTAGTTTTGAGCAACCATGTGGGTGCTAGGAAGTTCTGGGTCCTCTAGAACAAGCTGAACCACCTCCCTAAAGATGGAGGCTTTTTTTTTTGTTTTTTGTTTTTTTGTTTTTTGTTTTTGTTTTTTGTTTTTTCGAGACAGGGTTTCTCTGTGGCTTTGGAGACTGTCCTGCAACTAGCTCTTGTAGACCAGGCTAGCCTCGAACTCACAGAGATCCACCTGGATGGAGGCTTTTTTTAAAGATTTATTTTTTATGTATATTCTGTTTGCACGTTTACCTGCAGGCCAGAAGAGGACACAGATCTCTCTACAGATGGCTATAAGAGCGCCTCTGGATGAACATTCGGTGCTCTTAACCCCTGCGCCATCTCTCCAGACCCTGAACATGGTCTCTTAATATGGCCTGAGCTGCTGGATGTTGGTGGCACTCGCTGCCTTGAATCTCAGCACTTGGGAGGCAGAGGCAGACAGATCTCAGTGAGTTAGAGGCCAGCCACCACCCACTTCCAGCCTCTCTTAAAGTCTTTGTGAGAAAGTAGACAATTACAATTTGGGTTTAAAGGTAAAATTTTACTAAGGAAGGGCACCTGTAAACTTTCACCTCTAGGAGATCCCATACCCTCCTCTGGTATGCATATGCATAATAAATAAAAAACTTTCACCTTTATGAAAAAGCCAAGCCTGTTTTTTTTTTTGTTTTTAACTTTTATTTTATATGTTGGTGTGAAGGTATCAGATCCCCAGGAACTGGAGTTATGGACAGTTGTGAGCTGGCATATGGGTACTGGGAATTGAACTCAGGTCCTCTGGAAGAAAAGCCAGTTCTTTTAATTGCTGAGCCATCTCTCCAGTCCCCAAGCCTGTTTTCTTTGTTGCTTTTTTTTTTTTTTTTTTTTAGACAAGATTTCTCTGTGTAACCACTCTGGCTGTGCTCACAGAGATCTGCCTGCCTCTGCCTCCCAAGTGCTGGGAGTGTGCCACTACTGCCCGGCTGTTTTTTGATTTTTTGAGACAGGTTTTTTTTTTTTTAAATTATGTAGCCCTGGTTGTTCTGGAACCAAACTGGCCTTGAATTCACAAAGATCCATCTCTCTCTGCCTCCTGAGTCCTGGGATTAAAGATATTCACCCCAGGCCTAATTACACCTTTGGATTTCAAGAAAAATCCTTCATGAAGTGATAGACACCAAGAAGGCTGTACTAATTGTTGTTACTATATGTGGTGACTCATCCCCTGTTGGTGGGACTGGTTGGGAAGGGTTAGGTGTGGCCTTGGAGGAGGAGGTATGTCACTGGGCCAGGTTTGAGGTTTCAAAAGACTGGCACCTTCCAGCGTGCCCTCTCTGGCTCCTGCTTGCAGATCAAGATGTGAACTCTTAGCTGCTGTCCCAATGCCATGCCTGCCTGTCACCTTCTCCCCACAATGAGCTCCTAGCCCTCTAGCACTAAGAACCCCAAATAAACCCTTCTATAAGTTGTCTTGGATGTGGTGGTTTTTTGTTTTTATCTTTTGAGACAGGGTTTCTCTGTGTAGCCCTGGCTGTCCGGGGACTCCCTCTGTAGCTTAGGCTGGCCTTAAACTCGAAGAGATCCACCTGCCTCTGTCTCCCATGTCCTGGGATTAACGGCCTGTGCCACCAACGCCCTGCTGGATGTGAAGTTTTAATCCAGGAATAAGGGGTGTAAGCAACAAGGTATTGAGTGGCAGGACCAGGGGTGTGTAATAATGAAGACAAAAGCAATAGCAGGAACCAGGAGGTCTTGCATAAGCTGATGACTTATACCAAGCAAGTTTATTAAGCAGCACAGCATCGTAGATAGTATTTGTGGGGGCTGGGGAGGAATGGCTAAGTCATACATGTTGGCAAAGAGAACATGGGATACCTCTGACACAACCAAGGACTGATAGTCACAGTCCAGGGAGAAGAGTGGACTCCTCAGAAACCACAACCTTAATTCTTTTTTTTTTTTTAATTTTATTTTCCAGTTTAAATTTAGATAAGAAACGAGGTTGCTTCACAAGTCAGTTCCAGGTCCCTCTCCCATTCCTTCCCCTCCTCCTGTGCCCTCCCCCCAACCCCCCCCCCACAACCTTAATTCTTAAGAGGCATTGGACAGGCCTTGTAAGTATGTTCCTGGACAAGGACACGGAACTAAATTTTCTTTATCTTTTCATCAGGGCGGGCCTCTAAGAGTCTTGGGGAGGTCTGGTCTCCCCACAGTTATCACAGTAATAGAAAAGTAACATACACTGTATCTTCTTCCTGGAAGGACCCACAGTTTTCTGTAACTCACATGAAAATACTGCTCGTTTCCTCAGTTTGTCAAAGCTGAGGGTGATGAATGCGCACAATGGGAAGAAAGCATCAGCAAATCCGCTCAAATCCAGAGAGTAGGCTTAGGGGCTGGAGAGGTTGCTCAGCACTTACTGTTCTTGCAGATGACTCAGGTTTGATTCCCAGCACCCACTTTAAGCAGCTCATAACCTCCTATAGCTCCGCTCCTGGGAATTCAATGCCTTGGATTTCCAGGGCGCCTGCACTCACACAGTTTCCCCTACCAGTCACATGCACACATACACATAAGTAAAGACGGGTATTAAAAAATAGGTACTGCCAGGTGGTGGTGGCACACACCGTTAAACCCAGTACTGTGGAGGCAGAGGCAGGTGGATCTCTGTGAGTTCAAGGCCAGCCTGGTCTACAGAGTGAGTTCCAGGACAGGCTCTAAAGCTACACAGAGAAGCCCTGTTTCCTAAAACCAAAAAAAAAAAAAAAAAAAAAAAAAAACTAATCTAGTTACTTTAGCAGTACTTCAAGCTGTAACTTCAGGGGAGTTATCAAAAGGTTGGTTTTCTCTAAAATGTAACTTTATTTTGTTGCCTTTTTTTCTTTTTCTAAAAAAACACATTGTTGTTGGATCCCCTGTAACTGGAGTTATTTATAGACAGTTGTAAACTGCCATGTGGGTGCTAGGTCCTCTGGAAGAGCAGTCAATGTTCTTAACAAAGGAGCCACATCTCCAGCCCTTTTATTGGTTCTTTTGAATCAAGGTCTTGCTTTGTAGCCTGGGGTTGCCTGGAATTCTCTGTGTAGACCAGGCTAGCTTGGAATCCATGTTCACCTGCTGCCTCTTCAGTATTGGGATTAAAGGTATGTGCCACCAGCCGGGCGGGCGTTGGTGGCGCACGCCTTTAATCCCAGCACTCGGGAGGCAGAGGCAGGCGGATCTCTGTGAGTTCGAGACCAGCCTGGACTACTGAGCGAGTTCCAGGACAGCCTCCAAAGCCACAGAGAAACCCTGTCTCGAAAAACCAAAAAAAAAAAAAAAAAAAAGGTATGCTTCACCACACCTAGTCCAGCTGTTTTATTTTTGAAACAAGTACTTTCCAAATTTCAACAGAGGTCTTAAAATTTCTAATTTTTCCTGCCTCAGCTTCCTGAATAGCTAGGGAGTACAGGCATGCACTAGCAGGCCAGGTTTATTTACGTTCCTCTTATCTTTTATTTATGTGTGTGTGCGCGCGCGCGCTCGTATCCTGTGCATGTGCATGGCTAGAGGTCAAAGGATTACTTTTGAGAGCTAGTTCTCTTTCGCTATAGAAGTCTGGGGATTGAGCTAAGGTTCAGGTGCCTTTACCTGCTGAGCCATCTTGACACTTTAGCCAACTGTATTTAAACACTATTTATTTGCTTGTTATTCATATAGATAGTCTCACTCTAGCCCAGGCTGTACTGGAACCCATTAAATAGGCCTGGTTGTTTTGAAACTGCAGTATTCCTCCTGCCTCAGCCTCTCACAGATGGTTGCTACCAATAAATGATTTCAAATATTTTGAATTACAAAAGTCACCATTTGCTGGGCGATGGTGGCACACGCCTTTAATCCCAGCACTTGGGAGGCAGAGGCAGGCGGATCTCTGTGAGTTCGAGGCCGGGCTGGACTGATAGCCTCCAAAACAATACTGTGAAACCCTGTCTCCTAAAAAAAAAAAAAAAAAAAAAGTCGGGGTTGGAGAGATGGCTCAGAAGTTAAGAGCACTGACTGCTCTTCCAGAGGTCCTGAGTTCAATTCCCAGCAACCACATGGTGGCTCACAACCATCTACAATTCAATCTGGTGCCCTCTTCTGGCGTGTACACAGAATACTGTATATGTAATAAATAAATAAATCTTTAAAAAAAAGTCACCATTTGTGAAAAGGGCAAAAAAACATATTACGTGAGTTTAATCTTTTAAAAAATATTTATTTTACCGGGCGGTGGTGACACTCACCTTTAATCCCAGCACTCGGAAGGCAGAGGCAGGCCTGGTCTACAAGAGCTAGTTCCAGGACAGCCTCCAAAGCCACAGAGAAACCCTTTCTTGAAAAACAACAAAAAAATTACTTTGAGTGTTTTGCCTGCATTTGTTTATTTATCTATTTATGTTTTTCGAGACAGGGTTTCTCTGTGCTGGAACTTGCTCAGTAGACCAGGCTGGCCTCGAACTCACAGAGATCCGCCCGACATTGTCTCACGAGTGGAATTAAAGACGTGCACCACCGCCTTTCGGCAGAGAGCACGCGGTTTATAAGCCGCCATGTGAGTGCTGGAAATCTGGATGAGCACAAAGTGCTCTTAGTCGCTGAGTCTTGTCTCCCGCCCCATGGTTCTAATCTTCACACACCCACCAAATAGTTTCCCTTGTTTTTAATATGCAATCTCTTAGTCTTTTCTCAAAGCTATGTCTTTGAAGATATACCACTAATTGGCCGATCGGATGCGGAGATTACCGACGTGCACCACCACGCCCAGGTCAGACACCTGTGGTTCCCACACCGCTCGGTGCAGGCGTTGCTGGAGACCGGTATCCAAGAAGCGCCCACACTTCCGGCCAAGAGAACGGTCGGAAGCCGCGCTCAGAGAGAAGCCAGGGGCCTCTGTTCCCCGGGAGGCAGCGAGCACTAAAAACGACAGCGCAACTTCCGGCGCGGGCCGCGTCGCCGTGGAGACGGGGGCGGGGCCGCCGGTGCAGGGCGCGAAATCCCTGGCCGCTGGCCTTCGCCGCAACCTCTTCCCGGGTCCGGTGAGGAGTCAGCTCCGTCAGGTACGAGGCCAGACCTGGCACCCCCAGCCTTTGAATGGCCAGCCGGTCCTCCTGCTTTAAAGCCGGCAGAGCGCGGGTGCCTAGGAGCTGGGCCCTGTGACAGCTCTTTCAGCTGCAGTGGTGCAGGAGATGGTGCCTACCCACAAGGCCTTGGTCTGTGCGTGGAGACGCGGGCAGAGCGTGCGTGAGGTTGTTCGGAGTGTGCCCTCCTTGCCCTGGCTGCCCTCGCGCTGCTTTTGCAGGGCCTGTGCACCCTCGGAGAGCTCTTCAGGGTGAGCTTCCGCCTGCGCGAAGCTTATTGGCCTGCCTAGATCCAGATTCGATTCAGGCGTGCGCCTGGGTGAAGGGCTCCGCTGTGTACACCGATCTCAGCTGACCAAGCCGAGAGCTGAACCCACGCTGCAATTGTACCACGGATTCTCTAATGGTGTGGTTTCTGAAGGTGCATAGAGGCTTGAACGCCACCGGCGCCGGCGCCACCTGTTAGCCGATGACCTTGGGCATCTACTTGGAAAGTGACAATAAGCACCTGATGAGGTGGCGTTGTTAAAGTGGGTCGTTCATGGAAAGTGCTGGGAGAAAGCAGGGAACCTGTGCTATAAGTGTCATCTTAATTGTAGCCCGTGTGCCTCAGGCACTACACATATGTGGTACACAGACAAAACATACACACACATAAAAAATGATTAAGTTAAAAATTTAAAAATACAGCAGGGTGGTGGTGGTGCACTCCATTAGTCCTAGCACTCGGGAGGCAGAGGCAGGTGGATCTTTGTGAGTTTGAGACCAGCATGGTCTACAGAGCGAGTTCCAGGACAGTCAGAGCTACACACGGGCTACACAGAGAAACCATATCTTGAAACAAAACAAAACAAAAAGTATATGTGAAATTGGTCAACTGTGGCAAATAGTTAAGAAGCCTTGCCCTAGGGCTACTACTACCAGTTTGCTTTTCTGACTATAAAGCTTTGCCTTCCTGGACATTTCATAAAAATGACATCATTAGTGTATGGTACAACATACCTTTAATTGCACACTCAGACTGTAAAGGCATGCAGTTCTTTGTGGGTTCGAGGCCAGCCTGGTCTGCATAGTGAAACACACACACACACACACACACACACACACACACACACACACACACACACGGAGGAAAGTGAAATCATATATGTGACTGGCTTATTTTATTCTGTATTTTTTTAAGGATTTATGTACACAGTATTCTGCCTGCATGAATACCTGCAGGCTAGAAGAGGGCACCAGATCTCATTACAAATAGTTATGAGCCACCATGTGATTGCTGGGAATTGAACTCAGGACCTCTGGAAGAGCAGTCAGTGCTCTTAACCTCTCCAGCCCCCTGTATGATGTTCTTAAGACTTATCTGTATTTAAGCATGTGGTAGTATTGCATTTACTTTTTTTTTTTTTTTTTTTTTTTTTTTGGTTTTTCCAGGCAGGGTTTCTCTGTATTGTTTTGGAGGCTGTCCTGGAACTCACTCTGTAGACCAGGCTGGCCTCGAACTCACAGAGATCCGCCTGCCTCTGCCTCCCGAGTGCTGGGATTAAAGGTGTGCGCCACCAACGCCCGGCTGAGGACAACTTTCAAGAGTCCATTTTCTCTCTCCATCTGGGAATCAACTCAGGGTATCTCACTGGCCCAGTGTAACTGTTTTGTTTTTGAGACAGCGTTTTCTATGCAGCCCTGGATGTCTTGGAACTTACTATACAGACCAGGCTGGCCTCATAAAGATCAACCTACCTCTTTCCCCGCTTCCTGGAATTAAAGGTGTGCATCAGGAATAACTTGTTTTTTTCCTGAGACAGGGTTTCTCTGTGTAGCCCTGGCTGTCCTGGAACCTGCTCTGTAAACCAGGCTGACCTTGAGCACACAGAGATCTGCGTGTCTCTGCCTCTCGAGTGCTAGGATTAAAGGCATGTGCCACCACAGTCTGACTCAGAAGTAACTTTTCTTTTTTTTGAAGATTTTTTAAAAATGTGTTTGAGTGCTCTATCTGCATGTACACCTTTATTGCCAGAAGAGGGCATCAAATCTCACTATAGATGGTTGTGAGCCACCATGTGGTTGCTGGGTCTTGAACTCAGGACCTCTGGAAGAGCAGTCAGTGCTCTTAACCACTGAGTATCTCTCCAGCCCCAGAAGTAACTTTTTTTTAAAGATGTATTTATTTATTATGAATACAACATCCTGCCTCCATGTTTGTCTGCATGCCAGAAGAGGGCACCAGATCTTGTTACAGATGGTTGTGAGCCACCATGTGGTTGCTGGGAACTAAACTCAGGACCTCTGGAAGAGCAGCCAGTGCTCTTAACCACTGAGTATCTTTCCAGCCCCAGAAGTAACTTTTTAATAGTATAAATTAGAATAAGTGTCTTGGCTATATTTATGTCAGCTGATATAAGCTAGAGTTGCCTGACAGGAGGGAACCTCAATTGAGAAAGTGCCTTCATAAGATCCATCTCTAAGTCTGGTGTTGGTGGTGCACGTCTTTAATCCCAGCACTCGGGAGAGAGAGGCAGGCAGATCTCTGTGAATTCAAGGCCAGCCTGGTATAGAGCGAGTGCCAGGATAGGCTCCAAAGCTACACAGAGAAACCCTGTCTTGAAAAACAAAACAAAAACAAAAAAAATTCATCTCTATGGAATTTTCTTTCTTTGATTTTTATTTTTGAGAAAGGGTTTCTCTGTGTAACAGCCCTGGCTGCCTTGGAACTCTGTAGACCAGGCTGACCTCAGACTCACAGAGATCGACCTGCCTCTGCTTCCTAAGTGCTGGGATTAAAGGCCTGCACCACCACTGCCTAGCTATGGGACATTTTCATAATTAGTTTCTGATCAGGGATGCCTAGCCCATTGTGGGTGATGCCATCCCTCTTCTGGTGGCCCTGGGTTCTATAGAAAGCGGGCTGAGCAAGCAGTTATGAGCAAGCCAGTAGCTAGTACTCCTCCTCCATGGTCTCTGCATCAGCTCATGTCTCCATGTTCCTGCCCTGTTTTGAGTTCCTGTCCTGATTTCCTTCAGTGATGAACTATGATAAGGAAGTGTAAGTCAAATTTCCTCCTCTAGTTGCTTCGGTCATGGTGTTTTATCACAGCACTAACAACCTTAACCAGGACAGTAAGAGTAGTATTGAATGAAGAAGTAGAGGGACAGGAACTCAGAGCAGGAAGGCAGGTATTCAGAAGTGTAACCCCTGGGAGTGTGCAAGCAACTTACTCTCTTTTATCTCTTTCTTGCAGTTATAAGAGGAAGATAAAAGGCTTTGTTCATCAGTTATCTAGTCACAGAGAAACATATCAACCAGTGGCTGAATTTCCATCAAAAGGGTTCAGCAGAGAATGGAGAAGAAAATTGACTCCAGGTATGTAATAGGAAAAATATGCAAAAATGACAGCTACAGTTACTGTTCAACTGCTGGGATCATGGGCATGTGCCATCACACCTGGCTAATGTTGAAATACAATGTTTGGTAAAAAGTATGTCATTTCAGCCGGTGGTGGTGGTGGTGGTGGTGGTGGTGGTGGTGGTGGTGGTGGTGTGTGTGGGGGTGTTGCACGCCTTTAATCCCAGCACTTGGTAAGGGAAGCAGAGGCAGGTAGATCTCTGAATCTGAGGCCAGCCTGGTCTACAGAGTGAGTTCCAGGACAGTCAGGACTACACAGAGAAACCCTGTCTAGAAAAGGGAATAAATAAAGAAGTAAAAGTATGATGTTTCATGTTGATATCAGAGTCATGTTATCTGAAAAGTTTTTAATTACTTTTTTTTAAAGATTTATTTTATTTATTATGAATACAACATCCCACCTCCATGTATGTCTGCATGCCAGAAGAGGGCACCAGATTGAATTGTAGATGGTTGTGAGCCACCATGTGGTTGCTGGGAATTGAACTCAGGACCTCTGGAAGAGCAATCAGTGCTCTTAACCTCTGAGCCATCTCTCCAGCCCCGTTTAATTACTTTTTTAAAAGACTTTGAGGCAGGTGTGGTGGAGTATGCTTGTCATCCCAGCACTTAGGAGGTAGAAGCAGGGGCATCAGGAGTTCAAGGTTAGTCTGGGCCTTAAGAGACATTGTCTCAAAAAAACAACAAAAAGATTTTTTGATTATTTTCTTGTTTAAATAGCTAAAATTAAAATTTTTTATTTTCTCTGAGTATTTTACTGTATGTGTGTGTGTGTGTGTGTGTATACTTGAGTGCACACATTCTCTCAGTGCCCGCAGAGGTCAGAAGGTATTGGATCCTTTGGAATTAGAGTTACAGGGGTATGTGAGCCACTGGATATGGGTGCTTGGGCCTGAACTCTGGTCCTCATGAGATCAGCAAGCTCATTTTACCATTGAGTCATCATTCCAGTTCCCTAAAATTTTTAAAAATTTTATTATACTATTATTTATCTATATGATTTTTTTGAGACATGGTTTCTCTGTATAGCCGTGGCTGTCCTAGAAATTACAATGTAGACTAGGCTGACCTTGAACTCAAGAGATCTGTCTACTGAGTGCTGGGATTAAAGGTGTGTTTCACCACCACCCTCCTGAAACTTTATTTTATGTATCTGGGTGTTTTGTCTGCATGTGTATCAGTGCACCAGTGCATGCCTGGTGCTGTTGGAGGGGAGCAGTGTCAGCTCCCCTGGAAGAGGTGTGAACTGCTATGTGGGTGCTAGGATCTAACCCAGGTCCTCCAGAAGAACAGCGGTGCCCCTCGTCACTGAGCCATTGCCCTAGGCTCCTCCCTGAGATTTGTTATTATCTTAGTTCATTTTGAAGCACTGAAGATAGAACCTGGGACTTTGTGAAGCTCATCTCTGAGCCAGAGCTTCAGGTTCTCAGTTTTACTTTGTACGTAGGAATCTGTTTCTAGGTTGTAAATGATTCTCTTTAAAATATAATAAAAGCTAATTAATGAACATGCTAGGTCGAATGACCTCACCTGTTGCTCTGCAGTTTCCACGTAGTGCTGGCCCAGCAGTGCTGGTTGCTGGCATAGTCAGCGTCAGTCCCCATGAGTTTAACACAGAGCTTAGTTGTGTGTTAAAATGTGTGTATATTGTATGAAGAGATTTTTTTCTCTCCTTTCCTCTCTGCTCAAATTTAAGGTCTTTTAGGGATGGTGTGGTTAAGAAACCTTGTTCTCGTAAGGCACTGCCACTCAACAGGTCTGCCTTCTCTGGGGTCCAGAAGGGGTCACCTCGAAGCTGCTATTCATCAACTCCTGCCTCCCACAGCTGGACTCGACACCGATTAAGAGAACTGCGCAGCAGGTGAGACGCTTCATTTGTTTTTCTTTCTTGTCCAAATCAAAGGAATAATTTTTACTATTTCTATGCCAGTTAATTGGAGAACTCTTCTGAGTGGAATATTGAGATAAAAAGAATATTTAGGGTCAAGTTTGATGGTGCTTGTTTTTAATCCAAACACTCAGGAAGCAGAAGCAGATAGATTTCTGTGAGTTTGAGAGTAGCCTGGTCTACATAGAGAGCTCCAGGCCAACCAGGGTTATATAGCACAAGACTTTGTCTTTAAAAGAAAAGAAGAAGAATATTTAGAACTACAGACAGTTTTCATTTATGGTCTCCAGTTGTGACATACAATTAGCTCAGCCGTAAAGGATCACGTAAGAAGAAGTCAGACAAAAGGTAGGAAGAAGAGGGTTTAAACTGAGCCCAGAGATTGACAAAAAGAATGAGTGAGTGGCTGTGTGTGTGTGTGTGTGTGTGTGTGTGTGTGTGTGTGTGTGTACACTCACCCATGAGCATTTAAACCACACAGTGTGCTAGGGACTACAAGGATGGCCCCTGCTTTCAGCGCAGTCACAAGGGAATGGCAGACACCCTGTGAGCTGATGACCATTACGTGGCACAGCGTGGCACAGGGGCTTGAGTAGAGAGCACTGAGTGCCCCACCCCTCTCTTGGTATTTGGAAAAGACCAGGATATATGAATCTTTGCCAGGGATTTAAACAGGAAGAAAAATGAGAAAAGAATGGTTCCCCTCAAGTCTGATGTCTCCATCTCTTCATTGTCAAAATGCTTTGTATTGAAAGGTGTTTTGTGTTGTCTTGTCTAAAGTGAGTCAGGTATGGTGATACAGGCTTGTATTCCCAGCCATATGGCAGGATAAACCAAGAAGATGGCAGGTCAAAGTCTGGGCCATAAGTGGCATCTGTCAAAAAACATTTCGTTCTAAGTTTCCTAAAACAATGATAAAGGAAAACAGGGCATGTGCTCCAATGGGAGTCTTCTCTTTGTCCAGATTAAAAAGAAAACAATTTTATGGAATTAAAAAAATATCTATATGCTTTCATGATGAGTTCTGCTATTGCTGGAGTCATGCTCCCACAGTTGGGCACAGAAAAAGTCCTTTATCTAATCTTGGTACATGTTAAACTATGTAGGACTCAACTTTCTGCAACCTTTGAAACTTACAGCCTCTGAGTTTTATTACAGCAATGCCTGTCTTTAAAGAAATAATTATAAAGTGGCTGTGTTTGTAAGTTAGTGGTAAAGTACCTGCTTAAACTTGAAGAGGCCCTGGGTCCTGCATGCACGCACGCACGCATGCACAGTGGGAGATGACTCCACTGTAGAAGTTGATAATGGCCAAACTTTCCTTATTTTCATACATTTTGTTTACTGTATTTATAAAATAATAAAAAAAGAAAAACCAAAAAACATGACCTTGTTGAGTGGTATGGTGGCATATGCTTTTTTTTTTTTTTTTTTTTGGTTTTTCGAGACAGGGTTTCTCTGTGGCTTTGGAGGCTGTCCTGGAACTCGCTCGGTAGTCCAGGCTGGTCTCGAACTCACAGAGATCCGCCTGCCTCTGCCTCCCGAGTGCTGGGATTAAAGGCGTGTGCCACCACCACACAGTTGATTTTAGTCTTATAAACCTGTCCTCTCCATTTTCTGTTTGATGCAAGATTAGCATCATCTTTTGATTCAGACTGTGGTCCCTCCACTTAACACCTTAAAGGTTCCCTCTTTTTTCCAGAAAACTCCTGCTATCCAGGTATTTTCAAGTGTATATGTATCCTTCTCTTCTTTCAGATGTGTGGCCAGAAAGTTCTTGTATTTGTGGATTCGAATGACATTTGGAAGAGTAACTCCCTCTAGAGCCAGGTATTGTTAGCTCAGAGCATGAGCTGCTGCTGGGCTTCTTCTGTTTCTGTTACTGACTTTAAAACATTTTCAATTAAAATATAATTCCATCTCTTCTCCCCTTTCCTCACCAACATTGTCATCATCATCTCTCTATATGCTTGTGTGTGTGTATACACACACATATTTCAGACAGGGTCTCACTTTATATTTCTAGCTAGCCTGGGGCTCAATATGTATAGTAGGCTGACATAATATATCATAATTATAATTTCTTCTCCCTCTACTCCTCCAAGTTCCTTCCTTCCTCTCTTCCACCTGGGTCCATTCTATTTCTGTCTCTTAGTAGAAAACAAAGAGGCTTTTTCTTTTCTTTCTTTTTTTAAATTGTCCTGGAACTCAGAGATCCACCTGCCTCTGCCTCCCAAGTGCTGGAATTAAAGGGTGTGTGCCACCAATGCTAACAGGTTTCTAAGGGATTTTGTTGCTTTATTATAACATATACTAAGATAAAACAAATCAAACACATCAGAATTGAACAAAACAAACAGAAAGAAAAGAGCAAGAGAAGGCACAAGAAGCAGAAACTCACTTCTTTGATCCCAGCTCTCAGGAGGCAGAGGAAGGAGGATCTCTCTGAGTTTGAGGCCAGCCTGGTCTACATAGTGAGACCTAGGACAGCTAGGGCTACATGGAGTCCCTGTCTCAAAAACAAAACAAAACGAAACTGCTTACTTGAGCTCAGTCTCTGGAACATACACTGCAGCTACTTTCCTTACACACAGTTACAAGGGAATAAAAAGTTTCTTATTCAATTTAAAAAAATTAAAAAATTCTGAAAGCTGTAATAGTTTGAAATTATCTGTGTTTGATGTGTGAGTGTGGTGCCATGGCACATGTGTGGAAGTCAGAAGGCCACTTTGTGGAGTCAGTTCTCTCTGTCTTTTCGTGGTCCAGAGAGCAAGCTCAAGTCCTTGGGCTTCTCTGCTGTGGCTGCTGTGGCTTTATCTACTGCGTCATCTCACCTACTCCTCAAAATCATAGTTTTTGATTCCCTCATAGTTTGTGAAGATTTCAACTTTCCCTTAATATCTGTAATTGTTGAACTCTTTGGTGTAATTGTCTTGTTCCTAGTGTATGTCGCACTGAACCTGCCATCTGACATAATCCATTGTCACTTTCCACACTTTGGTGTTTTAACTGAGAAGGTAAGGGCGGGTGTGAAGCTGACCTGGCAGAGACCTCAGCCCAGCTGCCTCACACCAGCTTTCTGCTGTTCTTCCTTCTGCCTAGGCTTTTCCATGAGCAAAGAATACTACAGAAGGTCTTTGGAGAATGGAGGGAAGAATGGTGGGTCTCCCAGAGGGAATGGAAACTCTGCGTTCGAGCCGACTGTCACTACAGGTGTCTCATTGCTTTACACTTGTTGAAATACAGACTTTACACTGCATCAATTACTCAAAGTCTTGCTTGTGTTCCAAAGAAGCAAAGTTTTGGATAGCAAATAAGTAAATCCATAGTTATTTGCAGCGAGGTCCATGTCCATGCACACGTGCGTGCTCCTCTGAGTCAGATAGCTTTGTTAGGTATGTGGAAACTTACTTCCATGTATTTCTAAATCTGAAAGGTTTTTTTTTGCTTATTTGTTTGTTTTTGAATAATTAGTCCTAAACCAGGCAGTTGTGGCACACACCTTTAATTCCAACACCCTAGAATAGATGCAGACAGACCTCTGAGTTCTAGGCCAGCTTGGTGTACAGAGCTAGTTCTAGGACAGCTAAGACTACATAGAGAAACCCTGTCTTAAAAAATAACAAAAAAATTAGTCCTAGAATACTGATTATGATCAAGAAAAGGTGTGTCCTACATAGACCATTCAGAAAATAGAGAGGCTGGGTCAGGTATCTGAGTGGGAGAGCAAATGGTTAGCCTGTACAAGGTTATGGGTTTCATCCCTAGCACCAAAACACAATTAAAAAAATAGGAAAAGGATGAAAGAAGAATCTTTTAATCCTTGCCACTGACATTGCAAGGAGTAAATAGAGAACAAAGTTAAAATATTACACCAAATGCCCATTTTTAGGGCAAGTGCTATAACTTAGCAGGTAAAGGCACTTGCTACCTAGTAACTGGAGTTGGCTCCCTGAACCCACATGGGAGAGAGAGCAACTCCTTTCTGCACATTGTCCTCTGACCTCCCCACTTGCCATGAACCATACACCCCTCTATACAGTAAATACAGCAAAATTCTTTGTTTTGTTTTGAGTGTCTCAAAACTTATACTCTGGAAGACAATCCGGAAGAGAACTCATTGTGCTATTGAGAGGAGGGACGATAGCATTTTGTTATTGTATGTGTATGGGGGCTTTGCTTGCATGTATGTCTGTGCACCATGTGCCTGAAATGCCTGCAGAAGCGGTGTTGGTCCCTGGAACTGCTATTACAGGTAGTTGTGAGCTGCCATGTTGGTGCTGGGAACCTAACCCAGGTCCTCTGGAAAAGCACCCAGTGTTCTTAAACATGGAACCATCTCTCTAGCCCCAATTATTATTTTTAGATGGTTCTGCTATTAAGGGTCAAACAGCCTATTCCTATAAGATTTCCCTCTCAGCCGGGCGTTGGTGGCGCACGCCTTTAATCCCAGCACTCGGGAGGCAGAGGCAGGTGGATCTCTGTGAGTTTGAGACCAGCCTGGACTACCGAGCGAGTTCCAGGACAGCCTCCAAAGCCACAGAGAAAAACCAAAAAAAAAAAAAAAAAAAAAAAAAAGATTTCCCTCTCATTCCAAACAACCCTAACGTCTGCTGACCATCTCTCTATCAACTACAGGTTTTCCCCTTTCTAGAACGCTCCTAAGTGTAAAAGTGACTGGGTGTGCTGGGTGGAGGTCCTTTATTGTCTAACCATAAGCACCGTCTGCATTTTGGCTCCTCAGATACTACTTGTACAGCCTGATGTTCAAGAGCTGGAAGACCTTTGTGCACCAGCAACAGGAGCTGAGGAAGGGGCTCCAAAGAGCTGAGCGTCATGGTGAGAGAGAGGGAGTTCTGGGAGAGGGAGTCGTCTGGTGAGAGAGAAGATGCACGTGATTCCTTTCTTGTTCTTGGAGTGGGTTCTAGGTGAACCCCTGCCTGGTCAGATCCTGTGTCTCCATGTGGCATAGTTTGGGCACTTGAAGCTCATATGGCAGATGTGTGAGTGTACTATACCTGGTCTGCTGGTGTGTGGACCTGTACTTTCTCCTTTCCCTGTCCGGGTGACAAGCCTTGCTTAGGTTGGTTCCATTCCTCATGCTTCCGCAGGGTTTGTCTGGTGTTCTGAGAGCCCTCTAAAGGACGCACTGGCAGTGATTCTCCCTTCCTCCAGTGTTGGAGCTTCATCACCTCTTTGATTCACTGTCCCCTGTGCACTTAGCTGTAGGAGTGGTTGCCACTCTGCAGGTTCACTTGGCCTCTCTTAATGAACTCGAAGCCGTGGTGTGACATTCGGGGTTCACCTGTTCTCTCCCCACTCCCAGCCTCTAGCCATACTGATATGCACTTCTTACCTTTCCTGGAGATTGAAAAGATTCAGGCCCGTTTTCATTTATTGGTTAATTTATTTTTCTATGTATCTGTGTGCTGTGTGCATGCAGTGGCCAGAAGAGAGCATAAGATCCACCGGAACTGGACTTGCAGTTAGTTGTAAGCTGGGAATTGAACCTGAGTCCTCTGAAGAGCAGCAAGTGCTCTTAGATATGGAGCCATCTCCAGTTTTGATTCAGGTGTATTTGAAGTGTTACCTTTCCAAGCCAGGTGTGTAGATACATGCCTGTAATCTCAGTACTCAAGAGGTGGAGGAAAGAAAACGGAAAATTTCCGACTAAAGTTCAAGAAGCACAGCCATCTCAAAAATAACTACATAAGTGATGAATGAAACCTTCCCTGTCTAGCTTTCTCTTCTTTTCCTAGGATATTAGGTTCTTAGTTCAATATGAGACAGACTGTTTCTGTATTTAACCTGTAAGTAGCTAATGGTTTGTTTTTGTTGTTATTTCTAATTCTTATACAGTAGGAGTTATTCTTTTTGGTGTGCACTTCTTTGCTTTTGGCAAATGCAGAGTCATTATATATGCAAAAATACAAATTGCTGATTTAGAAATGGGGCAGCTGTGCTGGTTCGTGCCTGTAATCACAGCACTGGAGAGGTGAGGGAGCAAGCAGATGGCTAGCCTCAGCTGCACAGTCGGCTCCTGTTTCAAAAACAAAACAAGTGGAGCACATGTGGCTTTAACACCAGCACTCCAGAGACTGGGAGACTCTGAGTTCAGAGAGCAACCTGATCTCCATTGTGAGAGCTACACAAGATACTCTGCCTCTAAAAAAGAAAAGAAACAAAAACCTCCTACAAAAGAATAATTATAATTTAATTCTACAGTTATTTGAATTATCTGTATAGATAGTTCAGATATTTCATTCGAGTTTTTGCATTTTTCTAATAATTAATGATATTGAGTACCTTTTCCTGTTCTCACTATTAATATATATACACATCCACATATGCACACATTTATGCCCCATTGTATTAGTTAGGGTTCTGTAAAGGAACAGAACTAATATAGTGAGCTAATTTGTGTATATATACATACATATATTATGTATTATGTTAATATATAATCAATTCTGTCAATATATATATTATATACATTAAAAGGGGATTTGTGAGAGTGGCTCACAGGCTGTGGTACAAGTAGATCAGCAATGACTGTCCTGGTGATTGTTCGGTTCACAAGACTGGATGTCTCAGCTGTTCCAATGCGGTGCTAGAGTCCCAGTGAAGTCATAGAGCTGCCTGTCTTCAGTCTGTGTGGGAATCATGAAAATGTGGGTTCTAGCCGGGCGGTGGTGGCGCAAGCCTTTAATCCCAGCACTCGGGAGGCAGAGGCAGGCGGATCTCTGTGAGTTCGAGGCCGGGCTGGACTGATAGCCTCCAAAACAATACAGAGAAACCCTGTCTCGAAAAACCAAAAAATGTGGGTTCTAACTCCAGCAAAGGAGTATCTCAGGAACAGGGTTGATGAGGGCAAGCAGGAAAACAGCAAAAAAAAAAAAAAAAAAAAAAGGCTTCCTTTTCCTGTGTCCTTTTATGTGGGCAGCCACCAGAAGGTGTGGCCCAGGGTTTATCATGGTTCTTCTCACCTCAAATGATCCAGTTAAGAAAAATTCCTCCCAGGTGTGCCCAGCTATTTGGGTTTTAGTTAATTCCAGATGTAGTTGACAATCTAGATTAGCCATCATATTTGTATCTTTTTTGTATCTGTTGAAATTCTTAAAAGGGGGGGGTTAGATTTATTTTTGATGTGTTTGAATGTTTTGCCCTGCATGTGTGTTACAGAGATCGTCTGCCTGTGCTTCCTGAGTGCTGGGATTCAAGGCCTGCACTACCACCATGTTTCTAGGGTTGGGAAAATGGATGTCAGTAATGCGGTTTGCAAAGCAAGCATGAGGACCTGAGTTTGATTCTTTAGAAACCACATAAAAAGCCAGCCATGCCTCCAAACCAGCACTGGGAAATGGAGGCAGGAGGATTCCGATGGCTCTCTGGCCAGCTAGTCTAATTTAATTGGTGAGCTCCAAGTTCACTGAGAAACTCTTAAAAAATAAGGCCAGATGTGGTAGTGTGCATCTTTAATTCCAGCACTCAAGGCAAGTGGATTTCTGTGAGTTTGAGGCCAGCCTGATCCACACAGGGAGTGAGTTCTAGGACAGTTAGGACTATTACACAGAGACACCCTGTCTCAAAACAGAACAAAAAACCCAACGGTAGAAGGGTTCAGGTACAGCACAGTTGGCAGTGTGCCTGCCTGACACACTTAAGTTTTCCTTTAAATGCTTGTGACTGGCACCTTGTCACCTGTGCAGTCTTGAATCTTTTTTTTTTTTTTTTTTTTGGTTTTTACGAGACAGGGGTTCTCTGTATTGTTTTGGAGCCTGTCCTGAAACTCACTCTGTAGACCAGGCTGGTCTCGAACTCACAGAGATCCGCCTGCCTCTGCCTCCCGAGTGCTGGGATTAAAGGCGTGCACCACCACCGCCCGGCCTGAATCTTTTTTAATTTGTAACAATATACAGTGAGTCCAGCAAAGGGCACATGAAGGCTGGAGAAGAGCTATGGGCAATTCAGGCTAAGTACAGGAAGTCCTTGAGCTGGTATCGCAACCTGAAATTGTGTATCCCTCTCTATCCTTTACATTTTCTTACATCTGTTTGTTTGTCTAAGGATGTGGGGCTCCTGCATACCATGGTGCTCATGTGAGGTTGGAGACAGCCCGCAGGAGTCAGTTCTCTCCTCCTGTTGTGTGAGTGAGCTCCAGGGATTAAACTCAGCTTCACTGAGTCATCTCATTGGCTCTCTCTACCCAGTTTTTTTTTTTAAAGTATGTATACAGTATTCTGCCTTCATGTATCTCTTGATGCCAGAAGAGGGCACCAGATCTCATTATAGATGCTTGTGAGCCACCATGTGGTTGCTGTGAATTGAACTCAAGACCTTTGGAACAATAGCCAGTGCTCTTAACCTCTGAGCTATCTCTCTAGCCCTCTATCCATTTTTTTTTTTTCAGAGACAGGGTCCTTTTAATTTTTTTTTTCTGGTTTTATTTTTTTGGTTGTCAGCCTAGCCTTTAACAGCTGAGCCATCTCTCCAGCCCCTGGTTTTATTTTTAACTGTGTTTAATGTGCGTATGTCAGTGTATAGGAATGTGCAGAGGCCAGAAGAAAGGCCTCAGATCCCCTGCAATCCACTCTGGAGCTGGAATCACAGGAGGTTGTGAGCTGCCCAGTGTGGTTGCTGGGAACTGAACTGGAGTCAAGAAAGAGCAGTAGATGCTCCTAACTGCTGAGCCATCTCTCCAGCCCAGTTTCTACCCTTTAAAAATGGTCTCTCTCGCTTTGATGTCTCTAGATACAAAGCAGAAGATTCGACAAGCCTGGAAATCCTGGTTGATATACATGGTTGCTCGTAGGACCAAACGTCAAATGCAGAACACTGCTCTAGAATTTAGGCGACAGAGTGTGTTACGGTGAGTGTGTGGCTAACATAGGAGGGAAGGAAGGCGACATCCTGCACGATTAGAAATCTGAAAGCCACTCTTTTTTCCTTCAGATATTCTCATGAAAGCTGAGTTTTAAACGTGGGTAACTTCCATGTTTGAAAACTAAATCGTGTAGGCCAGAGCACCAGAGCATGTCTGTAGTGTTGAAGGGTAGAGAGCTTGCCTGGTATGCACACGACCCTGAGTTCATTGCCAGTACTGCAAACGAATGAATGGATAATAATTTATAGTGCTTAAGACTGAATATGACTTTAGTTTATTTTTTTTTTTTTGGTTTTCGAGACAGGGTTTCCCTGTATTGTTTTGGAGCCTGTCCTGAAACTCACTCTGTAGACCAGGCTGGTCTGGAACTCACAGAGATCCGCCTGCCTCTGCCTCCCGATTGCTGGGATTAAAGGTGTCCACCACCAACTCCCGACGTCTCTTAAACTTTTTTTTTTTTTTGGTTTTTATGAGACAGGGTTTCTCTGTATTGTTTTGGAGGTTGTCGGTCCAGCCCGGCCTCGAACTCACAGAGATCTGCCTGCCTCTGCCTCCCTTAAACTTTTTAAAATCACATTTTATTTAGTGTTTGTGAGACAGATGATACATGTGGAGGCCAGAGACAACTTGTGGGAGTGAGTTTTCTTCTTCCACCGTGGGGTCCCAGGGATTGAACTCAGGTTGTTAGACTTGGTGGAAGTACAGTCCTCGACAACCACCTCTTCAGCCCTTGGACCCTCTTCATTTTGTTTTCTTTGCAGCAGTGGGTCTAGCAGATGCCGGTGTAGAGATGGCCCTGTGAAGGAGAGAGACTCAGGTTAAAGTTGAGAAGCACAGCCCTAGATTCTTCTACGTCCCTGCTACCCCAACTGACTCCATCTTTGATTCTCTCTTCAGTTTCTGGTGGAGAAAGTGGAGGTGGCGACTAGGACAAGCTCATGCAGATCGTGCTCTCCTCGCAGCAGCTGTGAAGCACAGGGCCCTGAGCCTCCAGCTGCAGGTTTGTTTGTCCTAGGGCTATATAATCAACAGGAAGGCTTTTCACTGCTGCTGCTTGTTGGGACTGCAACTGGGCATCTGGGGAGATGGGGTGGGGAGCAGTGCAGAAGGCCAGGCTATGGCAGATGGGCGCTGCTGTGAGGAATATGTCAGGATTTCTGTTTGTTTGTTTTTTGTTTTTTCGAGACAGGTTTCTCTGTAACTTTGGAGGCTGTCCTGGAACCGACTCTTGTAGACCAGGATGGTCTTGAACTCACAGAGATCCTTCTGAGTGCTGGGATTAAAGGTGTGCGCCACCACCGCCCGGCTGCCTTCATGTTTTTAACAACTGTACAAATACATATTTATTCCCTTGAGACTTGGACCAGAGTTTAATTCCTAGCATCCATGTCAGGTGGCTCATAACCATCTGTAACTCCAACGTCAGGGGATCCAACTTTGGCTTTCAGATACCTGCACACATAAGTACATATTCATATGAGAGACACATATGCCACATACATAATTAAAGCAATAAAATTAAAAATAATACAAATTCTAGGCCAGCATGGGCTATAAAACTACACAGAGGAAACCCTGTCTCGAAAGACCAAAACAGAAAATCCCAAACAACAATAAATCTTTATATTCAAACTAGGGCATGAGTTATCTCTGCAGATACATGAAACCTTCTCATGGACATACATTTGTGAAACATTTTAAGAGAATCCTCTCATCTTTTACAGGCACACTTCCCTGAAATGTAAGAGAACAGTCTCTTGAAAGCTATCCCCCCCCCCACTTCCAAAGAAAAGGCCGACTTTCATTCATCCTAAATCTGAATTTACTATATCACGCCCAGAGTGTCATTTGATTTTGTGTGTGTAAATTTTGTGTGTATGTGTGTGCACCATGTATGTGCCTCATATTTCAGAAGACAGAAGAGCATGTCAGATCCCCTGGAGCTGGATTTACAGATGGTTTTTAGCCCCTCTGTGGGTGCTGGGAACTGAATGCAGGTCTTCTGTAAGAGTAACAACTATTGAGCTATCTCTCCCTATCCCCTACCCCTCCCTCCATTATTCCTTTTTTAGGACAGATTTTTTTTTGTGAAGATCTTCATTTTTTTATTCTTTTTTAAAAATATTTTATTTATTATATACACAGTATTCTGTCTGCTTGTATGCCTGAAGGTCAGAAGAGGGTACAGATCTCATTACAAATGGTTGTGAGCCACTATGTAGTTGCTGGGAATTGAACTCAGGACCTCTGGAAGAGCAGTCAGTGCTCTTAACCTCTGAGTCATCTCTCCAGCTCTTTTTTTTTTAATTCTTTATGTAAAAGACTAGCATGATCTGTTTCACTGGGTAGACAATCTTAAATAATCCATTCAAGGTTTCTTAGTTCGCCTTAATGAAGCCTATGTCCTTCACGTACTTACGGAAACACTGATGGCATATGGCATATGTTCAGCCCATATTTCCAGACCAGACTGTGGTGGTTAGAGCAGATGTGGCAAGAGCCAGAGCCCTGGCCAAACTTGCCAAACTTGCACGGGTGACTCCAGGAGAGCTGCTGGTGACCATCTTGCCTTCAGCCAGCCAAAGAGGAAAAAGGAGTGAGCCCTAAAGACAGAATTTTTATTATCTGTGTTTGCATGGAGCTATCATAGAAATTTAAAACAGAATAGCTGTTGACATCAGTATTCTTTGCATCTGATTCATCTTCCTTTAGTTTCCCTAGCTTGTTATCTCTGCCTTATCCCTTGTATATTTAGGAACAATCGCATGTCTTTTCTCAGTTAATTCACTAGTGCAGCTGAGCTCAAGAGTCTTATCCTGAACTCAGTCGTGTACTTGCAAATTCTCCCCCCTAGACAGAGTTTCTCTGTGTAGCCTTGGCAGTCATGGAACTCACTCTGTAGACCAGGCTGGTGGCAAACTCAAAGAGATCCACCTGCTCCTGCCTCCTGAGTGCTGGGATTAGAGGTGTACACCATGTACACTACTACCACCTGGCTGCAAATTACTTTTTTTGAAAAATTTATTTTATTATTACTATTTTTTTAAATTTTATTTGAGATTTTGCCTGTGTAAGGGTGTTGGATTCTGGAGTTATAGATAGTTGGTAGCTGCCATGTGGTTACTGGGAATTGAACCCAGGTCCTTTGGAAGAGCAGTCAATGCTCTGAACCACTGAGGCATCTCTCCAGTCTCTGCAAATTATTTTTTACAACTTCTTTTTATTTATTTTTTAATTTGTAATCCCCTTACCCCAAAGTTTGTTTTAGGTAGGATCTCACATAGCCCAGACTGGCCTCAAGCTGTGTGACTGAGAATGACATTGAGTTCCTGACCTGATCTTTTCAGGCTTGGTCACGATGGCAAGAACAGCTCCTAAATAGGCGGCGGGAAAGCTGGAAGGTGGTCACTGCTGTGCGACACCATCAGCGCTGGCAGAAGCAGAGATCTTGGAAGGCTTGGCTTGAGTACCTCCACATCTGTAGGGTAAAGAGACGGCAGAGTGGTGAGTAGAAAGCCCAGCTTCCCTGGCCTGGCCTGGTCTGACCTCTCTCCCCACTGCCCTCCATGCAGAGGAAGCAGAATGCGGTACACCACAGTTCTGAGGACAAGAAATGGAGAAGAAAAGTGTATCATCCTTGCTTCTCGTTATTTCCTTCTGGATTTTACTAACATGCCTAACTTCTATTCAAATAATGTATTGATTACTTTATATATTTGATTTCAAATGGGAATGTTCATATTGTGATAGGTATGATCATATCTACAATTTTGTATTGTGCTTGTTTTTACATTGTATTACATCTTTATCAAGAAGTCCACTTTTAGCCGGGTGATGGTGGCGCATGCCTTTAATCCAGCACTTGAGAGGCAGAGACAGGTGGATGTTTGTGAGTTGGAGGCCAGTCTGGTCTACAGAGTGAGTGAGTGCCAGGATAGGCTCCAAAGCTCCACAGAGAAACCCTGTCTTGAAAACCAAAACCAAAACCAAACCAAAACAAACAAAAGAAGTCTACTTTTAATGATTATTTGTATTTTTAGAATGTCTTGCCTTTTTTGTCTTATTAATATAGTATTTATCTTCTTTCTGTCAAACCCTGTGCCAGTCACTTTCCCAGACTTCTTGGAATGGTACAGGAAAAGGGACATACAAGATAGAGGAGACATGGGAGGAAGAGGCTATATCAGGTGGGCTTGAGACAGCTGCTTCACATGGCGAAGACGGTGAGAAAGCCGCCTTTAGGCAAAAGAGCCCCCAGGCCTCTAAATGGGCAACGTCCAGAATTGCTTTTGTCATGACTGCCCAGTTTCAAATAAACACACAGAAACTTATATTAGTTACAGAATGTTTTGCCTATTGCTCAGGCTTATTACTAACTAGCTCTTACAGCTTAAATTAACCCATTTCTATTAACCTAAATTTTGCCATGTGCTTTGTGGCTTTACCTGTCCTCTGGCACGTCTTGTTCCTCCACTCCACCCTTCTTTCTCCCTCTGTCTCCATTTGGCTTTTCAGCCTGGCCTTATTCCGCCTTGCTATAGGCCAAAGCAGCTTCTTTATTAACCAATGAGAGGGATGCATATTCACAGCACACAGAAGGGTTATCCCACAGCAACGCTGGCTTGGAAGTGAGATGTGAGACTGCCCCATCAAGACTCTTGCTCTCAGTGTCTCTGGAGGAACAGCACTTCAGCTAGAGATTAACTTCATAGTTGAGTTCAGGAGTGGGCAGAGGTGAACGTGCAGCAGGCCTGTATTTTCAGGGTGAGAGACCGAGGCAGGAGAGCTGTTGCCAGCAAAGATAAGACAGGTGGCTTTTGCATTTGGTTTGGGTTTGAGACAAGATATTGCTGTGTGGTTCTGCTGGGGTCTCACTGTTCTCACGATACGGTTTCTCACTGGCTTTGGGCTCCTAGAGATCTGTCTGCCTTTGCCTCCTGAGTGCCGGGATTGAAGTTGTGTACCCACCATGCCTGGCTGACGCAGGCTTACCTTTACTTAGCCATTTCCTGTTGATAGACACTTGCCCTGGACCAGCAGGCCTTTCTTCAGTGACAGGGTCCTAAGTGAGAGATGACCAGGAGATGAGAAGATAAAACAGGTGGGATCGCCGGGCGTTGGTGGCGCACGCCTTTAATCCCAGCACTCGGGAGGCAGAGGCAGGCGGATCTCTGTGAGTTCGAGGCCAGCCTGGTCTACAAGAGCTAGTTCCAGGACAGCCTCCAAAGCCACAGAGAAACCCTGTCTCGGAAAAACAAAAACAAAAACAAACAAACAAAAAAAACAGGTGGGATCAGGAAGTCTTGCATAAGTTATGTCTTATGCCAAGCAAGCTTATGAAGATGTACAGTATCTGATATACTATTTCCATGAGAAAAATGAGACAAAGTCAGCAGAAACTGTCATATAATGGGACTGAGTGGGAAGCTAATCCAGCAGTGTTGCACAAGGGATCTCAAGAGTATCACAGACAAAGCACACAGTTGTAGTTGGTTGTTTTTTTACTCTTTGGCTATTCTGGGGGGCCTGCCATCCAGCTCCCAAATAAATACACATGGAGGCTTATTCTTTCTTATTGAATTCCTGGCCTTAGCTTGGCTTGTTTCTAGTTAGCTTTTCTTAAATTATCCTGTCTGTCTTTTGCTTCTGGGACTTTGTCTGTCTGTGTCGTCGTGTCGTGTCCCCCCCCCCACTCACAGGGTTTCTCTGTGTTAACAGCTCTAGGTGTCCTGTGGACCAGGCCATCTTTGAACTCACAGAGATCCACCTACCTCTGCCTCCCGAGTGCTGGGATTAAAGGCGTGAGCCGCCACTGTCCCATCTCTTTCTCTGTTTCTGTAAACTTTTTCACTTCTTTCTCTGTGGCTTGCTATGTAGCTGGGTGGCTGGGCCCTGGAGTCTTCCTCTCCTCCTCTTTCTCACTCCTTGATCTTCTCTTCCCAGATTTCTGCTCCTGTTTATCCTCTTTGTCTGCCAGCCCTGCCTTCCTCTCTTCTGCCTTGCATTTGGCCTTTCAGCTCTTTATTAAACCATCAAGTGTTTTAAACAGGCACAGTAACACAGCCTCGCAGAGTTAAACAGATGTAGCATAAAGGAATGCAACACATCTTTGCATTATTAAAAAATATTCACAGTGTAAACAAATGTAACATCTTTAACATTCTGCAACACACAATGGCCTGAGACTGCTGGCCACAGCTCTGTATGGTGGAAAGAATTGGGTTCTCAGGATCTGAAGCCACAGCTCCCATAAGGTCCTGACCCCAGGCCATTACTGGGTCTGTCACCATGTTTCTGATTTTAGACTAGAAACTATGTTCCTTCTCCATACATCATGGCCTCAGGGAAAACCTTGAATCAGACCAGCCCTCAACACATACTTGGATTATTTGAATTTGTCCTCCCTTATGCAATGCATAGAATTTGTGATATTGAAACTTTTTTGGATGTTGTTTAAGTAAAAAGAAAAAAATTAACATCACAGATTCTGTGAAGTTTGGCATTGTGGGATTCTCACGGATGCCATCATTGTGGTCTAGTTTTTCAAATAGTTTTAGAGTTAATAACCCCTAGTGTTGAGTTCTAGATCAACCCAAGGCTTTCCCCTCTCTAAAATCAGACATAGCTTATGCAAGACCTCCTGGCCACAGCTTTTATCTCTTTTTTTTATCTTCTCATTTCCTGGCCTCTTCCCCTTAGGACCCTGTCACTGAGACCAACCTGCTGGTCCAGGCCACCCTAGGAGCATGACTACTGATGCTTTTTGTAAGCAAGCCTGTTGAGTTTACACAGAAGTGAATCAAACACTGGACCAGACCCTAGGTTAGGCTCTCAGGCTCTTGTCCAAGTGAATCCCATTTACCTCTTAGGCTGCCAGTATCAGCCTAGCAGAGTTCCCCGTGTCTGTTGGAGCATAGTGGAAAGCAATGGCTCTTAGGGTTGTTAACATGATGAACTTTAATCTCATGCCTCAAGCTGCAGCCTACTTTGGAGGTCTCAGTTTACCAGCTACCTGTTATTTGCTGTTTTACTCTTTTGTCTTTTTGGGCTCTTCATGGGGTCCTCCACCGAGCTCCCAAATAAATCTATGCAGTCTTATTCTTTCTTATAATCAGTAGGCCTTAGCTTGGCTTGTTTCTTGCAGCTCTTTATTAAACCATCGGGTGTTTTAGACAGGCAAAGAATCCCAACTACACCAAGTTAAACAAAATGCAGCATGAACAAAAGTCACACACCTTAAAATAATACTCTACCACAGTTACCAGCTGATTAGTGTTGGAAGGACATGTGTCTGGCAGCTTGGGTCAGCATGGCTGAAAGCTCAGGATGTCCTTTGCCAGCAAGATCATTGGAGTGGTATGTTGTGTCCTTGGAGACTGATCCTATCCAGAAAGCCCCAAGTAGAGACAAAAATCAAACAGTATCTTGGAAAGTGTCAGTTATCATTCTTCATATTGGCATCTATGTAGAAGCCTCAGCCCTTGGCGAGAAAGTATTTTATTGTATGTACCTCCTTTATTGGTTGGTTTCTGTTGCTGTCATAAAACTGACCAAACCAACTTGGGGAAAGAAAGTGTTTATTTGGCTGATAGCTTACAGTCTATTATTAAGGGAAGTCAAGGCACGAACCTGGAGGCTATAACTAAAGCAGAGACCATGAAGGAGTGTTGCTTACTGGCTTACCTCCTTTCTGCTGTCTTACTCAGTTACTTTTCTTATAAGGCCCAGGCTTGCCTGCTCAGATAGCACTGCTCACAATGGACTGGGCACTCCTATACCAATCAGTTCCTAATTAAAACAAAAACAAATGGCTTCACAGACACGCCACAGTCCATTTTGATGGAGACAGTCAACTAGTTCCCTCTTCCCAAATGTGTGAAGTTGACAACACTTCCCTAAAACAACAGACCTTTTTTCTTTTCTTTTTTTTTTTTTTTTTTTTTTGGTTTTTGAGACAGGGTTTCTCTGTGGCTTTGGAGGCTGTTCTGAAACTAGCTCTTGTAGACCAGGCTGGCCTCGAGCTCACAGAGATCCACCTGCCTCTGCCTCCCAAGTGCTGGGATTAAAGGCGTGTGCCACCAATGCCCAGCCAGACCTTTTTTCTTGGAGAAGTAATTCTAGAGGTTTGATAACTTTCTAGTATCTAGACAACTCTAGACACTAGAGTTGTGGTGCTTGGGCTTGAACTGAAAGGGCCTCACATGGTCTAAGCACACACTTTCTCACTGAGCTACATTGTCAACCTAAAACTTTTAATGAGGGTTCTTCCTGGGGAGTGCTCTTGAATCCCGGCTCTCTGCCAGTAGTAGCATCCAGCCTTCGTATCCTCTTCCTCCTCGTGGGGAGCAGTACCTAAGAGTTATTTCTCTGTTGCAGAAATGGCTGCAAAATTCCACCGTGTCACTGTGCTCCAGATATATTTCTGTGACTGGCAGTGGGCCTGGGAGTGGAGGCAGAGCCTGTCTGCCCACCAGGCCTTGGTGGAGAAGCTAGCCAAGAAGATAGCTCTGCGGAGGGCCTTTGCACACTGGAAGCACTGTATCCTTTACACTGACCTGTTCCTCCCAACCCCCCTCTCCCTAGGATGTCCACAGTGTGAGGATATGGATGCCTCAGATGCCCATCCTTACATTTGCCCATTCAAGTCTTGATTCATGTTGAACTCCAGCTTAAATTCTTGTATGTAGTGAGAGGGTTTATTTCACCTGACATAAGGTGGGGTAGGAACTCAAGGCAGGCACTGAAGCAGAGGAACAATGCTCACTGGTTTGTTCTCTAAGGCTTGCTCAGTCTGCTTCTTAAATAATCCAGGACCACCTACCCAGCACTACTTACAGTGAGCTAGGCTCTACCGCATCAGTCTTAATCAGGAAAATGTCCCATAGACTTGCCAACAGGCCAGTCTGATGGAGGCATTTTCTGAGTCCCCTTTCCCAAGTGATTCTGACCGCGTCAAAATTACAGAAAAACCAACCATCACACATGGGGGACCAAAGACTCACAGCTCTCTTTGTTCAATGAGAAAACGGATAGGAAAACAGGTCTTTTTTTTTTTTTTTTTTTTTTTTGGTTTTTCGAGACAGGGTTTCTCTGTGGCTTTGGAAGCTGTCCGGGAACTCGCTCTTGTAGACCAGGCTGCTGGTCTCGAACTCACAGAGTTCCGCCTGCCTCTGCCTCCCAAGTGCTAGGATTAAAGGCGTGCGCCACCAACGCCCAGCGGAAAACAGGTCTTGACTGTGGTATGATAGAGCTACTGAAGGCCTGTCCCAGAACCATGCCTGTGTGCCCAGCACTCAGGAACAGTGAGGCAGAAGGATCTTAAATACAAGACCAGCCTGACTACACATCCAGACCCTGTCTCAGACTTTTTGGTTTTGGTTTTAAAGTAAAATGTGCCCAGTGGTGGTATCTCATGCCTTTAATCCCAGCAGTTCAGAGGCAAAGGCAGGTGGGTCTTTGAGTTGGAGACCAGCCCGGTCTACATAGTAAGTTCCAGAACAGCTAGGGTTACACAGAGAAATCCTTTCTTCAAACAAACAAACAAACAAAAATAATAATAAGATAAAAGGTTTCTGGTATCCCAGGAGTCCAGGTAAGGAAGAAACTCCTGAGCTGAATGTAAGTCCTAGGGCACTAAAAATTCTGGAGAGCCTGAGTGTTTACACAGATTTACTGGTGAGCTGTGGTGGTACACACCTTGAATCTCAGCACTTGGGGCAGAGACAGGTAGAGGCAGGCAGATCTCTGAGTTTGAGGCCAACCTAGTCAACATAATAAGTTCCAACACCCTGTTTCAGAAAACACAAAACAAAAATATGTGGTGCGTGTGGCTCCTGGGAGCGTCAATGTGGTCTGGGGACCTCCCATAGAGCCCTGTGTGTCAGACTCTGGGATTTGCTCCTTGTCCTGATGACATTCAAGAGCATCAGGAGTTTTCAGTGCATTTAAATTTGTGCTTTAGAAAAGATGTTTCTAGGGCCAGTGAAGATAGCTTGCTGCCAAACCTCATGACCTGGGTTTGGTCCTTGGAACCCACTTGGTAGAAGGAACTCCTGCAAGTTTTCCTCTTCACTATGGCACAGGCACGCACACAAACACAGATGAATGCAATTTGAAATTTTTAAAAGAGAAGACGGTCCTAAATTAGAGGAGAGAGGCTTGCTCAGAGACTGCTGTGTGAGGAATCATGTGACGGACAAGTCAGATAATAGGACAGAAGAGAAGCAGGCAGTGAGAGCAGAGCAGATGGGTTGTTAGGATTGTGAGATGAGAAAAAATCTGATCTGAAAATAACTGAAGCTCCCAGTTCAGTCATCTGACTGGACCATGATGCCAAACGATCAAGTTCTGCTTGCTAGGTGATGCCCCAAATGCTTATTGAACTCAGACTCTTTGCCTCAGGGCATCAAGAGGACAGAGGCCTGACTGACTCTTTGATAGAGCTCCCCTGTGCTTCCCTGGATCACAGGAGGAGACAGAGGTGTTTATCAGCCTGCCTAGCAGGCCTGCTATGCTTACAGCCATGCCCTTTAGGTGGCTGGCTCACAGGAAGTGTACATGCTGTGTTGGGCCAGGAGCCTTGCTAGACTGGAGACCTTAACAGAATTCCTGGCAGTCATGCTGCTACAGGCAGAAGAGGCTGCCCAGCACGCGGCAGCAGCAGAACACCACCGGCACTACCTCCTGGTAAGAGTACCAGGGTCCAGGGCAGCCGTGGAGGCATCCTCTTGGGGCTCCTGTCCCATACTAGCCCCTGAGTGCAGCCAGTTCAGAGTTAGCTGTAGTGTGTGTTAGCTTCTTGAAACAGAGATTAATGGGTGGAGTCAGGGATGTGGAGTTGTAAAGAAACCTCCGTGGGGATGCTGTCCCAGTGTCTTTCTGTTGTGATAAAATATTCCAGTAAAAGCAATTCAGAGATGGAAAGAATTCATTTAAACAAACAGTTGAGGGTACAGTCTTCCAAGGCAGCAGGAGCCTGGAACAACTGGTTATATTGTCAGCTCCCCTTCTTTACCTGTGTAACATAGTCCTGGATCCCAGCCAGGAGTGAGGTAGGTCTTCACACTTCAGGGAAGCAGTCGCCAATAGGCAGTGCCAGAGGCCTGATCCCAGATAGTCCTAGATCCTGTCAAGTTGACAATGAGTGCCAATCATCACAGATTCATCTTAGTTTATTCTGGCAAGCCCCCTTTATAATTATGCAGATGAACATACACATTAACTTTTAGGGGTTTCCAAATCTGGAATTAAAGGCACTTTTTCCTGTGGGTCTAGGGGAGTCTGTCTCCTCCTGTTTAGCGGCAAGGACATGTTTTTGAGCTCGATGGGTTTAGTTCTGATAGATGCAATGTAGAGAAACTCCAGGGAAACCAAGCAGCCCTAAACCACACTGGTCTCTGATACTGCTTTCCTGTCACAGACACTGATGCTGCTTTATAACCTGCTTCCTTTCTCTGTGCAGTGTTCTTGCTTTAGAGCCTTAAAAGACAATGTGACCCAGGCCCATCTCTGGCGAATAAGAAGGAACCTTGCTCACCAGCTTCGTGATACCACGGTGAGAATTGGCTCTCACAGACAGGGCCTTGCTGTGTGGTTAGCTCAGGTGGGCCTCAACTCACTGTATTGTTTGGGCTGGTCTTGAATTCACAGTCCTCCTGGATCCTGGAATTTATAAGTGTACACTACTGTGCATGGCACTTCATTTAGATTTTACACTTCAAAATAATAATGCCTATTTTCTTTGTTAATCTGCACCTGCTAATAGATTTGTTCCAGCTTTTTTTTTTAATGCTCCCCACCCCATCCCACTCTAGTCTGCTAGGAAAGTCAGTGCTTGACTCAGATGGTAACGGTGCTTTTCACCCTGACTAGGACACCTGGGTAATATAAACTGCTGAATCCCATGTGTGTTTTCCAAGAGCAACGACTCTCTTCATTGGTTCTGTTTTTGAGTGCAGGTTTGTTTCCTTTTTATTTTTTTAATGATTAATCCCAGAACTTGGGGGGCAGAGGCAGGTGTATCTTCATGAATTCAAGGCCAGCCTGGTCTACAGAATGAGTTCTAGCTACACAGAGAAACCCTGTCTCAAAACAACAACAACAACAAACCCCGAAACAAACAAAAAACCCAAAACAAACAGCAAAAGAAAAAACCCAGAAAGAATTAGTATAGTGATCTACATACTGCCTAGTCTCAGCATTTATTAATATTCACTTCAAGCCGGGCGTTGGTGGCGCACGCCTTTAATCCCAGCAGTCGGGAGGCAGAGGCAGGTGGATTTCTGTGAGTTTGAGGCCAGCCTAGACTACCAAGTGAGTTCCAGGACAGCCTCCAAAGCCACAGAGAAACCCTGTCTCGAAAAACCAAAAAAAAAAAAAAATATTCACTTCAAATTTTCTCCCAAATAGCCTGGCGTTGGTGGCGCACGCCTTTAATCCCAGCATTCAGGAGGCAGAGGCAGGTGGATCTCTGTGTGTTCCAGACCAAACTGGTCTACAGAGTGAGTGCCAGTGCAGCCTCCAAACAATACAGAGAAACCCTGTCTCGAAAAACAAAACCAAAACAAAACAAAAAATTTTCTCTCAAATAATTTCAAAGTAAGTTATAAACACTTCAGTATGCACTAACCCCAAATAAACAGTTTTTTTTACATACCATAGAAGATCTTTATAATCCCTAACAAAACTAATAGCAGTACTCTGTTGCCATCCAGGTTATTTTCAGATTTTTCACAACTGTCCTTCAAAATGCCTTTTTCAACTTAGGATTCAGGTGGGGCTCATGTGTTATTACTCGTTTATCTGTCTGAAGACAGTCTTTCTGTGTACCCAGAATTGCCTCGTTTTCCGTCTTTCTGCACTCCCATGAGCCCACTGCTGTGTTCCGATGGTCGTTTCGTCTCCTCGGTGCCTCTGCTGAGCAGCATTCTCTCAGCCTTCTCACTTAAGATGTCTCACATTCCCTGGAGCTAAAGTTTCAGGCTGTTGTGAGCCACTTGATGTTGGTGCTGGGAGACAAACAAACTCTGGTCTCCAGTTTTTTTATTTTTGAATTGTAACAAAACACACATAAAAGTTGCAATCTTTTTAAAAGTGTAGGGGTGTGTGTGTGTGTGTGTGTGTGTGTGTGTGTGTGTGTGTGTGTGTGTGTGTGTGTATACTTCCACTGTGTGGGTTCTATGTGGAACTCAATGGGTCAGGCTTGCAAACAAGTGTCTTTATCCACTTCAACATCTTGCCTGACCAAATATTTATTACTTGATAGCAAGTTCTAGATCAGCCAGAGCTTCCCTGACCCTTCTCAAAACAAAACTGAATTTGCATTGTGTGCATGGACTCCAGTTCCATTGCTCTTTCCCTGTAGCTGTGGGCAGCTAGTCTTCTACTTTGTGTCGCATCAGTCTGACGTCTTGGAGACTTCAAAGGAGAATCCTGACAATTGTTCTTTTGTGACTGGCTTATTTTCACTTAGCACTACAAGAGCTAGTTCCAAAGTCACAAAGAAACCCTGTTTCAAAAAAAGACAATGACATTGACTTTTTGAAGAGGTCAGGCTAGTTGTTTTTATTATGATCCTCACTCTCACTATATTTGTTCTTTTTATGGTGTTTTTAAGACAGTGTTTCTCTGTGTAACAGCACTGATTGTCCTGGAACTCTAGACCAGGCTGGCCTCTAATTCACAGAGATCCGCCTGCCTCTGCCCTCCCGAGTGCTGGGATTAAAGGCGTGTACCCCCATGCCTGGCTGTTTGTTCCTTTTTTTAAAAAATTGTTTAATTTCCCTTTATTCTGTGTAGTTCTTATAAACTAGACAGTAGACCCAGAGGCTTAAACATGGAAATTAAACACTTTGACAGCAACTTCCTATGTGCCAATTTGTAATGGTTTTAATTTCTAAAATGACTTTGAAGAATGGTCTTGTCTGCTGAGTGTGATAGTACAATGCCTATAATTATAGCACTTAGGAGATGGAGGCAAGGGGGTCCTGAGTTTAAGCATGGGCTACACAGTGAGATCCTGTCTCAAAAAAAAAAAAGTCTTCTGTAATGCCCAGATTTACTGTTTTCATGTGGCTGTCTGCCTGTCTACTAGAAGTGCCTTTAGTATGGCTCCGTAGGCCAGCGCTGTAAGTGGGCTGCTCCCAAGTGAGGCAGAGCCCCGTGGGAACTCAGTGTGCTGGGGTCAGCACTTACACTAGGAGGCTCCCTCTCACTTCTCACTGTGACACACTTGTTTTCTTGCTATCATTCTGCAGCTGCTTCGCAGGTTCTGGAACCTCTGGCAGTCCCGAATTGAGCAGAGGGAGGAGAGGGTGCGGTCACCCTCACTGCATGCAGCCTGGAGCCACTACAGGTGGGAGCTGGACTCAGCCTTGACCTCTCTGGGGACACCTGGTGGTTTTGATGTAGGGTTTTCCAGGAGCAAGCTGACTACTCTGAGATTAGTTAGTTTCTCAGACTCAGAAAGGCCTTTTAGCCAGGTGTGGACTATGCCCTTAATCCCAGCACTCAGGAGGCAGAGGCAAGTGGATCTGTGTGAGTTCAAGACCAGCCTGGTCTACAGAGTGAGTTCCAGGACAGCCAGGGCTGCACGGTGAGACCTGTGTGTATCTTTGCTTGCATCTTCTCTTGTGCACAAATTATAGCCACACTTATCTGACACACTTACACAGGACTGTCACCTGGAACAAAACACAGAAAACAAGCAAGTAAACAAACAAAAAACCCTAAGACCCATATCCTAGTGAAGGCCACATCATAAAGTAATGGCTGCTGAGTGTGGTTTGCTTTTGGCAGGTCCCGCGGGAGGCGAGGTGATGCAGTTTACACTTGATCTTGTCCACCAATCACTGTGGCCTGTTTGATCACTGCCACTGCCTCCATTCTAACGCAGGCCTTTGTGGCTCTGTGGCAAAGTGCTCGCCTAGCATAGGCAAGGTGAGTTTGAGTTCCTGCACTGCAGCGAAAGATTTTTTTAAAGGCCCTGTGCTTTTTTAATGTTAAAGGTCAGGCTAGGATGATATCTGGGGCTAGGTCTTCCTGAAAATAGGGGATGTTCTTGATTGTTTAGAGCCAGGCATCCTGTTTAAATACATCTCTTTATTTGCTTATTTTGGTTTTTCAAGACAGGGTTTCTCTCTGTTGCCCTGGCTGTCCTAGACCTATAGACCAGGCTGGTCTCAAACTCTCAGAGATCCACCTGCCTCTGCTTCCTTAGTGCTGTAAGTTTAAAGCCAGCCATTGTTCAAGATCAGGAAACAGTGGTTTTGTGTTAGTGAGGTCCTCACGTTCCTCTCTCCAAGGATGAAACCAGTAAGCCCCTGGGATGCCCCCAACCCTCAGGAAGAAACCGAACCCAGAAGCAGCTACCTTAGAAACTGTACGGTCTTGCAGCTTGACACCTGACAGTGCCGATATATAACTCTTTGATTTGTTGTGTTCTGTTCCAGGGTGATAGTCCTGCGCAAGTGTGTCAGGGTATGGTTGCGATATGTGCACAAGAGAAGACAGCAGCAGGTATGGAGCACACGAAGCCGGCAGCTCAGCCGCCTACTGGAGGGATTGCTAGCGCTGAGACGGTGCTTGGGAAAGGCACATGCCAGGAAACCTGCAGGTGTTTCCTCTCCAGCCCTCACGGTGTTAGTCCACACAACTCCCGTTCTCTCACTGCTAGAGCACAGGGGCTGTTGGGAAGGAGTGGCTCTTCCCAGCCCTTTAGGTCTTCACTCACATCCATGTGTCTTTTGAACTGTCGTGCACCTGCCTGTGTCGTTCCCCAAAGTGCTGGGATTATGGAGTGTGCCACCTGCCTGGACCCCACAGAAGAGATGCCTACTGGACACCTTCTTTGTCCTAGGCCCTGTGCCTGTGCTAAGGGTACAGCAGAATTCCTGCTCCCTCAGCCTTAAGCCAGGGTGGCAGGGAAGTGTGACTTGCAGGTTACTTCTGACGGTTGGGCACAGGTGTCTGGAATGCTAAATGAAGATTTTTTTTTTAAAAAGCTGTGTGTGATGTATGTGACATGTGTGACGTGTGTGATGTGTGCAAGTGCCCATAAGGCCAGAATAAGGTGCTGGATCCCTTAGAGCTGGAGTAACAAGCTGGTTTTGAGTTGCTTGATGTGAGTGTCAAGAACCAAGCCTCTGGAATAGCAGGAACTGCTCTTGACAGCTGAGTCATCTCTTTAGCCCCTAAATGGAGGATATTGATACCACACTGTGGTTTAATAGGGATGTTTGATGATATTTTCATGGAGAGTGCCATGCTTGGCCATCCTTGGCAGTGAGTAAGAGGATGGCACAAACTAAATTCAGTTGTTTTTGCACTGCCCTCCTTCCCCTGTCAATATCATCTGCTGCACAGTCGGACTGACACATCTGGGCTGGCTTCTCATTTGCGGGACAGAATGGGAATTGGAAGCTAGGTGCACAGATGCTTCATATCTGCCCTTTGTCATTCCTGAATGTTCTGTGTGCTTCTGCCCTTGCTGTCCCTGTAGCTCACGACCCTGTCAGCTTAGGTGCTCTCACTCCCTTGCCTGTTACTCTGCCTGTGTAACTAAGCAGCACACTAACATATGGTAGTGTGCTAACTTTTCTTTCCAGTTAGCCTGTAGTTGCTGCTGCTTTGTTTGTTGTGTTTTTTTCCAAGACAGGGTCTCTGTGTAGCCCTGGCTGTCTGGGAATTCACTCTGTAGACCAGGCTGATCTTGGACTCACAGAGATCCTCCTGCCTCTGCTTCCTGAGTAAGGGGTTTAAAGGAGTACACAATCATACCTGGCTAGCCTGTAGCTTCTTAAGGGTATGGCCTGCCTGTAATACAATAAATAAAAGACCCAGAGAACAATATTGGTGTTCAAACTTCAAGCTGATGATCAGAGAAGTAAAGCAGCCCAGCCAGTAGATCTTATCTCTGCCCAGCTGAAATGGCAATCCTGTCTCCAAGAATCCTCAGAGGCAAAAGACTCTGAATTCCTGTCTCCACCTCTCTAGTGCTGTGATTAAAGGCACTCTGTCCCAATTGCTGAAATCACCTTTGTGTGAGCTGTTTCTTTTAGGACTAGATCAATTTTGTGTAGCTGGTGTGGCCTTGAACTAACAGAAATCCGTCTGTCTCTTAATCCTGAGCCCTGGATTAAAGGTGTGTACCATCACTGTCTAATCTCTATAGCTTGAGACTGGTTTTGCTTTCTGAATCGTCAGGCAAGCTTTAATAAATCACAAATAATATGTCAGTACCCAGCACAGTGCTCACCAGTGAGTGCTGATTCATTGGCATGGATGAGCTGTCTTTGACCACATCAGAGTGCTTCTGGGGGTTATCTGGAAGCTCGGTGTGGTGGCACACACCCAAGGGGCAGAGGTAGAGGATTGCTCCCATGTTCAAAGTCACTTTGAATAGTGAGGTTCAGACCAACTCAGGCTGCATTGTGGGGTGGGCGGGGAGCCAGATGTGCTGGCTCACACCCACCATTGTAGCACTAGGGTAGTGGAGACAGAAGGATTAGGAGTTCAAAGTCGGGGCTGGAGAGATGGCTTATTGGTTAAGAGCACTGACCCAGGTTCAGTTCCCAGCGCTCACTTGGTGGCTCACAACTATGGTGATATTTTGTTTGTGATCTAACAAATAAAGCTTGCCTGAAGAGCAGATTGTGGAGCTAGCCACACTAGTTAGCATGGTGGCTCACACCTTTAGTCCCAGCACTGGGGAAGCAGAAGCATGTGGAGCTCTATGAGTTCAAGGCCACTTTGGGCTACATAAGATTGATCCCATCTAAAAGAGAAACAGAGCCAGGTGATGGTGGCTCATGCTTTTAATCCCAGCACTAGGGAGGTGGAGACAGGAGTGATATGGCTGAGAGGAGAGAGGACTATAAGGCCGGAGGAGACAGGAGCTCATTGCATTTAGTCTAAGGATTCATAGGGACAGGATCGCCCCTTTGGTCTGAGGATTCAGTAGAGGTAAGAAGTCTCTCTTGTGGCTGGCTCCTTTACTTCTTTGATCTTTCAGAATTTACCCTGATATCTGACTCCAGGTTTTTATTATAAAGATCTATTAGAACTCATGCTGCACACAACTGTCTACAACTCCAGTTCTAGGGGATCTGGCACCCTCACATAGACACACATGCAGGCAAAACACCAATGCACATAAAATAAAAATAAGTAAATTTCAAGGTCATCCTCAGATGCGTAGCAGTTTCAAGACCAGCCTGAGCTACATAAGACAATTTCTCATAAAAACAAGCAAACAACAAAAACCAAAGCTGTAATTTGAAAAAGAGAGCTTACTTGTCTGCGATTCTAGCACTAGTGAGTTTGAGGCGATCCCACACTGTATCTTGTCTCAAGAAAACAGACAAAAAGGAGAAGAGTTTCCCATGGTGGCCGGGAAGATGCAGGTCAGGTTTTTTATGCTGCTCTAGCTCAACCTACTTCTGGAGGAGGAAAGAGTAGCAGGAGCTTGCCCTGGCCACTACTCGGTAAAAGCCTTTTGCTAAAAACAGCGGGAGTGTCACCTGTCATTGTACTATCCCAGGAGCACAGTTCTTTCTGTTTTAGGGAAACACAGGATTATTCATTATGAGTTTCTTCTAAAAAGTAATGTAAGCTGGGAAGTGGTGGTGCATGCTTTTTTTTTAAGATTTATTTATTATGTGTGTAGTGTTCTGTCTGCATGTATGCTGACACATCAGATAAGGACACCAGATCTCATTACAGATGGCTGTGAGCCACCATGTGGTTGCTGGGAACTGAACTCAGGACCTCTGGACGAGCAGTCAGTGTTCTTAACCTCTGAGCCATATCTCCAGCCTGGTGGTGCATACTTTTAATCCCAGCATTGCAGAGGCAGAGGCAGAGGCAGAAGCAGAAGCAGAGGCAGGTGGGTGTCTGTGAGTTTGAGGCCATCCTGGTCTACAGAGTGAGTTCCAGGAAAGTCAGGACTGTTACACAGAGAAACCCTGTCTCAACCCCCCCCAAAAGTAATGTGGCTGGACACATCTTTAAACCCAGAATTTGGGAGGCAGAGTACAGGTTAATCTCTGAGTTCCAGGCCAGCCTGGTCTATAGAGAGAGTTCCTAGACAGCCAAGGATACACAGAGAAACCCTGTTTTGAAAAACAAAAAACAAACAAGGAAAAAAATCTAGGTACTACAGTCACCAATGGCGCCTGCTTGTGATTCAGCACTCCAGAGACTGAGGGAGGATGACTATGAGTTCCAAATTAGTCTGAGCTATATGTAGTGAGTCTGGAATATGTAGCAAAACCATGTTTCAAAAAACAAAACAAAACAAAAAAAACAGGTCTGACATGAGGGTGCACGCCTTTAATCCCAGCACTCAGGAGACAGAGGCAGGAGGATCTCTGTGAATTTGAGAGCAGCCTGGTCTACAGAGTGAGTTCTAGGATAGCCAGGACTACATAGAGAATCTCTGTCTCAAAAAACAAATAAACTAGCAAGCAAGCAAAAGTAACACACAGATGGGACTAGAAGAGGATTCAGTGGTAAAGAGCACTGACTGCTTTTCCAGAAGCTCAGGGTTCAATTCCCAGCACCCACATGACAGTTCCTAACTGCCTGTAATGCTAGTTCCAGGAAATCTGATACCTTCAGACAGACATACATGCAGGCAAAACATGAATGCACATAAAATAAAAATAAATAAATCTTTTTAAAAAGTAACATACAGAATGATAAAATACCTGTTTGTTGCTGAATTGGGAAGATAAGTTCATGAGTATTCATTAGACTTCTTTTTTAAGAATCTTTTTTTAAAATTTATTTTATTTACAAGTGTCTGTATCTGCATGTATGTGCACATGAACGCAGTGCCTACAGAGGTCAGAAGAGGGTGTTGGATCCTCTGGAACAGTTGTGAGCCACCATAAGGGTCCTGGGTACTGAATCTGGGTCCTCTGCAGGAACAACAAATGCCGTTAACCACTGAATTGTCTCTCTTAGCCCCTAGATTCATCTTTTCCAAACATTTTTAAGTTACGTATATGTGCATTTCTGCATGTATGTGCTCATGAATGCAGTGTCAGTGTGGGCCAGAAGAGGGTGTCAGATGTCATAGACCTGGAATTAAAGGATTGTGAGCTGCCTGACTTGGGGGCCAGAAACTGAACCTGGGCCCTCAGGAAGAGCAACAGTGCTCTTAACAGCTGAGCCGTTTTCCAGCCCCAAGATTTCTCTTCTTTTTATTTATTTATTTAATATGTGTGGGTACTTTGTCTGCATGTGCCTGGTACCCACAAAGGCTGGAAGAGGGCATAGGACCTGAAGGAACTGTGAACCATCATGTGGGTGCTGAGAATCAAACCTGGGAGCTCCGGAGTGCTGGGATTAAAGGCCGGTGCCACCTTGCCTGGCTTGTGGTACATTTTTCACCTAGTGAGTTGCAAAGATCATAACATTTTCCTTCAGTTTTTACTTGTATGAGAAGCAGATCTTATCTCAACAGTGTGACTCCGAACATCCATTTGAAAAAAGTCAATCACAAAGGCCATTTGCTGTTTTGCTTTAGTTACTGCAGGCCAGAGCCGATGGTCATTTCCAGCAGAGAGTGCTGCCTGCTGCCTTCTGTATGTGGTACAGACTCTGGCGATGGAACCAGCAGAGTCGAGTCCTCCACACAAGAGCAGTGAGTTTTCACAGGTACGCTGTGCAGTTAGTTCCCGTCTGTCTGGATCGGACAGCTCTGATCTAACTCTGCAAACTTTAGAATGCCTTGACTTTGCTCTACTGGTTTCCCAGTCCCTAGTTCCTCTGGGTTTCAGTGATGAGGGCTTTTTGATTAAAACTGAGCCAGTACTTTCCAGGGAAGCCTTTTGCCATCTGTATTGCAAGTGCTTTCCAGACAGCGTGTCTCTGCTCCCGCTCTCGTCTCATGAGCACTTCTGAGTTTCCTGTTGTGATGAGAGCTTTGGTGGAGCTCACACTGCGCAGTTAATTTCCCTAAAATACTGCTCTCCTGTTCTGTAAGATACAGTCTTTTGAAGTCTTAGAACAGTGGTTGTGACCCATTGAAGGGGTCACGTGACCCTTTCACAGGTTGCCTAAAATCATTGGAAAACACAGATACTTACATTACAATTCATAACAGTAGCAAAATTATAGTTATGAAGTAGCAATGAAAATAACTTAATGGTTGGGGTCACCACAATATGAGAAACTGTATTAAAGGGTGGCAGCGTTAGGAAGGTTGAGAGCCACTGTCTTAGAAACATAGTCATGTACGGCATTAAAAAGGTCAAGGAGCTGAGTGGTATTGTTTTAGCTCCCAGGGAGCCAGGGCCATCTCACCAGCCAGCCTCTATTAGATTTCTGCTTGTCTTTCATTGCAAATGCTTGACTTTTAGTCAGGGTTTCTCATTTGTGTGTGTAGGGAGACATTAGAGAGGCGGGTGTTTGCTGTCTGGTGGCAGAAGATGTCTCATCACCGAGAAAACCGCCTGGCTGAGAGAATGGTGTGTAGCTCTCCTTGTGTGGGTTCTTGGGGGAGGATACATTTTAAGCACTTGTCCTGGCCATTCTTGAAGAGGCTGCACGAACTCCAGCCCACCCTGCCAGGCTCTTGCCTGGGTTCCTGAGCCTGGGAGGGTCTGGACGTTGATGTCAGCTCAGTTCACAGGCAGCCACTGGGGGAGCCTTTCTTTTGCTGGCCACAGATTCTCCTTTCGTCTCTGACCTGCTGTCCTCCCATCCTGCTTCAGGCCGTACTGCAGGCAGAGCAGCAGCTTTTGCGGAGGTCCTGGCTCATGTGGCACCGGCAGGCCGCAGCATGTCACCAGGAGCGGGATCGGCAAACCGTGGCCTGTGTCCACTACCACAACAGGCTGCTCAGGAAGGCTTTCTGTGTCTGGAAGGGAAGCGCCCAAGGATTTAGGACAGAGTGAGCAGCACTCTGCTACAGAGCCCCTCCCCCGTTAGGCCAGCTTTGGCAGCAGCTTGAAGTGCCCGCCTGTAGTGTTGTGTCAGCTAGAGCTGGTCAAGTGTCCCAGAGATTCAGCCTGAAACAGGGACAGCAGCTTGGGATCCATCCTTCACTGTAACACTCAGAAGCTGCATTCTGCTTCCTGCCTGGGCCATGTAAAGTGACTGTGGCCAGTGGAGGCACAGAGACTGATGAACTCAATATCGGGTAGCTGGCCACTAGCTAGTGGGCAGGTTGTGGCAATTTTTACCAGATCACAAGGCTACAATGGGGAGTGCTTGTAGCCCTTGTGTCTAATGCAGAGATGTCTGGCTTTGAATTGTCAGGTTGCCTGCAGAATTGTGAATCTCTATGCCCTTTCCTGGGAGAGCTCAGTGAGGAAGAGGACCAGGGCTGCAAAGGGGAGTCCTGAGGCCCCTTGTGGTCTAGATCCTGCTGAGCTTCCTCCTGTTTCCCCACAGGAGGATGGGTAGGGCACGGGCTGTACACTTCCACTCAGCACGGCTCCTGCATTGGGCCTGGAGCGTGTGGAACCAGGTAAGGGTTTGGCATGGGCACAGCCTGTGTGTGGCTTGTGGACAGGTGGGGCTGTTTGTCTGCGTGACTCAGACTCAGAGCAGATAGGCTCCTTCACAGTGCCCCTGGTCAAAGGCAGCAGCGAGGCAGTGCTAACTTACTTTTGCGAGGGATTGGCTCAAGGTTTCCTGTCCTTTATGTGTCAGGCTGCTCTTATCTGAACTTACTGTAAAGATCCTGGTCTGGCCGTTCACAGAAACCCTGCTGAGGTTATAATGTAGACGCCAAACCCTGTCCAGCATTTCCTGTTGGGCACTTGCTCATTTGATACCCAGCAACCCCTAGGAGGTATATATTTATAGATAAGACTGAGGCTCATGTAGTGTATTCCCCATACGTGAGCTCACAGAACGTGAGATAGAGACAATGCTGCAGTGCGCCTCCCCCAGCCCCCAGCCCCCAACCCCCACTCTTTCCTGTGTGCAGTGCTTGGCCCTGAGGATGGAAGAACAGCAGAAGCTGAGGCATGCTGCTCTCCACAGTCAGCACACCCTGCTTTACGGGGCTCTGCAGAAGTGGCTGGTAGGAGCCAGCTCACTCTTCCAGGTTCCTTGTTTTGCGGTGGGGAAGTTTTTGGAGGTGTTCTGGCAAGGCTCAAACAGGGCAGGTACCCCAAAAAGTGCTGCCTGAGGTCCCAGCCTTCCTGGAAAGCTGGTTTCTCTGAGTCCAGGAGCTGGGCCTGTGGGACATTATAATGGGGCAGGTGGAATGGGGGCTTTCACCTCTCCCTTGTCTTTGATAGCTCGGGCATGACAGCCACTGTGGTAAATGCACCTCTGAGACTGACTTGTAAAGAGAGAAGTGTGGGCCCAAGGGGCCGCCAATCCTTTTATCTCCACAGACTTTCCAGGACAGGGTGAGGAGTGTGCTACAGGAGGTGGCAGCCAGGGAGAGACAGCACAACAGGCAGCTGCTAAGGTGAGTGTCTGAGCGCCTTTAGGTAGTCCAGCTGAGGAAAGAGACGCCCAAGTCAGGTGTGGGTGGGTGAGGGCAGCTCTGCATCAGGCCATGCAGGTAACTGGCCTCAGTGCCTAGCAGGGTTAGTTCACAGTTCTGGCTTGCCTGCCGCAAGCTGTGTGCTTTCTGCTCACCTCAGCATGTCCTGAAGTCCGGCCATGTCTGTTCAGGGTAACCTTGGAAGGCAGCGTTCTCTGAGGCCCACATGGACCTTGCTTTCCTGCTCCTCTGAGTGTCCCCCTCCCTGCCTCACACCTGACACTTTGTCCCTCTTGAGCCATCGTTTCACCCCACTTCTGCCTGGGGTCTGCAGTCTCTCTGTCGTCAGCTCCCAGACAGTCCCTTCCAGAGGGAGTCTTCTGTGCCTCTCACCACTGCAGGGTCCTTAAGGCCCACCTGCACCCCTCATAATCCAAGCTCTGAGCTCACTCTTGCTCAGCTGGACGACCCTGCTCCCTTTCCCTCCATATTTGCTCAGCACACGTTGTTCTGGCTGAGCGTAGGGCCATGAACACTGTGGACTTTAGACACTCACTCCACTGAAGTCCCACAAAGCACCATCCAGTCCCTCGGATAGACCGGGATGAGAAAGCAGAGCTCTGGCAAGAAGGCACTAGGGTTCATGTGCCTTTCACCTCGTTGTGAATCACCTGAACTGTTGCCATCTGGTTACAGCGGTGTTTTCTTTATCACGTAAGCTCCTGAAGACTCAGTGATGGCCTGGCGTACTGCTGGCTGCCTGGTCCCACCGAGTACCTGGCACAGAGCCGACACCCGGCATCTGTTGTTGGGTGTAGACGAGAGCATAAGCTGAGGGACAGTGAACACGCGCTTTGAGGCAGAGTCCTTACTCAGGAGTTGGGAGGAGGAAGGTTGGTTCATAGAAGCTTCCAAGGCCCCAACCTGGGGCCATCCTCTCAGCTGGTCCATGTCTGTGCAGGCGGGTGTTACGTCGTTGGAGGGAAAACACCATGGCCCGAGTGCATATGGCCAAGAAGACCTCCCAAGCAAGAGCCCAGTACAGCAGGACTCTGTGCGCCAAGGTGAGGTACACACTGGTCACCAGGAAGCTTGGGGATCACATTCCCGCCAGCATGTGGCATTGGCTCTTAGTCAGGAACGGGCAGCCTTCTTGCACACATGCATGTCTGTTTTTGTTTGTACTGAGTTAGGAACCGCTGGTCTCTAAAATGAAAATGGTATCGTATAGAGCAAACTAGTTCTTGCCAGGGCCAGCATTTCCCACACATGTGCAACACTAGATTTACATAAAGCCTGGAAGCCACTGAGATTCGGTGTCTTTATTGGAAGAGTGCCAGATTTTACTCACTGGCTCGCAGATTGCAAGGTCCTTGGTTGTCCATAGTTTGAAATGGCCCCAAACCACCTCGTTTCCTTGGCTGGGGTGGATGTGTGGAAATACCCTGCAGGTCCCGTGCTACGGATGAGCGTGGTGTTGGGACATAACACAGGGAAGTGGTTCAGACAGAAACAGTAGCAGAGGCAGGCTGTGGGTCATGGCTGTTCTGAAGAAAGCAGGTTGCTGGGAGCTCTTGAGTGGCAGAGGTCTACCTGCTGGTGGCCATGTAGTTCCCTGCTGAGGCAGCAGCTGCATTTGGTGAAGGCTGGCCTCTTCTCAGAAATGCTCTAGACAGTGGCCCTGCCTTGGGAGGAAATGATCAGATCTGCTTGGGTTTAGTGCTCCAAAGAAAGAGGCCCCTCAACTGGGATTGGGGTATCAAGACTAGGAAACGTGACACCATGCTTCATGTGGCTCCCTGACTTCTTTAAGTGTGTTTAGTGGAGCTGGGGAGATGGCTCAATGGTTAAACTACATGCTGTTCAAGCATGAGGACCTGAGTTCAAATCCTCAGCTCCCACATAAAAGGTGAATATGACTGTGTATGTCTGTAGCCCCCCTGTCTTGGAGTTGGAGTAAAAATAAGAGGGTTCTGAGAACTCATTGTCCAGACAGTCATCTAGCCAAAACAGGGAGCTCAGCCCCAGAGACCCTGTCTTAGGGAATGAGACAAAGAATAGTGAGGACGACATTGGATTGTGCGCCGTCTGTACCCACACATGTGTGCATATACATACATGCATATAACACCATTCCACACACACAGGGTTGTGTGTTTTGTTTTGAGATAGGGTCTTACTGTGTAGACCAGGCTGGCCTCAAACTCGCAGAGATCCACTTGCTTCCCAAGTGCTGGGGTTAAAGGTATGTACCTGCATGCACTGCCCCACAAAGGGGGGTGTTTACTCGATTTCCTGTGTAAGAAAGTATTAATATAATACATAACAATAGGATGATAATCTATGTGACAACTTCATTTGTGTGGCACAGGACAAAGCTTAAATCCTCCTGATAGGAAAGTCCCAGTGTCTAAGGTGTCAGGGTTCCCGTGAGGGACTGAAGCCCCAACCCAGACCTGTGTCAGTGGTTGACTGTGAGAGCCAGATGTTACCTCCTGGGTCTTACCTCACGAGACCCACCCCTGGTCACAGTGTGTCCTTGACGTCAGAACATGAAATGACCTCTTTCCCTGCCTGTCCTGTCCACAGGTCCTGGTGCAGTGGCGAGAGGTTACATCAATGCAGATATACTACCGAGAAAAGGAGGCGGCTGCCCTCAGGGAGGCCCAGAAAGCACTGGGCAGGGGTAAGAGAGGCCTGTGAGAGCAGCCCCTGCCAGGTAGAGTGTGAACACAGGACTTCCCAAGGCCGTGTGCTCCATGGGCTCTGTCTGTGTTTACTAGCTTCCTGACACTCCTATCACTAGGAGGCTTCACAGAAGACCCAACGTTCTCAAGTGTCAGAGGCCACAGGCTTCTGGCTGTCACCCTTCTTGATCCTCTGTGGTGAGATGTGTGTGTGTGTGTGTGTGTGTGTGTGTGTGTGTGTGTGTGTGTGTGTGTGTAGATATAATTATATACATTTACTAAGTGAGTTTTAAGATAATATTATCTAAGTCATACCTGAGATGCTGAGAACCCACTACTCATTCTTGAGGCTGGGCCTCAACAGCCAGAGTCAGCCCAGAATAGCTGGAGCAGGGCAAGAGATGACAAGGTGGTTATGCAGCCTACAAGATGGTGTGCCTCAGTAGTCCCTCTCTGGTGCTGGGAGCCCAGGAAGTTCCTGGACAGCTGCTCATCCTAGTCCATAAAAGCCTGTGTGAGTGCGGAATCGGCAGCTGAAGCATCAATAGGCCTGCTCTGAAGGACTCTCCGGGAACAAGGGACTTAAGAGGCTGAGCACAAAGTACCATCTGTGGGAGGGATGCAGTAACATTTGTGGTTTGGTGTCTTGTTTTGTTTTTGAGATGGGTTTCTCTGTAATCCTGGCTGTCTTGGAACTCACTGTGAAGACTAGGATGGTCTTGAACTCACAGAGGTCTACTTGCCTCTGCCTCTGGAGTACTGGGATTAAAGGCGTGTGCTTATTGTCTTGTCTGATATTAAGACATCAGGATCCATACTTTGTTAGAGCTCAAGGGGAAATACCCTAAGACTCAGGTATAGGATCTTATAAAGTACAGGCTCGTAATCCCAGCAGTCGGAAGGCAGGAAGGAGGCATGCTGGAGTTCAAGGCCACCCTGGACCACATAATCAGAGCCCTTACTTCACCTCTCCCCATTTCTTTCCTTTTTTTTTTTTTTTTTTTTTTTTTTTTGGTTTTTCGAGACAGGGTTTCTCTGTATTGTCTTGGAGGCTGTCCTGGAACTCACTCTGTAGACCAGGCTGGCCTCCATTTCTTTCCTTTTTAAGATTATAATTATGCAATTTCTCCCTTCCGTTTCCTCCCTCCAAACTGTTCCTTGCTCTCTTTCAAATCCTGCCCTCTTTTTCTATGTCATGTGTGTGCACATGTATACGCACACGTACATAAGCATACACTAAATATAACCTGCCCAGTCAGTATAATGTTACTGTAACTTGTTTTCCAGGCTGAGCACTTGGTATTGGGTATCGATTGGTGTGCCCTTCCCTGGGGAGGACTGTGTCCCACCGTCAGCATTCCTTAGTTTCCTGTAGTCCTTTGTACAGGGTTGAGGCTTCATGGACTTCCCCACTCACTCTGGCAAGTCCATTGGTGTCCTTGTTCAGCTCACATTTGGGAAATCATGTCAGTGGCTCCTGATATTACTAGGGGACAGTCACACAACAAACTCCCTGATCATCTGGTTCTTAGAATCTTTTCCCCCTCCCCTTCCAAAATGTTCTGGAACTTTGGGTGTGGGAGTGTTTTGTAGATGTATCAGTTGGGACGGGGCTCCATATTCTGCATTTTGCTTTGTTGCATTTTCTGTAATGGTCTCCATCTCTAATGATTTCCATCTCCAACTCAACAAGAAGTTTCCTTGTTGAGGGCTGAGATACTTTACTCTTTAAGGTGGCAAAAATAAATAAAATTGCAGGCCAAAAGTCATGTTGCCTGGCCCTGTGACTTCAGAAGGATCCCCTGTACTTCAGTATGTGTTTTTCATCTATAAAATGGGGTGGTAGTACCTTCCTGTCAAATTGTCACTTAGGGATGGTATAGTTGTAGCTAGGGAGATAGGCGTATAAAGATATGGTAAAATAGCTGGTCTCTGGCTCATGACTGCTACCTTCTGTAACATGATTAATAAGTGACCCAGAGACTGATATTGGGGTTCAAACTTCAAGATGAATATCAGAAAAGCAAAGCAGCTGGCCTCTAGCTCTCACCTCTACCTCAGGCTGATTGGGCTGATCCTGTCTCCACGAGCTCTCACCAAGCCTGAGACTGTAACCTTTCCTCAGCGTGGCAGAATGAATCCCTCTCTAAATACTTTCTCCTGTCTTTTATACCCCTCTAATGCTGGGATTGGTGTGAGCTCTAATTCTCTCTTGGACTGATTCAATCTTGTGTAGATCCAGGTGGCCTTGAACTCAGAGAGATCCATCTACCTCTTAATCCTGAGTCTAGGATAAAGGTGTGTACCACCACCTCCTAGTTTCTGGCTGCAGGGATTAAAGGTGTGTATGGCCATTGCCTGATCTCTTCAGCTAGAGACTGACTTTGCTTTTCTGAATGCTCAGTCAAGCTTTAATAAATCATAAATAATATATCACTACAATCTTCTCTGTGAATGGAACCAGAAGTACTTCCTGTATCAGGCATCCCCAGACCCCAGGACAAGGTCCACACAGTGGGCCCAGAGAGTCAACATGGCCAAATATCGTTTTATCACTGTCCTGGTCATATCTCAGGCTTGCTTGACTTCTCTGAGATTTATTTCCTGCTTTATAAGATGAGGCTGTGCCCTCTCCAAGCTTGGGCTCCAACAGGAGGAAGCTCCCTTTTGGAATTGTAGGTCTCTTTCCACATGCCTATCAGTCCTTGGTGTGGCTCTGTGGGGCCTGGCACACCTCGGTGACTACAAGTATGCAACTCTGGGGCAGCGCTTGGGGAGTACAGCAGCAAAAAGCTTTGGTTCCAGTTCCCAGAGTGCAGAAATGACCTGACCTGGCCTCACACAGTGGCCATGATCCTGTGGTATTGTTTTTATCACAGAAGGCTAGATGTCACCTCACATAGCCTCTCTCCAGCTGTCTCCCCCTTCCCTGCTACAGAGTCACTTACGAATGAAAATCTTAGAGTTGTCTGGTCTCCATCCACTTCAGGTCGTCTCCGTAACTGGTTTCAGCGCTGGCAGGTATACAGCCACAGGGCGGCCCAGCAGAGATCCCATCTGGAACAGGCGGCTCTTTATCACCGCCAGCAGCTGCTGAAGGAAGCAATGGCTCGGTGGAGGGCACACCACCTAGGGTGTGTCAGGAAAAAGGTGAGGCGGCTGGCAGCAGCTTTCCAAACTCCACATGAGTCAAGGGTATCTCGACCAGGTGCCCATGTCTTGGCTGCAGGAACCATTCTGGGCAATTACTGAAGGTAGAAATGAATGGCCATCTTCAGAACCAAGTCTACACCAGGAAAAGGTGGCTTAGAAGAGAAATCTGGTTTCCCCTGACCCCTGGCTTTGCAGATCTAGGGAAGCTATGGACCCATTTAGATCTGCTCATCTGTGTAGAAGGCTTTGGCATCTGGAACAGCTCTTGTCAGGAAGATCACCACTTAGGTGTAGCCTCACCATGCAGCTGCCCCAGTGAGTGGGGCTAGACCAGAGTGATGTGTAGACTTGCTCTCTCCCCAGCGTCTGCAGCAGCAAAGTGCCCAACTCCTGGCACAGAGACTCGGTCGTGCCTGCTTCTGCCAGTGGAGGACGCAGGTAGGAGGAACCTGAACCTTTCTTTTTTTTTTTTTTTTTTTGGTTTTTATGAGACAGGGCTGTATTGTTTTGGAGGCTATCGGTCCAGCCCGGCCTCGAACTCACAGAGATCCGCCTGCCTCTGCCTCCCGAGTGCTGGGATTAAAGGCGTGCGCCACCACCGCCCGGCGTGAACCTTTCTTTAGTACTGTCTTTCTCCCAGGACCCTCCTGTGCTCCCCACCCACATACACTATCAGCTTCAGTCACACACCATCTGCAGGCCACTCTCCTATTCAGGTTTCTCCTACAGTGTCATCTTAAACACACGGGAATAATACCCAGAAATTAATGTGAAATGAATTTTAAGTCTTGATTAAACAAAACAAAACAAGAAAATAGCTGGGCAGTGGAGGCACACACCTTTATTCCCAGCACTTGGGAAGCAGAGGCAGGCAGATCTCTGTAAGTTCAAGGCCAACCTGACCTACAGAGTTAGTTCCAGGACAGCCAGGGCTACACAGAGAAACCCTGTCTCGAAAAACCAAAAAAAATCAAAAAACCAAAAAACAAAACAAACAAACCCAGAAGGTCACACACATTCTGCTCAGCAAAACCAAGTTCATAGGCCACTCTTGATCTGGGCTGGAGAGCTTCCCCGCTCCATAGAATTCCTTTGTGAACCCTGTTGGCTCCTTCCATTCACCCCTTCTGATTGCTCTTTGAATTCCTCTTTTCCTACTGTCATTTTTTCAGCTCATAGACCCTGAACATACTGAATATGTCAGGGTCAGAATGAGGCCAGGGCCTGAACCCTTCCTAGTAGGAGGGTAGATGATTTTGCTAGAGCCTGGTGGGCTGGGAGTGGCCATGGCCATGTTGCCTGTGCATTCCTCTGAATGACCCCATCTTTCTGATTGACAGCTGGCAGCCAGGAAACAAGAGCAGTGGAGTACGGCCCGGGCCCTGTGGTTCTGGGCCTTCTCACTACAGGCAAAGGTAAGGGTCCTACAACTCCCTGATTATTCCTGCCTTCAGGAGCAGCTCTGTGGGCTGGGTCATGAGAGCCCAAATGGAAGCCTAAGCCTCATCTCTTGACATCTCTTCTACAAGGTATGGACTGCGTGGCTGCGCTTCATATTTGAGAGGAGGAGGAAGAAGGCACGGCTGGAACAAGCCGTAGAAGCCTACCACCGGCAGCTCCTGCAGGAGGGCACCACAAGGCTTCTGCGCTTTGCAGCTGGGATGAAGGCCTCCCGGCAGCAGCTGCAGACCCAGCAGCAGGTCCAGGTGAGTCAGGGCTGCTGGTGAGGCCCTGGCAGGGCAAGGCAGGAGCTAATGAGAGGTTGTGTTGCAGGCAGCCCACAGCCTCCACCGTGCAGTCCGCCACTGTGCTGAGCTCTGGAAAAAGAAGGTACTTGGTCCAGGCATGATGTCTCAGCCACCAGCACCCATCCCACTCAGCAGGAGAGTGACATTTAAGGATTCCATTCTGTCTGGAGTTGCTGCTGAGGCTGGAGATGCCGCCCTGGAGACCAAGAAGTTGCAAGCTCCTCCCTCTCAGGGAATCCTGGGTAGCTTGGCAGTAGCTGCTGGGGAACCCTGCTGGCTAGAGCTGTGAGTGGCCTGTGCCTTACTTCTGCCTCTAGCCCTAGAGCCAAAACTGGGAGCATACATGAGGGACAGCCAGCCCTGGGAAGGAAAGGACGCCACATCAGAGCTGCTCAGGCTTGTCAGGCCATCCTTCCCAGGGCAGAGGGGAGGCAGTGGAATTTCCCAACTTTTTGACTATTATCAAAAAGGAGACTGTTGTCTCCTGTGACATGTGCTTCTCCCTGTTTTATGATGCTCAACAGACTGTCAGCCCTCATGCCTTGCTTAGGTCTGCAGTCAGTTTTTGTGGGGACCTGCTCTTTCCCCCATCTCCTTGGATGGCTTCTCTCAGCCCTGTGCTGAGGCAGCTGCCATGCCCAGAGTAACTAGCACTGAATCTCATGGTGTACTGGGCCAGCCCCCATCCCTGCTCTGTCCCCTTCATCCCTAACCTTGGCAGGATCCTGAATATCTCAGAGGCTGCACCCTTCTGGTATGAACCCTTCTGTAAGGGTTACATTGAGTTGTCTAGGCTCAGGCCTACCCCTTGCACATGCTAGCCTTTGGAACAAATCACTGCTTTGACTGGCCTTCAGTCTCCTTGAACCTTAGAAAGATCTCAGGTCTGTCACCATGCAGAGCTTGTTGGTCCAACAACAGACTGTTTCTCCCCAGCAATGAGGCCCACGTGTCACGGAAACAGCCACGACGTCCATCCTTCCTACTCGAGCGTTTGGAGAACCAGAGGTCCCCAGGATGGTGCATCCTTGGGGAGCAGCAGTAAGTCAAATAGTTTTGAGTCCCTGAAGGCACTGAAAATTGTCTGGGTTCTATGTTTTGTTGGATGTGTGGCCTCTTCAACCCAGAGAAAGATTTCACGGTGTGACATTTCTTCCCTTCAGGTTAGAGAAGCCTCCAGAAAAGGGTCAAAGCATGGCCCCGCCAAGAGGCCTTTCCCTAACGAGGCCCTTCCCACCTGTGGTCCTGCCGAACGCTCCTGGTTCAAGTGCAGGCCTGGAGCTGTTGCCTCCTCTTTCCTTCATGCCCCATGGGGTGGGAGAGTCTGCCAGGGTGAGTCCTTACTGGGCCTGCCACTGCTCTCTTGAGTTCTCCCTCCAGCCCTTGCTACACTTCTTCTAGAAAACCCTGGCTGCTCCACAGGCTTGGGTGCCCTGCACACCAGTACTAAAGTACAGCAGCGGTCAGCCTGCCAACACCCCAGGCCTTGAGAAATGTCTGGTGGTGGGACAACTGGAAGAACCTAATGGGAAGACTCCGGGCAGGGCCTCTGGTCTTAGGGACAGGTGGGCTGTGGAAGCTTCAGTGGGAAGAGGAAGAAAGTGAGGGGCTGTTCCAGGGCATCAATCTGGCCTGCAGCATGGACTCAGAGCTCCAAGTGGAGGGACAGCCACCAAGATATGCTAGTGCCCTGATGTAGCTCCTCCCTGTAGTCTGTTGGGGACAGTGGGGCAGGACTTGCTGTGGTAGGTATGGAGAGGGAAGAAAAGGAACCCAGGAACACTCAGGGAAGAATTCCCTAAGGAGACAGGCAGTCCCTTTTACATGACCAGACCTGAGAGAGAGCAGCGGTCTTCAGCGCTATGAGTGTCTACAGTGCAGGGCAAAGGCGTCACCTAGAAGTGACAGAAGGGCCTGGGTAGAGGTGGCTAGGAGCTGTGAGAGCACCAGGGTCTGCTCCCGAAACAGGTGGCAGTACTGAGCCAGCTCCTGGGAAGTTGGTGCTGACTGGGAGGAGTGGACACAGGAAGGAGGCAGTTTCTGGTGATGAATGGACAGAGAGCTCAAAGTCAGCCTAGGCCACACAGCAAGACTCTGTCTCAGTAAATAAGTAAACAGCAAAAACTTAAAAAAATGGTGGCATGCCCACTCTCCAAAGGGAAGACCTGGGGCGCACGAGTGTTGGGTAGGGAGAACTGCCCCACCAAGGCTGAGTTTGGCCTGTAGGTAAAAGGCTGGCAAAAGGCAGCCTGTTCCTGGGGCAGCACTGAAAGTCCCCTTACACAGAGGTGGCACTCAGTAGTGGAGATTGCCTGTGGGACTTCCCAGTGTGTCACCTTCCAAAATATGCAGAGCAAGGCTGTGTGCGCACTGGCCAGTGAGCTGGAGAGGACTAATTTCCCAGGCCCCACTAGCTTCATTGCTCAGCGTCCATCCTTTCTCCCTCTACAGGGGTCGGCAAAGCCCGTCGTCCCAGGACACCAGCCTCTGGCATGCCCAGCCCTAACCAAGGGGCCTAAGCCCCACCTCTTCATCCCTGGGGACTTCACAAGCACCAGGATTGGGCCTGATTATGGCTTTGAGGCTACAGGTCAAGGCACTGGGGTCACCTTCCACCAAAGCCCTCCCAGTCTCCTTGGTGGTTCTGAAGGGGATGGCAGGCAAGATCAGACTTATCTTCCAGTTGCTGCAGGCCACACAAAGCTTGAGGCTGAGCTGGAGGGGATCCAGCAGCAGCTACAGCACTACCAGACCACCAAGCAGAACCTTCGGTGAGGCCCACCAGCTGCCCTGGGACCTGTCTATGAGAATAGCTGTGGCTTGGAAAGGCAGGGGTTCCATGTTCCCCAGCAGGTGCTGGGACCCCTCTATGTATTCTGACTTATTCCAGGGAAGGGAGGGTTGGGGTGAGTGTCCTGTGACACCTTTATCTCCTTTAGGAAGGGCCAAGTTGGCCTCACCTAGGGTTGGAAGCCCTGCTTTCCATTTGAAGGGAAAGTAAAGCCAAGTAAGACTTGCTTCTTCTGCTACCCACCCAGCAGCCATGACTGTAATACACAGCACAAGCCTGGGTCGTCTTAACTACACCCAGTACTGAGGGCTGTTAATACATAGCAACTCTGAGAAATGAGTAGAAAAGTCTGGTCCCCTAGAAAGGGACCGGAAGAGTAGTTTGCACATGGGCCCACCCAAGTTGCTGTTTGCTTGGAAAGACAGAAGAGTATTGCTCTCCTCGGTCATTGCCTGCAGCCTGAGACGTAGCTTCTACACTGTGGGGGTGACTGTAGTCTGTTGGGGACAGTGGGGCAGGACTTGCTGTGGTAGGTATGGAGAGGGAAGAAAAGGAACCCAGGAACATTCTAATACACTGTGTCCACCCCAGCCCTTCAGTATTAGCCAGTACGCCTCTTCAGTCCAGAAAGGGCTCCCTTGAGGCTATGCCCCGAGCCCAGCCTCATAGGCAGCAGGTGTCCCCATCCCCAGGTCATGCCAGCGACAAGCCAACAGCCTACGTAGGTGGCTGGAGCTAAGCCAGGAGGAGCCCAGGCCGGAGGACTGGGATCTAGAGCAGCAGGTGAAGAGAGAACTGGAGGAGGTAAGACCCAGGTCAGCCCAGGGCCAGCTCCTGGGCTGTGCTTCCCATCAGCTTGCCTTGTCCCCCCTCTGCCCCCAGGTGGAGCTAGAGATCCAGCAGCTGTCTGAGGAGCTCCAGGCCCAGCGTCAGCCCATTGGTACATGTATTGCTCGTGTTCGGGCCCTGAGACAGGCTCTGTGCTAGTGGGCTTGCCCCTGGGGGACAGGTGCTATCCTTCACAAGGCCACAGATACCCTCCAGTAACAGAATACGAAGTTACAGTGGTGTTGGTTTGTTTTTTTTTTATTTCAAAATGTCTTGCAATTAAATGAATTACTGTTCAGAAGTCTCCTACTTTTCATACAAAATACTGTACTACTGATACAGTTGAAATCAAAGTTCAGTGATTTCTCCTGTAGGAGAAATCCATGGCATCCCCAAGATCAACATGAAATCTGGCCTTGTCCCTATTACTGGGTTCCCAGTGGCCTGGATACCTGGCAGCCACTTGGAACAGGTTTTTCTAGGTACTGACCACCACACCTCTGCCTCCAACACAGCCCATAGACCAATAGCAGCACGTCCCCTACACTTCCTGCAGGGCTGGGCCTTCACCTGCCCCTTCACTCTGGACACTACCAGGCAAGTCAGTAATCGGTCTTGCCCTAGGCAAAAGAACTCAGCCAGCTTTGGAAGGTCAGACCTTGGGACCTACAAAAGTCTCCATCATTAGTCACTGTCCTCAGAAGATACTGGCAATGCATTCAGCAACATAAATGATTTTACTTTTCCAGCAAGCAGAGAGGTGAATTGGGAACAGAAAGCAGTTGTAAGGCCATGTGGCCTGCTCTAAGAGGTGGATCCCGTCTGTGCCAAGGAAGCACCTCGCCCTGTGCACAGTGAGGGGAGACAAAGATGCTAAGGCAGAAAGAACAGAAGGGCTGACAGAAGGCCCTGAGACAGCTGGGGAGAGTGGCTAGAGGGTGTGGTAGTGTATAACTTTTCTCAGAATACTCAGCCAGGAGATGTAGGGTCAAATCATACCCACTAGGTTCTGACAGATCCAAAACCTCTTTGCACCTCTGGACAGGCAGGAACAAGTGGCTCAGGTCCTACCAAGTCAGTCCCACAGTCCTCTCACCAGGACAGCCTGGGGCGTCTCTGAAGACTCATGCTCCTGTGTGGAAAGATCCCTTGGCAGCCACAGCCAAGACAACTAGAGGGAGCCCAGCGCTTCCCCAAAGCGGATCTTCTGCCCTGCCTTCAGCCTGAAGTTGAAGTCCTTAGGGGCCTCAAAGATGAGCACAATAGTAGAGCCCAAGTTGAATTCACCCAGGTGCTCGCCCTTGCGCATGGGAACACCCTCCTTGTTGGCATGCGTTACAAAGCTCAAGTCATTGTAGGAACCCTTGCTGTATCTGGGACTGTTCGTGTGCAGGTCCTGGAGGCAAAAAGGAGAAGGCTAGTTAGCCTAGTTGCCTGTCCTCAAGCCCTCCCAGCTCAGAAAAGTAGTAGAGGTAGCATCCTAAGGCAAAGATCTATTACCAATCAACAGTCCAATATCTGCTGAGACCTAGATGTACGAGAGCATAAATGGTGCAAGGCCAGCGCCAGCAGCAGTCGTAACCATCAAAGCCAGTTCCACCCTTCTACAGTCCCATCTTCGCCTCTGACCATGGCCCCTGGCAGAAACAGCGTCTCAGGAGTCAGGTTGGGGCTCTCACCTCTCCAGGCAGGTGGAATGGCAACGGGGAGCAGGAGGTAAGGGACTGAGCTGGCACGGGTGCCTACAGAACAGCTGCTCAGTAGAGCCAGGCCTGGCCAGCGGTGGAACACCCCTCCCCACCACAAAACTATAAGCCCCCCGGAAGATCTGGCTGCACAGCACATCAAACAGCCTGGCGGGATCCAAGAAGTCTGCCTGTGGGTTCTGCTCACTCGGTCAAAGTAGATGCGGATGGAGCCCACATTGGTGGCGCCCACTGCTGTCAACGAGAAGAACCCGTGCTTCCAGTCCCCGCTCAGCACCACACGCTCATTGTGACAGAAGAGCTCTTTGATCCATCGGGCCATGCCAGGGTTCACTGACATCAAGGAACCTAAGGAGACAGGAAAACAAGTTACTTTCTGCTCAGAACCTGGTGTGTCCATGCCAGCATGGCCTAAAAGCCAAAGGGACTCATAGGCTGTGTTGTTCCAAATTCTAAGCAGGACCCCAGGCACCCTTGCTGATATGACAGCCAGCCAGCCTCAAGTGGCCATCTCCTGACCTTAACACCAGCCTAGAGCCCAATCCTCTCAAGTCAAGAGGCCAAGGGCCTCTAATGCCCGCAGAGGCAGCTCTCATCCTCAGCCAGACCTGGGCCTACCTGGGAAGTGGCGCCGATGTGAGACAGTCCAGTCAGTAGGGGAGTGGAAGCAGTGGTAGTCTCCGGGGGCCAGGTAGATGACACAGTGGTAGAGCTCATTCCCTTCCCGAGTGACCAGCTGGTTCCTGAAGGAGTCGCGGGAGGAGGCTGTGGGGTGGGGCAGAAAGAAGGGCTGGCTCTGACAAGCTCCAGGTGCCATTGGTCCCACAGTGAGCACCTGGCGCATGGCTCCAGTGAGGACTCCTGGCTGCAGAGTAGCCTGCTGCCCCAAAGCCTCCCCAGCCCCTTAGGCCCTGTTAGCCTCTGTTGTCTACCCCAGCTCTGACCCCAACTAAGCAATAGCCCACCTGGAGGGAAGGACAGGTCCTCTGTACAGGTTCGAGGGCCCAGGAATGACTCCAGAGAGTAGGTTACGCCTTTTACCTGCTCTACCTCACAATTCTTCACCTGCCCAAAGGTGAGGATCTTGCCATCTGATGGGCTGATCTGGAGGGAACAGAGAGGCATGGGGGGTGGGGATGTGGTACTCCCTGAACTCCACCACCTGCCAAGCACCCAGGAAGTCCCAGTTTAGGCCATGATGGAGCATGCCAGAGGGCCACAGCCAATGTGGGGCTGCTAAGCCTGGCTTCAAGGTAGACAAGAATCTCATTTCCTAATGAAGAACAGAGACAAGGGCCAGCCAGGCCTTACCACACTGTGCAAGCCACAGACAGGCCGTGCCTGAGGCTTCAGCTTGCGCCTGAAGAACTCGCTGAGGTTTCGGTAGTGGTGCAGGTCCTCCACAGCAGCTTCTGTCATGTTTACCCCAAAGGTCCAGATATACAGGCTGTAGACTGGCCTCCGCAGCCAGTAAGGAAGTTCCACCTGGTTCAGGCGACCCCAGGCACGTGACAGCAAACGAGTTGGCACCGACTTGTACAGGGCCACCTGCAGGCCATAGTACAGGAGGCTCAGTTGGTCATAAACTGAGAGCCGTCACACTCCCACACCCCAGAGAAGAGAGAAACAGACAGAGACAGACTTAGAAAAGCCACCACAAAGACCCAAGTGTTCGGGCTGGTTTGTGAAGTGGCTGTTTCTCAGAAGGAACCAGACTGTGCTCACCAAATACTCAAACAAGGGCTGGATATGCACACAACCTGGATCACCTTTTGCTATTTCATACAAAGGTCAAAGAGCAGCTAGCCGCCCTAGTGGAGACTGGACTAAACAGTCTTGGTTCTTGAGGATGGGAGGTGGCGGACAGAAATGGACTGGTACAAGCCTGAAAGACTATCAGGAGGGTAGGAGGCATGCTACCCTTGTCCTAGCCCACCACCCACATCCCACACTACTCAGGGAAGCAGCAGGAGGCTCCCAAGAGCAAGGGGCAGGCCTTAGTCCAGAGCATCCTCTTCATAGCAAGGACGGTGTTCTCACTCCCAGAGCTGCAACGTCACCTTGCAACATCCACCCGAGCAAGCCCGTGGGCTCTCAAAAAGGCAGAAGAAAGACTTCTCTTTGGAAACGTTGTTATCCCAAGAGTCAAGCACCAGTCCGACTGTCAGGCCAGAGGGCCCTGCAGAACCTAGGAGCTTCTGCCGCCATTGCTGCATATCCGAACCCAGCAGATCACCAACTCCCTTAGAAGTGAAGCCATTTTACCAACTTTGAACACTCCTCCCCCATACTAGTGTCTCCTGGCCGGTGCTCAGAACAATACTGTCATGTGCCCAAGGATATATACACTCTAGTGTCTAGTATACTCTTGGGCTGTTGTGATGCTTACCTAGACTACCAGTGACCAAGAAGCAGAGAGCAAGAGAGCCCTCTAGGCATATGCTAGCTAGCTGCCTGTGCAGTCCCGAGCTCCTCACGCATGTATTTGAACTAACAGGCCCAGCCTAGCTGCAGCTTCCCTAAACTGCCCACCGGTATCCAGATTCTTCTTGGATTTTTCTTGCAGTCATCTCTCTGCTTGCTTCTGCCTGTGAGAGTGGCAGCATTTGTGACTGACCAAAACCAGTGCTCCCTCTAACACCATCAAACACACGTATTTATCCAAGAGTTCAGCCACTGCTTCTGCTTGTGAAAACTTGTTTCTTTCTCTGTCTTCCCTGTGCCTCAACTTGAGGCCTGTCTAGGGAGGACCATGGCCAAGAGGCCTATTTCACACTTACCCTGCTCACAGGCCTCCATCCCACCCGGCTGAGGGGCCTGAGGGCACCGAAGGGCAGGAGGTAGTAGAGGATGGTCAGGGGCCAGGAGCGCAGTTTCAGAGCAGGTCTGGACATGCAGCTAAGCTGGCCTAGCCTCCGCCGTAGGGCCAGCTGGGGGAAGTGCAACCTGCAGGACACATGTTCACACGTGGCCTGGGTCAATGCCTAAGTCTGTGAGAAAGTGAGGAGCAAGCCCCTCAGCCATTGCCATTCCTCCCCCCCATCCCCGCAAGGCAGGCTGCGTCTCCAATGGAGCCAAAGAGTTCCAGCAGCCATTGCAGTGCCCAGTTCATTCCAACCAACCCTGGTTCTGAGTCAGGGACCTAGCTGCCTGACCCGTGGGCTCATTTCACAGTGTCTCCTGCCTGCCAGCTGACTGAACAGGTAGCAACAGGACAGAGGCCCAACTCCTTGATCCCTATATGGTAGAGCACCCTCCAGCTATAGCAGCAGCCCCAGCAAAGGCCTTGGGGGCCAAGAATGGGACGGTAGCCGGGCGTTGGTGGCGCACGCCTTTAATCCCAGCACTCAGGAGGCAGAGGCGGGCAGATCACTGTGAGTTTGAGGCCGGGCTGGACAGCCTCCAAAACAATACAGAGAAACCCTGTCTCGTAAAAACCAAAAAAAAAAAAAAAAAAAGAATGGGACGGTAAGAGAATCTGCCTTGTATCTGCAGCCTCTCATGCTAAGGAGGGTTGGGACCCAGGGATGGTTCTGTTCTAACAAGTGCCAGAAAAACTGAGTCTAACTGAAGCACTGCACAATACTGAAGT